TGCGAGAACACTAAACCAGATACAGACACAACAGGTCACACTGGTTCTCATAACGCCCTTGTGGCAGAGCCAACCATGGTTCCCGGATCTCCTGGCCTCATGCAAGGACCCTCTACTCCTACCATCCTTTCCGGACCTGCTCACGGATCCCAAAGGGAATCTTCACCCACTTCTCTTGGAAGACCGTCTGCCCCTGGTGGCTTGGACTCTTTCCGGGGTTCCTGGGACTATCGCAGACTACTAGGGACCTCTTATGAGATTCCTGGGCCCCCGGAACTAGACGCTGTTACCTTTCAGCTTGGGCCTCCTGGTCTACTTGGTGCGTGGAACAGGACTCCGATCCATTTACAGCACCTATTCCCATGATTCTCATTTTCTTTCATCCTTGTTTTCGTCGGGTCGCTCCTACCGTTCAGTTAACCTTGTTCGCTCGGCGATTTCGGCGGCCCACACCCCCGTCGGGGACCTCCCGGTCGGCAAAGACCCTCTCGTCTGCCGCCTGCTTCGTGGTATGCGGCTCCGTCGCCCTCCGGCTCCCAGGTACACTCACCTATGGGATGTTGGACTGGTTCGCCGTTTTTTCAGAGATTGGCTTCCTAACGACCGTCTCTCCCTACGACAATTATCAGCTAAGTGCGCCTTTCTACTTTGTCTCATGTCTTTTCGACGGGTATCGGACGTTCGAGCCTTCGACGTCGACGCCTTTGAGGTTGCCCCTGAGGGGGTCACATTCCATATTTCCCGTCGCACTAAGTCGGGTTCGACTTCGGTCTTCTACCCCTTTTTCCCCGATGACCCGCAGCTCTGTGTCGTGTCCACCCTTCGCAGATACGTTTCGGTTACCTCCTCACTCCGTAACTTGGCGTCGGGTCAACTCCTAGTCTCCTATGTTCGCCCCCATGCTCCGGTCTCGGCCACCACGCTAGCCCGATGGATTCGCTGGATTCTCTCTCTCGCCGGTATAGACCCCGCTTTCAGCGCCCACTCCATTTGCGGAGCAGCGGTTTCCTCAGCCTTCCTAGCAGGGGCGTCCCTGTCAGACATTCTCCGAGCGGCGGATTGGTCTAGGGAATCTACCTTCCGTACCTTTTATTTCCGCACTCCCCCTTCTGCTGGGACATCTCTACTTCAGCGTTAAAATTGCAAAATAGGAAGCCTCCTGTCATGTTATAAAATTGAAGATTATGCTAGCTTTAGTGTACTAATAATCTTAATTTTAATAAGGACAGGAGGTGAGTATTTTCCCTCCCTTCTGTTCCCTGCCCTGACTCCTCGGGGGAGTGGATCTCAAGGTGACGGATGTTTCGTTATGACTATTTAGTGGTTTCTCCTTTTATTTGGGGTGTATTCTGTTTCTATCCCGACTCTCATCCCAGAAACACTGCCTTGCGGACAGGATTTACGTTGTATCGCATGCTTGCATCTAAACATGTATTTAAACTTTTACCTTAAGCACGCTAATTATGTATTTAATCATTTATGTTAAAGCACTCTGATAAGGCTCACCTGCGTGACCAGTTACGGTTCAGTACCTAACCTATTTTATACTCTCCTTTCAGTGTAATCCTCTTCAGGACCTCCACTGGATGCTGGTTCGGTTACCCTCGCGACTCCAATTGATTGGATAAGGACTTCGTTTTGTCTTGCCTCCAATCTCGTTTGCCAGGAGTCTCCTCAAGTTCTGCTCACCAGAGACCATTGTTTGCAGTTTCGTTGGTTTTTCTGGTCGTTTCGAGCTCAGTCTGGACTTGGATGTCGCTTCAAGAAAGAGGAAGTGTACAGGCAGCATGACCCTTATATATACTATGCTGCTCAGTGATTTAATGTTACTCTTTACGTTTTTCTTTACTGCTGTGGAGTTTAGTAAAGATAGTTAATGCAAAATACTATTTTTTTTAAAACAAGACTTTTAAAAGCTCATGGGGGGAGATCTTACCCCCCATACATACATACACACACATACACACACACACATTTGTCCCCCTGAGTAAGGTGACTTACTAATAACAATTCATGCAACTGAAATGTAATTTACAACAAGAACGATGTCTTATTTACACAGACTAAACATATCGATGGTAGTTTAACCCCTTAAGACCGGAGGGCGTACTATTACGCCCTATTTTAAGCGGCTCTAAACGCCGCCGGGCGTAATAGTACGCCCTCCATTTTTTATTTTTTTACTTACCCGGTCGCCAGCGATCCCACGCCGGCAATCGCGGTTGGGGGGACAGTAAAAATGACGGTTTTTGCATTTTTCATGCACAAACAGCACTTACACGGACGATATTATTGCTGCGATACTTTTGACTGTTTTGAAACACAAATATTTGTGTTCAGCGAAGTCTCCCGAGTACAACAGTACCCCTCATGTACAGGTTTTATGGTGTTTTCAAAAGTTTCATTTTTTTCACATTAAAATTCGCTAGATTGGTAACGTTGCCTTTGAGACCCTATGGTAGCCCAAGAATGAAAATTACCCCTATGATGGCATACCATTTGCAATAGTAGACAACCCAAGGTATTGCAAACTTTTTTAGTAGCCACTTAGTCACAAACACTGGCCAAAATTGGCATTTTTTGCATTTTCCACGCTCAAACAAATACTAACGCTAACTTTGGCCAGTGTTTGTGACCAAATGGCTACTAAAAAAGACTGAACATACCCCATTTGCAATACCTTGGGTTGTCTACTATTGCAAATGGTATGCCATTATGGGTGTAAATTTCATTCCTGGGCTACTATACTGTCTCAAAGGCACATAACCTATCTGTCGAATTTCAATTTCAAATGTAACGTGCTATATTTGACCCTGTAACTTCCCAAAATGCCATAAGACACGTGAGACTTTGCTGAATACAAATATGTGTATTTTATTGCAGTAAAAGCAAACAGTATTATGACATTGACAGTTAAAATGTCATGTAGAACTAAAAAAAAAAAATCATATTTTCTCCCATTTTTTTCATATTAAATTATGTTTCATAGCTAAATATTTGATATTAAATGAAAGCCCTGTTTCCCCTGAATAAAATGATATATAATAAGGGTGGGTGCATTTAATATGAAAGGTGAATTACGGTTGGGCAGACATGTAGCGCAAATGCCAGGTTTTGTTTACATTTTGTTTTGTTCACAACGTGTACATTTGGCTCCGTCCTTAAGGGGTTAAAGACACATTACTGTGAATATTGTTGCTGTGTTATTTACGGACACGCCAAGAATACTGAGCTCCTAGAAAAGTGGACAAACGTACCACGTCGGCTATCGTTCTTTTGCTTTTATGCAATTTGTATATATATATCCACAGAAAACCGTTACTTTTCAACTTCACTGAATGATTTTGATTATATGGTTTGTCTGTATTCATACAAGGTAATGGTATGTTTTTTAGATTTATCTGTAGTACTTTTTCTTTGTCCATTGTATGATGATATCCAAATCAAAATAGGAAGACAACGAATGTGAGAGTCTAACTTCTAAAATTAAACTATGGATGCTGCCCTGTCCTATTACTCACATTTACCAACATCATATGTCCAGAAAGCTATGTGAAAATGCAAACTATAACAGGGTGGGGGGAAGGAGAGGGGGGGGGGTTATTTACCAAAGTGGTAATTGTCTGGAACTCAAAATTACTCTCAAATGTAAGTCTGTAAAAGACAAACTGAGAAAATTGTCCAAAACAATTATATTTTTCAGTTAGGGTACCTTGTCATCAAAATTTAAATGTGTGTTAAAGAAACAAACCTGTATTCCTAACACTTTAGTGTCCTTGTTGCTAGTTACACATGTCCATCCCTTTGACTCCAATAAAAATAATAAAATAAAGATTTTACTCACATTTATTCAGCGCTGCGGCTCCTTCTGCGCTGCTACCTCTCCAGCTCCAAAGTCTCTTCCTACCGGCGTGGTCCAATCCCAATGTTTCTCTTAGAGGAGCACTGTGGACGTGATGTGCATGCTCAATGCTTGCATGAGTGCTTTCCTACAGGGGCTTCTGCGTCCTGTGAGGGTTTAACTCATTTAGTGCTGCGAAAGCACCCAGTGGCAGTCATTGTAACAACCGCTGGAGGTATGTTTCGACGTTCAAGGCAATGTTTTAACTGGAAGTGTTACAATGACAGGACCACTGCACGCAGGTCACTTCGTTGAGATGAAGTGGCCTGGATGACTTTAGCGGCCCTTTAAAATTCTCAACGATTCAGTTGTTGAATAATCCTGACAGAATGAGTTAAATCACTTCATCTTGTTTTATTGGGAAAATCAGCTCTTTTATTATTAAGAGACAGGTTTCCTTCTTACTTACTTTAGGTCCTTTGACTGGCAAGTGGAATTCCCTCACACACCTGTTTTCAGATCTCAGATTAAACCATCGTTCTTTCAGAAAAGTTACTTGCACACTAACCTCCAGTTATTTAAATGTACATCAGGATTTGGGGGTTTACCTTGACGTTGCAGGTGATCTTACACTTCAATGGCCATTGGAGTGACACTATAAAAATTCCAGTTATTTAAATGTCCATAGGGTTTCTGGATAACGGTTTGTATTGTGAGTAATGGGGCTGATGTGCACTATAGTCATTGCTGCCGCCCAGGAGTAGTGGGAGTTTGAGAACAGGGCTTTTGTATTTCACAGCCGTGTAACAATGCTGCCGCCCACCCCATGAGTTCACTATTAAGGGTTAATAAGTGTGTAGGGGTTTAAATAAAATACCCCTCTCTGTCTCATTAGAGATTTTACTGTGTAGCTCAAAGCAGCAAGGTGAATTGTTACTGTGGGACTCACCTAAGAGGTTTTGTCTTGACTTGGCAGGTGAGCTTACAATTGAATGGCCTTTGGAGTTATACTAAGAACCTTTAGTTATTGAACTGTACATATGGATTTGGGATAGTGCGCAAGTAACTTTTTTTTTTTTTTGGCTTTTAAATAAACTATGACTTAACCCTTTCACTGCCATTTGGAACATTTTTATATATTGGTTATAAAGGTTATTTTTCCTGTAAAATTTATTTTATGATCCTGTTTACATTCATCCAACGGGAACTTTTTCCTGCTTGTACATAAGATAACTCCTCCATCGATTGTATCATTGATTAACATTTCAGTGTGTACGCAAAACGAATAGATGGATTACCGATTCACTGGTCAAACAGTATCCCTCTGTTATCAGCTATTCTTTGTGGGGTTAAAAAAAATGTGGGTCTCCTGCTTATGTGAGCTACAGCCTTATCTCTAAAAAAAAAAATCAAAATCTTGCATATTGCATTATGGAAAATGTCAAGATGTTATTGTTCCATCCATTGCATATTGTATCTGCTTAGAAAATGTTCAGTATATTGATACAGCGAGGTTCTCCAGTGTGTGCTCACGATGCTGTCTGTTTGTACTATGTAGATGAGGATTAGTGTGTCTCTGTAATGATCCATCCAATCCTCCCTCCCCACCTGCCTGTACTTGGTCCTTCCTTTCTGCTACCTGTCAGCATCCCCCATCTCTCCTCCTCCTACACAACCTCCCCTCTCCTCTCCCCCCCTCCCTGGCCAGAGCTGTGTATCTCAGAGACAGAATGGCGGAGAGAGAAAAATCATCTACCACTCCAGCAAGCTCCTCACCCTTTATGGGGATGCATCTGGCCTCTCCACCGCATTTCAGGTATATTCTGCCAATCCTACCACCCACCCCCATCTCACCCTGAGAAGGAGAGGGGCTGTATATTCCCCCATCTCCTTGACATTCTGTTCCCGCATTCCCTTTTTCATACTGCTCGCCTATTGTGTTCTGTATTTTTATATACATTGTATCTGCAGTTGGGGTGGTATGTTTTGGAACTGTTGAGTTGACATTGTGGTTTTTTTTTTATTTATTTTTTTAAATTATTTTTATTATTATTATTGACGTGTGTGTTTGTATTTTTCTTACACACGTTCACATCTGGATATTGCGGCGTTACCTCTGCAGCTGGATGCCTAATAGTTGCCATCCTCCTGGGTGTGGTGTTGATGTAAACGGTACATCTGGGAAGGCTGTAAGATGTCATTTTGATTTTGTCCAGCCAGGGGTTAATGGATTTAGGCATCCAATGCTTCCCCAATCAATTAGTCAATAGGAATTATTGCTCAGACAGCAATGGGTTAATCAATATGTGATCAGTCAATTATATACTGCTGTCTCCTGGATGCAAATACTAGATAAACAGGTGTGTGTATGTGTGTATATGTGTGTCTGTGTGTGTGTATGTATGTGTGTGTGTGTGTATCTGTGTGGGTATCTGTATCCCTGTGTGTCTGTCTATGTGTATATGTGTGTCTGTGTGTGTGTGTGTATGTGTCTGTGTGTATATATATGTGTATCTGTATTCCTGTGTGTATATCTGTGTGGGTATCTGTATCCCTGTGTGTGTGTGTCTGTCTGTGTGTATATGGTCTTTGCCGCCCCTCACTCTGGGGTAATAGTAACCAGACGTCTGTTTGTTGTTTCTTGGAAGGATACACAGGTTTTGGCATTTTTTCTGGCAGTAAATCTTGCAAGAGACTGCCCTCACAGTGGTTTGAGTTTCACTATATATTATGTTGCCTACATGTTGTTATGGAGACAAATTGAAATTCAGATTGTTACCTGAGCGTATTGGGAGCTGCAGATCACTCTCCCTGGAATGCCAGAGAGTCCCTGGATTTTGATTTTTTTGAGAAGGTTTTAAGGAATATTCAGCTCACCGTTGGTTGAGTATATTGGAAGTTGTAGTCCACAGCAGCTGGAACATAGCAGATTGCCTGTTTATTATGTAAAATATACAAGGCTATACACTAAAGTAGGGATTCAAAGTGAATTCAAATTTAAGCTCAAACTAGCAGAAATGGAAAGACTCTCTGAGTTAGCTATGCCTTCTGTTTGATTACTCTGGCTTTAAATATAAAATTCACGGAGAATTCTCATTTTAGTGAGTGACCCTGATGATTAATATTAGCAGTAGGACTGATGCTCTTGATGAAGATAAAGGAAACTTTGGTTGAATGTCATAGAGCTTTGAACTCGTCAATGAGATCTTACAAACCAAATTTACCATAAATTTCCTACGTGTGATTGTGGCAAACTATCATTGTTCTCTAGGGGGTCATTTTCTTTGAGGCTGGCATTGGTCCATTCATTGGCCTCTGGCAAACTGCTGCACACCTGGTGTACATCTCTATTTCATTATTCATGGCTGGATGTGAATGATGAGAATTGCTATTCAAACAAATGGGCTAAGCAGAGTTTGCCCTGTGTTCACTGAGGTCATGCCATAGTAACTATTACAGGGCCCTCTACAGCGATGACATCCTGGCTGTCAGGGGTGTTAAAATTGTTCTTGGAAGCTAGATTTCTGCCAGAGTCTTAAAATGCCTCTCATTAACAACATGTAATCAAGCAATTAACGGTCCGCATGGCTGAGCATTGTGCTGACTATTCGTCTGAAAATCTGGTACGTCTGCAGCCCTTAAGGAATGGAGGTAATATTCTTGCTATCCACCAGCTATTACTTGCAAGACAACCGGCAAATGATTGTTCCTTCAAAGAGACTGGCCAGATCATGGCTGGCTAACATTATTTAGAGTTGTAGTCTTTAGTGACAAAGTGTCTAGGGTTAATTATAAATGTATCACGGGGCTCATGCCCATATTTATAGGCCACAGATTTTTGGTGAACAACCGGTATCCGACAACCGCTGGTCAGTTTCCCGTGGGCACAGCTGTCTAGCGCACTGGCTTCAAGTCGCGCTACCGCAGGCATCGGATGGAAGATCCCCCTATGAGCTCCTGGTAGACGGAGAGCCCGCGGCTCGCAACTGTCATAGCGGCTTCTGTTGATCGCTTCATTGCTGGATGAGTGCGTTTTGTCTCTTAGAAGTTACTGCAGCCTGAGTGAGCAAGGCAAATAGAGCAATTAAACGAGTCTATGATAATGACCAGCAGTCCTAACAACGCAGGCAGACCCTCGTTAGTAAACGGTGTTCTTACAGATATAAAGTCAACAAAATTCAGAAGAAACAAGTGATTAAATTAACTGGACCAGGTTCCATATTTAATCACTTGTTTCTTCGGAATTAGTGCAAAAATATATATATATATATAATAGTGAACAAAAGTGTATGGGGATTATTTATAATGAGCTATTCTCGAGCAAAGTTCTAATTGGACAAAACTAGACATGTGCACAAATTCTTTTCAGCTGTACGAACAAATGGAATGTCTTTTAATCTGCGCCCAAACAAATCCATCCATCCAGGATTTTCCGGCGGAGTCTAGTTAAATGAATAAGACTCCACGGGTAAATCCAGGATGGATCGATTCGTTCGGATTAAAAATAAATTTGATTGGTCCGTAGCAGTAAACAGAATTTGTGCAAAAGTACAGAGCAAAAATTCCACTAGTTTTGTTTGTGATTGCTCAACTTGTAAAACGTTTGTTCCAGAATCACGTTTGGTGTTTACATTCCATTTTCTGTTTGGGGTTGTATATAACCTTATTTTATTTATTTGTTTTGTAAATAGAGTTTTTTATTAGCAGTTCAGATAATAACAGGAAACAGTATGAATAGTATCAGTGAGACTCGCAGGTCTCTATTAGCATCTTACATGAGCATCACACGTGTCAGGCGCATCTTACCTTATTTTATTTTATTATCTTCTTGCTCATCATTCTGTCTTTCTAATTCTGGATAAACGGTTTCTCATACAGGTCTGCAATGACCTAACCTGGCTGACAATGAAGGGGTTTAATAGTTCAGTGACAGCTGAGGGCATGTCAGCTTCATCAGGGGTTCCCAAATCAGACCGCCAAGCTGCCTGTAGTCCTTGATTGATCAATACACCTGTAAAGATACCATGTGTTTTATTTTTATTTTTGTAACCCACTGATTCTTATTTTGCATTTACTTTGCATTCTGTGAGCTCACTGGCCTTAACATGTCGGTATACTTATTTGAATTCATTTGTGTACTGCTTCCAAAATAGAAATCAAAGAAAATTAACACCGTGATATTGCACCTCAAAGAACATTCCAGACAAATATATTCTAGCACCATACGCGGCTTAACCCTTTCACCACCAAGCATCTTATTCAGCATTCGGCACATTTCAAATAAGGGTTGAATATCTAGCACATTAAAACAATAATTCTATGTACGGTTGCTGTTTTTATTTCTGTGTTTCAGAAATATTGAGAATGTTCTGTTTTAGAAGTCACTCCGTGTTCTTTTACTTGTAACATTCTCATATAAAACCATCGGAAAAAAACTGGAAAATTAGCATAGAGGCAGAGAAACCTTTTTAGTTGCATGTGCCAGATGCGTGTTTGAAGGATCTCGCTGGTAGTTTTTAGGAATGCTGCGTCCAAAAAATGCCTCCTGAATGCAAAAAAACAGGCATCCGCAGTGTACATCATGGGAGTTTAATTCCAGAATAGCTGGAGTGCTTGTTGGTAACCCCTATCCTTTATGCTAGGCAGAGTGTAATGGTGGTAACGTTCAACAGCCATTTGGCTGAAGACCATGATATTTAACAAAATACAGTAGTTTCCTTTTGGCCTCCAACTCGGCAGAATATGTACTGTATCTTAGCCATAGTTACAATGAATATAGCATTGCTTGTTTTTGCAGCATATTTATTGGTCTTAGTATTTGGTTATCAGTCTCTGGCCTCCTGTCAGACTTGCCATCTAATTTCACAGACTGGCACTGGGAGATCAGATGACTTGCCTCCTGCCTCAGGATTCAACCCCCACTCTCTGCTTCACACTGTGCGTTATAGTCCGCATTCGCACCAACTGAGCAACACTTTATTCTCTGAAGCAATTTTCTTCTGTTCTGTACAGCTTGGCCTGCTAACGATCCCCTGAGAGTTGGTTTCTGAGCCTGGAAGTTTAAATCTCTCTTCATCCACATTGCACATTTTTGATCTTTTTTACTTTAGTTCATCCGTTCTCTCTCTCCCGTGGCACAATTATTTATCCTGCAATTTTTGGCTTAGACGGTGCATTTAGACATTTTTATCATATCTTTTTCTTGTCTATATTCTGTATCCTGGGTATCTGCTTTCTGTTCAGTGACTGGACTTCCCCTCCCAGGATCTACACGATGCAGAATTAGGTTAATTGTGTCTGTCCCTCTAATGACCCCCAATATCTAATGTTCTATACACTTCTAGAATGGAAAATGTCCACAGAGGTCAAATAGGATCCCTGAATGTCCTGCACATCATCCTCTGTAACCCTTTCATTTTCAGACAGGGTTATCCACTATGTGAATGGTGTGGATTAATTTACAAGAAATTAAAAACATTTAGTCAGCGATAGCCAAAATGAAAGTATAACTGACTATTTTCTAATTTGGCTATTGCAGCCTAAAATATTACATTCACTTTGGATTCCTGACCATTCCAATAGTGGCCACCAATTATGGAGGAGACAATTGGCCTTTGAGGTTGTCTCTCTTCTCTTTACTATAGCACAGGGAGAAGAGATATGCTTGATATTTGTATTGCTTGTCTAGGTGGTGAGGTTTGTAGAGATAACACCAATCTTGGACAATAACATTTAACCTATTTAGAGGAGACCTCATCCAAGGTGTTAATAGGGGGACTGGAGAGAAGGAGTTTGCACCAAATGTTGGAGATAGCTTACTCATACAGTCCAATAACCAAGGAAATCTCGCCGGGATGAGCCTTATAATCAAATTTGACTTATTCTGAGTCTGAGAAACAAATTAGTTGCCAATAAAGACCACAAGGACAGTCTTTAATATTAAATTACATTATATTTTGTAATTTTTTAACACATGCAAGGCACATACTAATAATCACTAAAAGGGTTTCACACTTCTGGCTAACGACTTAAAATTTGAGGTGAGTCAGATGGAAATTGGGTGTACTTGAAACTTACCAAGGTACCTTAATTTGCTGAGCAAATTTTAGCTTCACTGGGTTGTCCAGGTAGCTCAGCTCAGGAAGAGGTTCCTCACACCCAAATTAGATGTAGGTTATTTCTGAATTATTGGCTGGGGGATTGCCAATGCAAATAAGCGTTCCCCATCCACAAGGTTTTCGATGACAAGGGAACCTGCAGTGTTTAGGGGCTCCTTAATGGTGGCATCTTCCTGGAAACCACCATGATAAAAATATTTTATTTTCTTGCTATTCATGAAAAATGAATGGTGGGAAATCCTGCTGGACCTCATACAATGTCACAGCTTTTCTGATGTGGTGTTTTTATTCCAAAGTCGCTGAATTTGTCATAACTTGGGGGTGTCACAGTTCTCACTGTGCCATACAGACGGCCGGGCGTGGCCACCCCGGAAGTGCCCAACAGGGGATTTGAACCTGGGTCCATTGCTGTCCTGGGCCTGCTATCTGCCTTTCAGCCACAGCAGTTCATATTCTTTAGAGTAGTCCTAGCCCTGTTCTACCTGGCTATGTCTGCAGCACTGTGGGCTGGACTTCTTCTTCTTTGGTCATTGCCTGTGCTTCACCTCAGACAAATCAGACATCAGCTGGGTATATGAGCACTGCCTCGCCCTGGGAACTTTAGCAAGTCTTTTATCCTTTTGTGTGTATTCAGTTCCTGTGTTCTAGTCTCTTGAACTTATTTCATATTGACCCCGGCTTCTGACTTTGTTTATCTTGACTTCGGCTACACTTCGTTTATCCTGACCTCTGGCATCCCTTGACTTCGGCTACACTTCGTTTATCCTGACCTCTGGCATCCCTTGACTTCGGGCTACACTTCGTTTATCTTGACTTTGGCTACACTTCGTTTATCCTGACCTCTGGTATCCCTTGACTTTGGCTACATTTCGTTTATCCTGACCTCTGGCATCCCTTGACTTCGGCTACATTTCGTTTATCCTGACCTCTGGCATCCCTTGGCTTTGGCTAAATTTTGTTTATTCTGACCTCTGGCATCCTTTGACTTCGGCTATCCCTGGACTATCCTGCTGTTTGTGTCCTTGTCGGTACTGCTTTGGAACACCTTTCCTGCATTTAGAATAATGCCCTCTATGATCTGAAGCATCGCTTGGAATACTGGACTGAGTCACAGATAGACAATGCTTCTCAGTGACCATTATTTTGCTTCGGAGATGATGTAACTGGTTATTGATCACCAATGACTTTATCCACTTACACAGAATTAGCCATTCTCCTTCGTAGCGGTTTTCAGGAAACTGAAATTGCTTTTGTGGGAAAAGCCCACAGAAAGGAACATTTCCCTCTAGAGGTGTTTAAACAATGTTACTCATTTCCAAAAACCTTTCTGTTTAACACTGCGGCTTTCAGAGATACGTTTAAAGGGGCAATGTAGCTGAATGCAGTTTATTACTTTGGATGTTTATACTGACACTCTGTGTTGGTTTTCTTATTGAAAAAAAATGCACATGGTCTGTTTGTTAAAATAACATATACAAATAATGAAAAATACAGGGTGCGCAATAATAACCACCAACACGCAGTGAGATATACGTATTACAGAAAAATCCTGATGGTACATATGGTATTCCCTGATCAATCTGCAAAACAGAAAAGCTACATAGCATAATACTTTTTTTACATTCAGAAAGAAATCAAACAGAGGTAATGGGTCACTCACAATTCGCAGAGCCACATAAAGCAGGCTCTGGCTGTATTGGCTTGTCAAAAAATCAGGCTGCTTTGATACGTGTTTTATACTTGTATAGGTATAGTGAAGAGACTTGAATTATATTAAAATCAATTTACTTAATAAATGCAAAATACAGATAATAGCAGCGACACAAAAGTGCATTAAAATCCAAAATAAAAAGTACAACACGTTTCAAGCTTACGGTTTTCCTCAAGGTGCAAGATGACAAGATTGGCAAGCCAATACAGCCAGAGCCTGGTATATCTGGCTCTAGGACAATAATTATTTACAATAATATGTCTTTAGCACTAGGAGGGAATACATGGAACCTTTGTTCCTTGTTTCTAATTTAGTTTGTCCTATGTAAGGGAATGTTTGTTTATCCCAAAGATATTTGTTTTATTTCTGTTCTAATTTTGTTTGTTTTTTGTAAAATTGTTTTGTAAACAATTATAATCACTGGAAAAAGAAATCTGGTCTCGTTGACCTCACTGGTCATGCACCGCTTCCCTCCCACCTCTTCAGGAATTGGGGCCAGTAGACCAGACTCCTACAGTTACCTGAAGTCTGATGCAGGTCACTAGAAGGGCAAGTCTACACTAACATTGCTGTACAACAACAACAACCACTTCTATTTACATTCATAAACCAGAAGTTATTTCACCCCACTGAAGCCATTCACATTGATGATAATTTTCCAGTAGTAATTAACCAAAATCTGCATTTGTATTATTGCAACAGATATACCATAATTCTAGTTCAACCTTTATCAAATTACATTTCTAGGAATATACTAAAGGGATACTGTATACATTTCTAGGAATATACTAAAGGGATACTGTAGTCACCGTAACTGCATTGAAGTGGTTATAGTATCTGGATAATGCCAGGGTAGTCTGAGCAGTATAACCATTTAAAGTATATGAAATGGTTTTAGTGTGTACAGTGTCCCTTTGGGCAGACTAGATGGGCCAAATGGTTCTTATCTGCCGTCACATTATATGTTTCTATGTTTCCTTTACGTCTCTGGGTTATATATTCCAGAAACACTTTAATGCACATCTGGATATCTGACTGATTTAATATTCTACAGAAATTGGTACTTAATTGAAATATATATTTTTTCTGACCTTGTCTATAATGCCGAGATTGGCCTCATTGCCCTAGACCAGTGTGGCACTTGGGTATTTAAAAGCAGAGCGTACAGGACAGGAGCATTTTAAAATCAATTGAAAGGTAATACAATAGAAGCTATGGATTTTTTTTCTGGGCAGCCTGGGGACCATTTCAAACCACAGGAGAGGTTGCAATACCCTTCAGCACCGTGTCAAGCAAAAACATAAATTGTTGACATTACAGATATATGTGTAATAATAGATGCAAGTGACTGTGCTGTTAATGTCCATATTAACTGTATAGGAAAGGAGTGTGTATAAACCATTCTGGTAATCCAACAGTTAACACGGGGGTTGTATTTTTCGAGACGTACACAAACGCAGGTTAGCGTAACGATCAGCATAGTAATGGACTCTCGCTGCAGAGAGAAAAGTGTGAGTCAGTCTATTCAAAATGAACATGACATCATTTCTCTTTCATTCATGATTTGAAGCTATTGCTGGATCTTTGCTTCTAACGTCGCAGCAACAAAGGCTTGTGAGTAGGTTTCCATGCTATTCAGTCAGCCTTAAAGGGACACTATAGTCACCAGAACAACTACAGCTTATTGAATTTGTTCTGGTGAGTAGAATCAGTCCCTTCAGGCTTTTTGCAGTAAACACTGTCTTTTCAGAGAAAATGAAGTGTTTACATTACAGACTAGTGATAACTTCACTGGATACTCCTCAGGTGGCTGCTAGAGGTGCTTCCTGGGGCAGTGCTGCACAGTGTGACTTACATTCAATGTCTCCACCCTCTGCATGGAGACACTGAACTTACCTCATAGAAATGCATTGATTTAATGTATCTCTGAGGAGATGCTAATTGGCCAGGGTGGTCTTTGACTCTGCCTCCCCCCCCTCCCCCCAAGCACACCTCCTTGGCTGACATCATCAGAATTGAAACTCTCATCCAATCCAATGCTTTTTTATATGTGGAAGCATTGTGATTGGCTCAGATCAATACTTCTGATGATGTCAGCTAAGCAGGCAAATCAGGAGAAGAACCAGCAGCAGACAGGAATAAATGTATATTTAGGGGGATAATTGGGGTTAGATGGTGTTTTTAAAACTATAGGGTCAGGGATACATGTCTGTGTTCCTGTCCCTATAATGTTCCTTTAAATTATATAGTAGCCATTTGTGAATAGGAGTACCATATTGTTAGTGTGTCTGAATAAAACTCAGTAATGTCTTTAAACTACAATAAAAGTGTTTAGAAATCAGTCTGTGGAAATAAGAGATATTGTTCTAAATTATATTTTGTTGTATACTATTAGTCAGTCACCTACAATTTCATAGAACAGCCCATCATTTAAATTTTACGGATATCCCTGAAAGCAAACTATAAATGGAAGCTATGTCCAATCAATTTACCCCCTCATTTCATTCCCAGACAGGCACATACACATGGGTACAGACACACAATCTGACATACACTGACAGGTTATAATGTTTATAATTGCAGCCACCCACCTGTTAGCTTACCTTTTGTGTCCAGGAGTGTGGCTTGCTTGGGATCCTGGTGCTGGCTGATGGAAGTGAGCATGTAGGAGCACACTTCAGCCTTTCCTCTGCCTCCGTGTGGCTGTGGTGATGCCGTCGCCTCCAGCCTTCTCCCTCTCTCCCTCATGCACGGCCCTCAGTGAAGCTGGGAGGAAGTGACAGGCTGTCACTTCCTCCCATCCGGCAGATACCACAGGGCTCTTAAAGGGCCGTGGCACCCAACCAGACCCCTGTTCAGGAATAATACTCACCAGGTGGCCATAATTATATACAATATCTGGGAAATCACACACGATCTGACATACATTGTGTGATTATGACATACATTGTGTGATTTGTGCGTGTCAGGTAGTGATGTCGCGAACGGTTCGCCACGAACGGTTCACCGCGGACTCATCATTGAGTAAACTTTGACCCTGTACCTCACAGTCAGCAGACACATTCCAGCCAATCAGCAGCAGACCCTCCCTCCCAGACCTTCCCACCTCCTGGACAGCTCACTAAGAATGCAGCTTCAAAATGGATGCTGTCCAGGAGGTGGGAGGGGCTGCTGCTGATTGGCTGGAATGTGTCTGCTGACTGTGAGGTACAGGGTCAAAGTTTACTCAATGATGAGTCTGTGGCGAACCGTTCGTGACGAACTGTTCGCGAACCGTTCGGGACATCACTAGTGTCAGGGAGTCCCACTTAAACTGCGGGAGTCTCCCGGAACCGCTGGGAGACTTGGGATGTCTACTGACCTGAAACACCCCTCATCCTTGAATTATATACTAGCCCTAAAGTAACCCCAAATTGTATTCTTGTGTCATTTTATTTCTAACTTTTCTATTTCAGGGACATTGGCACCCCTGAGATCTATATGGAATAGCAGGGACCCATTCAGCTGCAGTGCCAGTTAAGCTAGAAGAGAATAAAGTAGATCTCGGAGGATTTTTATCAGTCAAACTGAAATGAATGAAAGTATCTGGAATTGATGAACCAAATGTAGCTCTTGTTTAACAGATCCCAGTATTATCTTCTGAGTTTCTAAGACATTTCTAGATTGTGAAAAAGCAATTATTAACTAAAGTGAGAATTGTTAGGATTAGGAATTTAAAGTCCGCTCTAAGTAAATTTCACATTTTCGGTCATATTAGCCAAACTAATTTTCAGTGATATTTTGAGTTTGACTTTTTTGGCCTCAGATTTGAAATGCACTTTGAATTAATTTGTAGATTTGTGACAATTCATGATGAGGAAAATAACCCTGCGGAGAATTAAACCATTGTTGCCCTGGTGCCCGGCTGTATATTTTATAGATTTCATATTTACAGATTGTTTGAGAACTTATTAATTGACTTGTGCCTTCAGTTTAAAATGATTCGCGATTTGTTGGAATTCTGGGTAATCAGCGATTCATCTGAATTCTACAAGTCCGATACGCCATATGGACATACCCCAAAACAAAAAAGAAATATTACCTCAGAGTATTAGAGAGGATAGGAGGCATAAAGCCGTTCCTCTCCAAATACCCCCAGATTTATACCCACGGTAGTAATATTAACTCATAATGCCTGGGATTAGTAGTATAAAAATAAATAATAAATAAAAAACGATCTTTATTAAATTATATTTGTTAGTCTATAGACTCATTAACACAAAATAAAAGGAAAGAAATGAAAAATTGTGCAGGTGATTTAAGAAGGGCAGACTCATGTAGCTTATATAGAATATTTAGGCGTACATTGATTGGTTTTAGAGTAAATGTGTAACCTAGATAGTATAAGTAAACTACTATTCATGTAGCATCCACTTAGGAACCATAGGCAAACATATGATTATAAATGTAATCAAAGAAAGTCATGAAGATATTGTATATTCATATATATCATCCTAATGTATTGTATAGAGGTAAGCATATAAAATTACTCGGGTACCGCTAATAGCTATGGAGTATAGGCTAGGGATTAATGTCTGAGGTAAAATGCAACTTAATTGGCAGGGGGAATTGATATCATTCCCTCGCGTCAAAAGTATGCAATGCCCCTAATGTAACACTGTTATCCCAAAGGAAATACCAAAGCTACTGTGCCCACCAGTAACCGTGGGACCCAGATTAAGGATCGATGTCTGGGACAAACGCGATTTAAGATAGCCGAGGGAAAGGAAAAAGAGAAACACCTAATATGCTGTGTTCTAGATATAAACTTAGTAGAAGTTATATTAATAACAATCCCTCGCATCAAAAGTATGCAGTGCCCCTAGTGTGACATAAGTATCCCGAAATATAATGAGGAAGATAGAGCCAAATTGCATCCAAAATTAAGATTCTTGATGATAAATAAGAAATCTTTAGGATACTAGAGCAAAGTAAATGTTATGGAGCAGTAGAAGCCTCCTCCGTAGCCTCTATCTAAATCAAAGAACGGAAAGCGCCTGAATATGCCGACATGAATGCCAAACAAGCTACTTCCATAACCTATATCTAAAACCCAGAGTAAAGCTGTTCTAAATAGCGAAGTTCGAATATGCTACCTATCAAAGAATACCTCCTTTTACAGAGGAATGTGTATAACAGAGTGTTTTTGTAGATATGGTGATTTCCAAGCTGCTCAATACACTTATGTGGAAGTATCCTCTATTCCACAAAACAAATTTAAGATTATTAGTGCGGTGTAAGTGACAAAAGACTTATACCAGTAAGTGGAGCGCTTTAACACATATAGCTTACCAACTGGTTTCTCATTCAGTATTAACATATAAGGTACATGTCAAAAAAGAAATATAAAAGGTACAATATAGTGCAGATGGTTTTAAGACAATAAAGTTATATTGACATTAAAGTAATAGTGTCTTGATAAATGGAACACTCACATTTTTAGGAGCCTGTATATAGAAAACTGGCTCCGTATTTTGGCTTGTGTGCTTATATTGGGTAGCACCGCCCGTCTCCTTCAGTGTAGGGTGTTTCTCAAAGACAAAAATTGGAGAAGCAGACCAATGTGTAGTTGGTGTTTGTGAAACACAGTATTTATAAGTGGTGTGCTCACCTGATCCTGAGCCTGTGGGTCCCATCTCTAGGTATATAGATATTGTACCAATTTGAATGGGGATGGTACTACCCCTAGGGAGATACTCTCGAGGTTTCCAAAAAAGGACTTGAAAGGATCTTGAATAAAAGGTAACAAATTTATTTAAGTGTAAAACAAAAAATAAAAACAATAGTTATAAAAAAGTCCTTAATAAAAAGTCCTTTTACCTGCCTAAAGTGGTTCCCAAATTATAACTAGAGAGCTAAATGAAACGTTACATGGAGAGAGCTGCCCTGATTAAAAAGAAAAGCGTCAGGACTCGACGCGCATTTCAGCGCTCTCAGGAGCCTTTTTCAAGAGTGAGCTTTGCAAGGTAACCAGCCCGCCTTTTAAAAGGAAGAAAAACACACCCCCGCTAAGCACGTCATGTAAAAAATGACGTCATCTGGACGGTGGCTGTGAGACTATTTGCTGCGAGCGAAAATCAATTAGCCGCTTGTATCTACCAGATAGAAGGGGATATGAATAATCCCTCATTTCTATCATTAGTGGGTTTTGAGGAAAAATAGAAAGATACCTTGCTGATGTATTATAAAGATCTATATACATTTGTAAAGCTATATTTTTCTGATACAGACTATCCAATGTAAAGGGAGGAGATAGAAGCAAGTTATGATACCATGTGTCAAAATGTCATGTAACCAAAAGTATATAAATAGATACCCTGGGAATTCAAAGAAATCCTAATTTCATGAAGCTGAAAATATGGTATCAAATTAAACTCACAAAGAGTTTAAAATGATATGTATATATAATATACGGTATGCATATGTATTGAATGAGCAAGATATCAATATAGAACCCCTTATTTTTTTTTGTGTTATGTTATCCTTTTCTCCATCCTGTCCTTGCTATTATAAAAAATATATAAGTAAATAATATAGTTTACCTTTCTCAGTGAAATTCAAACAAGGAGGTATTTTCACAGAAGGGAAAGAGAGGTCTGTATCATACTAGGATTTAGCTAAATCCTTCAAAAAATAGCCTTTTGAGTTTAAAACTTGAGTTTTGCCAGTTTAGTCATGTGGGACAGGAAATATATTTTAATTTTAAGAGGAGACACGTCCTATAAGATGGATGGTACAGATTTAGATTTATGTTTATTAAAAGATTGAAAAATGTTCTTACAAGAAGGGTGAAAAAGAGAATCCTTCATTGAGTCTCCTTGGGCTCAAAGTTTTTAATCTATTAATCCAGAAGGATTCCCTTTGTCTTAGAAATTTATCAAAGTCACCTCTTCTGGCACTTTTTTTCACGAGTTCAAGACCACAAAAACGTAATCCTTTTGAGTCTCCATTGTGGCATTCCCTTAGATGTCTAGAAATAGGGTGATCCACTGGATTTTTTACGTGTTCCTGGAAGCGTTTCTTGAATGGCCTGAAGGACTTCCAGACGTATTTTAGGTCACACTGACAAATGAGTAAGTATACTAAACCGCTAGTATTGCAGTTGAAAAATGAAGTGATTGTAAATTCCTCTATATCCTCGCTGTCTTTCACCTTTTTAGAGTCTTTTTTGATAAATTTATAGGTAACACATATACCACAGCCAAAACTGCATGTTACGGGGCTATGAAGCCATGTGGTAAGTTGTTTCAATTGTAGATGGCTTGGAGACAAGATATCCCGTAGGTTTTTCCCCCTGCGTGCTGTAATAGCTGCATTAGGGGTTAGTCTCTCTTTTAAATGCTCATCGCCGGTACGTAATGGCCAGAAACGTTGAAGGGACTCTTTTACCTTACTCCAGCCAGCGTCATAGGTAGCTATAAGTCGGATAATATTTGAATCCTTTTGTGCTATAGGGTTAGACTTATTTAGCAGGGTACTTCGGTCAGATGCTAGTGCTCTCTTATAGGCCTGTTTTAGGCATCTATTAGGGTACCCTTTTTCCCTAAAGTGTGTTCTAAGACTTTTTGCTTTTATGTTAAATTCCTCGATGGAGCTACAATTACGTCTAACTCTAGGGATACCTCTTCTCAGGGGTTGAGGATGAAAGCTATCCCATCTGAGAAGATTGTTGGACGCTGACTGTTTCTTGTATAGTGTAGTCTGTATGGTATTGCGGACTGTAATTGAGATCTTTAGATCGAAGAAGTTAAGACTTTGTCCCCCAAACTCGCACGTGAATCTTAGATTTTCATCATTGACATTGAGAATCTTAACAAACTCAAAGAAGTCTTCCTTGTTCCCCTGCCAGATTAGCAAGACGTCGTCAATATAACAACGCCATAGGAAAATGGAAGGGAGGTACTTTGCAGTAAGTTCAGATTGTGCAATGTTTTCCTCCCACCACCCCAGGTGAAGGTTGGCAAATGATGGGGCACAAGCTGTCTCCATCGCAATGCCCCTCACCTGGTGGTAGAATTTATTCTTGAAGACAAAGAAATTGTGAGTCAGTATAAATTCAAGAAGCTTCAGACAAAAGTTTGTATGGGGGTTATGTTGTTCACCCCTTTGTTCCAAGAAATGTTTTGTGTGTCTTATCCCATTCTCATGAGGGATGGAGGAATATAGTGCCTCGATATCTAGACTACACAAATTAGCTGACAGAGGAACATTTAAATCAGAGAGAAGAGCAAGAGTTTGCTTTGTGTCTTTTAGGTAAGAAGGAAGTCCCTCAACGAAAGGTCTTAGAATTTGATCCATAGATATGCTCCCGTTTTGGGTCATATTTTCAATGCCTGATACAATGGGGCGTCCGGGAGGGGTTTCAAGGTTCTTATGAACTTTTGGCAGGCAGTAGAAAGTTGCTATCTTAGGGTGACAGTTAAGAATGTATTCAAACTCGTCACCTGATAGCAACCCCTCACTGCGGCCTAGGTCCAGAATCTCTTTATATTCTGTAAGAAAACCGTTCGTAGTGTCGGACTTCAGGATTTTATATGTTGTTCTATGTTCCAGGACCTTCATTACCATTTCGGTATATTTGTTCAAGTTCATAACCATGATATTACCCCCTTTATCTGCTGGCTTAATAATTAACTCATCATTATCCCTAAGGGATTTCATAGCTCTTTTTTCTTGTTTGGACAAATTCATGTTTGGAAAGAACTCGAGAGATCTAATATTGATCTTATCAATTTCGTCTTTCATGGTCTCTAAAAAGAGATCAGTATTCCTGTAATTGCCAAGATATGGGGTAAATCGACTCTTTGGTTTAAGATCAGTGTAAATAGGAGGGTTAACCTTATGATTCTCCTCCCACAATTCCATCAGGGTCATCAGACAGTCATATTCAATAGTTGATATTCCGTGTGCTCTAGCTTTGTTCTCCCTATTAATCTGATGGAACTTGTGGAGTGCCAGTTTCTGTGCAAAAAGGTGAAGGTCTTTCACCCATAAAAATTTGTTGAAAGGGGGTACCGGTACAAATGACAGGCCTTTTTCTAATAAAGAGAGATGGCCATTATTAAGTGTGTGATAAATTAATAACTCTTAAATTGGTTTTAGCATTGTCATTTGGCATCAAAACCTCCTTCTCCCCCTTTCCCTCGCACCCCTCCTATATCCCCCTCTGTTTTGCCTTAATACCCTAAAACAAACAAAGTGGGCAATGGATGAACCGTTCTGGGTTTTTTTGTGCTTCGAAGTTCCATCAATGGCGCCTAAAAATTGGGTAGGGAATGTAGAACAAGCTGGGGAGGGGGACAAATAAGCAGTTTAGATTGCCATGACAGACAAGAGGTCTGTGCAGTCATGTGGGCTGTATCTCTTGTTCCGATCAGGAGGTGGAGACAAAGGCGATTGATTGCTGGCTACATTACAGCCACTGAGTGTTGATTTTATTCACATATCAAGTGACCAACAGAGGGTGCAGGAGGGAAGAGAAGCAGCAAAACAATATATATATATTTCCAAGTGGGAATTTTTCAGACACTGTAACTTCCACTACAGAGGGAGACAGACCAGCAGTGATAGTGTGTTTAACCATTGCGGTGCCAGGGAGCTAGCCTGTGTTAACCTGGTGTGAGGATGGTGAGGTGTACCTAGCCACTACCAGAGCCGTTTACAGCCGACTGCGATTCACAGATTCACAAAGTTTTGCAATTTCATGGCATTTTTATTTTATTTTGTGGCTCTGCGCAAGTCTACTAAATAAACCCCTTACTTCATCCCTGCATTGTTCAAAACGCAACTCTATAGCTGTGTATTTGGCTAATTTTTTTCCCCTCCCCATAAAAAAAAGTCTGTTGGCAGATGGGATTTGTGAATTTGCCCCTATGTGCCTGCCTGGTGTTGGCACTGAGTGATATCCCCCTGGCACATTCACTTGCCAGTTAACCTTACATAAACTCTCCATTGAATGGATGTTCTTCTAAAACAGAAACTATTACAATGTTACCAGGTCCATACAGACACGAATAACTCATGTAGGTAGTTATAATTTTATTATTCTTTGTTATTGCGTTTTTTAGAAAATATGCTATAAATCGAGATTATATTGTTGCTTCATGTTTAGCCATTCTACATATTAGCATCTGGTGTCACTTGGGAAAAGAGAGGCCGGCGGTTTCCGAGGAGTTAAATCTTTTGGCGAAGTGTTTGATGCTAATGTACTCTCCATCCGACATATGCTGTATGTGTCTGATGGTAAATAAAAAGGGGATCTCAATGAATAACAAGGCAGATGCATCCAGCCTATTAAAGTATATATTTTCATTTATTTGATAGCTGCCTTGCTGGCGATATTGCTCCTGACCATTAACCCTTTGAATCTGCGTCTCTTGTGTTGACACTGAAAAACGTGAAGGGTTTTAATAAATCCATGCATTTTCTGATTTATTAATCCCTTCCTTTTAACCCGGTGTCGTGAACGGTAAATGCAGTCATAGGCTATGTTATGTTCCCCTCTTTCAGTTCTATCACACTATATCCAAAGATGGAGAGCAAAAAAAACGGGGAGCAAGAGTATACTGAGAACGGACAGGAGCTCAATTAATCTGCCCTTCGGTGGGTCATGCTCAGAACTCAAGTTGGTTTTAGCTCATCTTGTGCCATTACAGAGAGAACATATCTGAAGCATATCAGACCGATCCCACCCGTACGGGCAGTCCAGATCCGAAATGCCAGTAAGTGTCCTCTGCACGAGAGACACAGCAACCCCAGACGATCGTTTCAGCCTAGTTAGGCATCATCAGTGAGGCATAGCTGATATCTCTCTAGGCACCGTGAGCAAGGGATCCACGTCTGGATTACCCTTTAAATGTATGGAGTGCAAAAAAACGGGGCGCAAGAATATACTTTGGGAACTTGCTGGCATATCGGATCTGGACTGCCCGTATGGGTGGGACCAGTCTGATAAGCTTCAGATATGTTCTCTCTGTAATGGCACAAGATGAACTAATATCAACCTGAGATCTGAGCGGGGACCCACCGAAGGGCAGGCAATTTCAGCTGCTGTCTGTTCTCAGTAAACTCTTGCACCCTGTTTTTTGCTCTAAATCCAAAGATGGGCAACTCTAACAGGGTTATTTAATAAAGTGACATTACAAAGTGACATTCAAATTTAAGGCCAGAGTAGCCGAATTGGAAGCATAGCTGTTGGAATTTTTCCATTTTTGACTATTTGGCCTTAAATTTGAAATTCTGTTTGAAATAATCCCTTTAGTGAATAATCCTGTAAGATACAGTGCTTCTGATCAATTGCTTGTGAGTTGTGTGTTCACCTACTGTGGCCCCTGTTCAAAGTAATTATAAAAATAAAAAGGCTGCTTCCGTTATTCTTGTCATTTAATTTGACAATCCTTTCATTTAAAGAACGGTGAGTCTCAATCCTTAAATATCTCAACTCCCCCTGACCACTGGAATGTCTTTGATTAAAAACACCTTTCCCAAGATCTCTTTGGTGATCAATAGAATGCATTTAATATACCGTACATAAAATGGGGCTATTTATTAAAAGGGGAATTGTAAAACTTTGACATAGGAATAGCTAATCAAGAAAACTTAACACTATTTATTAAATTCTGTTATTTAAAAAAAAAAAAAAAAACATTTCCAGTTCCCATGGCAATACTCCATGTGTCATAATTCCTGGTCTAGTGAATGAAACCTATTTTTCTTTTGGTTTTATTTTTTGTGATGGTAGTATAGTTGCATTGGGTCTATCTGCAATCCTAGAGGATCACACAGGAACGGATTGAATAAGGTTGGAAGGTTTACTGGTATAAAATGAGCGTGATTGAACAGTATAAATTAAATGACCTTACCATGACAGTAACTTAATGGGAGTTGCATTTCACAGCAGCTAGAATGTTAGTCTTGGTCTATCTTACTGGACTCGTTATCAATGAATTAATTATAACGGTTAAATACAATTTAGATTTAACCCTTTCGTGGCTGAGAAAGGTGATATTGGAGAAGGCTAGCTCTATCCAATTATTGACCCGGTCCCCCCCCCCCCCACACACCATTCCCCCTTCCTGTCCAGGAGTCAGACAGTGCTTGGCCGCTCCCTGGAACTGAAACGCCGGCCGGATTCCTGCCTCTGTCAGACACTTGCTGCCATGTATTTTTAATGAGCAGACATTCTCTGCGGAGACTGGGAGAGAGCGAGAGCGTGTTATTCTTTGGAGGAAGGCAGGGGTAAGGTGGAAGCCGATGGGCAGAGGCGATGGAGTCCAGCGAGGATGAGGGGAGCTGGATGGAAAATCAGTGGGAGAAATGGTAGGACGTGGGAAGGACGGAGAGAATGGCCGGAATATGTGTGTGTGTGTGTGTGTGTGTCTGTGTGTGTGTGTGTGTGGTGGGGGGTGTACAATGGGAAATGTTATGTAAACAAAAGTATATTAATCATTTTTGCACACTCATAGCACCTCTATAGTCTTCAATATGTTCGGCTCCTGCTAGGAAACCTCAGCACGCATAAACAGCACCCCAAAAAAGGTCCTTCTAAAGCCTATTGTACAGCACTCCATAATGTATTGACGCTTTACACATAGTATCGATAATAACACAGGGACTGATGGAATGTGTTTAATGTATATTAGCCAGATTTCCGAATACCTAGGGTGCAATAACAAAATATCACATTAACCCTTGACTAGCTATGGCCTAATAGTCTCCGCATTGCTGTAGGACAGGAGGCAGATTGCTGATTAGCACTGTGTGTGCCAGGGCCTTGCTGTATAATTTGGCATGGAGTCCCCAAGCCAGGGCTGTGTTTGGGCACAGTGACTTGCACAATAGGCATTAGGATAAGCCTCCTCCTCCATTGTAAGAGGCATTGCCTGTTAGAGGGCGAAGGATTTAATTCATCCTTACAAGGGCTGAACTTTTTCTACCGTGAGGGGAGTGATGCATCAACCCCACTGGCAATGAACGGGTTAATGGTGGGGCCTTTGCTATCATGAAACTGGGGCTGTAATTATAAAGAGGTGCTAAAAGTAGAGCAGTCACCATGGAAACCAATGGGATGTTCCACTTTAACAACAACTTGTACTCCAGAATTGTTTGATTATATATATTATTTCACTTTTAGAATATCCCTTTTCAGCTCACTCACTGCCTAAACCATCTTGAACTGAAATCGGATTGTAACAAATTAAGGTCCAAATAGGCAAAGCAGATTTAGAGAGGTTTTCGGATGTTTTTTTATTGTCATTTTTGAAATTGCTTTAGTTAGACTTTTTTTTCTCTCGTTGGTTAGCATAAAAGCTATGTGTTCTACTTTATGTACAATAAATTGCTTTAAAGTATCAGAGTAATATTAAAAAGTTACTCCAAGTACCATGATCACTTTAATGATATGAAGTGGTGATGGTGCCTAGAGTCTGTATGTCAAGCATGTCAAACTCAGAGGCTAACACGGGCCACATGAACAAGGTTTAAGTTTATGTGGGCCGCAAAAAACCCAAACCCTTACATTTTCATAGAAACGTAGGTTTATTTTGAAAATTACAGTATTAAAAAAAAAAAAAACAGCATCCACCTCTACTAAACCACCGCACCCCCTATACTAAATCCCAGTCCCCCCCTCTACTAAATCCCAGTTCCCCCCCCCCTCTACTAAATCCCAGCCCCCCCTGTAGCCAACAGGCAGACTCCACTCACATTGCCGCTGCCAGTACGCGACTTCAGAGTCCGGCCTCTGGTATACCGTTGCGTGCTTCTATGCACCTCCAGGTACTCCACTGTCCAGTCGCAGCCAATGCAATACTGACACACACACACACACACACACACACACTCACTGACAGACACACACACACTCTCACAGAGACAGACACACACAGACAATCACTGACAGACACAGACACACTTTACTTTATTGCTCCCTACCTTTGGGAGCCGATGTGGGGCCTCTCCCTGGGGTCCAGTGGGAATCTTCTATCTGCTCCTCACTGCTCCCTCACGCGGTTTAGTGATGTCGGTGTCACGTATTCATCAGCACATAAAAATCTGGTTAATGGCATTTACTGTCCTGACAGGAAAAGTTGTGCCGAGCAACATTACTGTCTTGACAGGAAAAGTTGTGCCGAGCAGCAATCATGCTCATGGAAACCTGGTAATTACTTTTCGGGTCAAAGGCCAGTCATTGCCAATCAAATCCACAGGAGGCTTTTGTGCTGAGCAGCAATAAAGCACATGTAAACCTGGTAATTTCCTTTGGGGGTCAAAGACCGGTTATAGCCAATCGGATCCACAGGATCCTCTTGCTCATTGCCCTGTTGTGGTTTTATGCCTATGGTTATCCGAGAGCGCATTCCTGATCTTGATTTTCTGGTCTTTGACTTTGGCTTTGTTGTGACTTTCCTGACATCTGGTATCCTTGACTTTTGGCTTTCCCTCATCTTTGTGTCTGATTCTATGTCCCTGACCTCAGCTAGTATTTTGACTATTCTTGTAGACGTTAAGTCTGGCCAGTCTAAGGTGCAGTTATACGTTATCCTTAGTCCTACGTGTGACACAGTACTGTGTGCTGGATCAACTTGTAATCCTGACAGCCGGGTGCCAGAATATGACGTCATATTCCAGCGCCCGGCATGACTACAGACAGCGCACGCGAGGGAGCAGTGAGGAGCAGGAACATGGAGCTCCCTCGCTGGCCCTCCTCCCTGGTCGGGTACGTTTTAGCAGAGTAGGCACCTGCAATGTGGGGAAAGCAGGTGCCTACTCTGCTAAAACACCAGCATCTACTCGCGGCTCGCCAGGCCGCAAAGATGGTCCTTGTGGGCCGCATGCGGCCCGCAAGTTTGACATGCTTGCTGTATGTGCAGTGGTTTACTTTGAAATGCTATACTCACTGAGTTTAATCTCTTGTAAGAAGTGTAACCTCACTGTAATAAGGGCATCATCAGCCAGCCGGGGACAAGAGTTCCATGCTGGTTAATGTCAATTCTGTGCATATTGCATTAATTGACTGACTGTGAATGGCCAGCTCATGGTCTCAGCCAATAAATGGCCATTGGAATCAACTTCTGGCTTCTGCATCTTACTGGAACCCAGGTAAGAGGGCTAACTGTTGGGGAAAGATGAAGAGTGTTATGATGTTTTAACTTATTGGCGCAATTCTTTTGAATTTTTGGAATGATCAGAAGAAGTGTATTACAGTGCTATCAATATAATATTGATTATAATAATAAAAGGATATGACCGATGTGTTTTAATGTGTATTGACCTGCTTTCTATAGACATAGGGCCATCTGTAAAATATATTTTAACCTTTAGCTAGCAATGTGTAACAGAATATCCTCATTTCTACGTAGGAACAGTATCAAGTAATATGGACGACAAAGGGACAGAATATTTGAGTTACTGGTAAATATAAATAAGAGAAAAAACACTTACAAATTTCTGGAGCTTATGATTAGCGCCAGATTTCTGCACCTGGACGGTACAATCCCCACCAATCGATATGCTGATGGCCCTGGTCCTTTGCTGTGAGATGGTCCAATGCCAGTGGATAAGTTATGGCAATCAGCGTTTAGGAGTGTTCTCTTCCAGTATGCAGTATTGTGGCAGTGAGATCACTCCAGTATATGGAATGGAAAATCATAATGTAGTGCTCTCTGTATCTGATAAAATATAAAAAAGAAAAAAAGAGGTATACTCACAAAAAGTGAGCAAAACAGGTTGTGCTCAATCCTAAACAGCATAGGCGTTTTATTCCCCATCACGAAAATCAAAGTGTGAATCCTCTGGATAAAATCTCCACGGATAAAATCAGGAAGGTCCAAATTGATTTATAAATTAAACAAACAAACTAGTTTTATTGAAAACAAAATAATGAAATAAATCCAAGCATGAGCCACTAATGCGTTTCGCCGGAAATGAGGCTATTTCAAAGTGCTACAGTATAATGGACCTGTCCTGATTAAATAGCTTAACAATAATAAAAAAAAAAAAGTCAGGTTGGTCGTTAATCATGTGACTAACATACAATTAACACACGACTTTAATAATATAAAATATGCAGAAAAAAGGCTAGAAAGAGAATGATTAAGCTTGGAGAAAGCCACTCCCAAAATAAAACAAGCATTCTAGAAGAAATGCTGGTACAATGAACTTGGTGCACCAATATTGCACTGCGGCTCACACCATGTTATCGGCCCGAGCCACGTCGTCATAAAAACCAGCCACGCCGGGACATAGTGATCATTCTTGCACATTAGCAATGGTTGGACAGAAATTGTGAAATCAGTCCCCAATGGCTGAACACATCTTGGGTTTAGGATATTTCTTTTGGAATTACAGAACTGCTTAGCGCTTTGTCATATTAGATTAATTAAGATAAAAGCGAGTATTCCTATATTTTAACATTTTTAGAAATTGTATAGGGTTCTGTTATTTTGAATTAGAAAATTGACCTCATGCGGAATAAGAGCGAGGGCTGTTGGTCTATCAGGGTTATTTACAATAGTTAATATAAATACAAATACAAAATAAGTCCTGCGCTCAAACTCCCATCACTCTGACCATAGTACACATCAGCCTCAATACATACAGTAAAAACCAAAAAAGTTACCTGCGGCCTTCCCAAATCCCTATGTATATTTAAACAAATGGAGGTTATTTAGTTACTCCAATGGCCATAAAGGATTTATTTACTAAACTGAGAATTCAAAATGAATTAATGAAGTGAAGTAATTTCTAAGAATCTTAATCTATCCCCAAGGCTCAAGCTATCTTGAAAGGAAGTCAGTTTGACTCAAATGTGCGTTCTGTATAGTAGTTCGACTCTGGAAGACCATCACGGCTGACAAGCAGGGCCGCCACCAGAAATTTTGGGGCACCTAACTGAGCTCAGGGTCTGGGCCCCTCGGGGCCCGCCTCCAAAACCGCCTCCAAATCCTGCCCACAGGAATACACACACAGACACAAACACATTCACTGATACAAAAGGACACAGATACACACACACACACTGATACATACTAACAGACACACATACTGATACGCATATAGGCATACATACTGACACACACATACTGAGACATACACACATATACAGACACACAGGTGTACATAGTGACAGACACATACTAACATACATACAGACACACATACCAATACGCATATAGGCATACATGCATATAGACATACAGACAGACATCCATACATACAGACATACATACATAATGACATACATACATAGACACAGACATATACATACATACAGACATACATACAGACATACATTAACATACACACACAGCTCATTTTCCAGCCTCCTGTCTCTTACCTTGTCTTTGCAGGAGGGTGGCTGGGGCTGATGGGACTGGGAGTCGGCTGGCTCTCCCTCTTCATTGCCGGGGCAACGCTCAGATCTTGCGAGATTGAACACTAGCACACACATACATCACCCTTAGACACACATACAGCACCCTTCACACACATACAGCACCCTTACATACACAGCACCCTCACACACACAGCACCCTTACACAGACACAGCGCCCTTACACACACAGCGCCCTCACACACACAGCACATGCACACACACACAGCGTCTACACACACACACACACACACAGAGTACCTTCACACACACACAGCGCCTGCACACACACACACATCACCCACAGACACACAGCACCCTTACACAAAGCGCCTTCACACACACACACAGCACCCTCACACACACACAGTGCCTGCACACACACATAGCACCTTCACACATACACAGCGCCTACACACACACACACACACAGCACCCTTACACACACACACAGGGCTTGCACACACACAGCGCCTTCACACACACACAGTGCCTACACACACAGCGCCTTCACACACACACAGCGCCCACACACAGCACCCTCACAGTATATGTGTGTGTATGTATATATATATGTATATGTGTATATATATACACACGGCGTGTGTGTTTGTGCTTTAGTGTGCACACCCTTATACAATAGGCTGCGCACGCCTATGCCTATCTGTATACCTTAGTTCTCTACTGGTTGTCTACATTTTTCCCTCTGTCGGGCCCTTCTTTCTCCCTTCCATAGCTCTTCTCTTGCTTTTTTAAAATTCTTTATTTAGACTAGGCATGTCCAACCTGCGGTTGAACCGCTTGTAATGTGATCCAGTTGCTGTCCGGGCAACAGGGAACCCATTATTTACTATGTCCTTTCTGCACAGCTCCCTTGTGTGCCCTGCAGGGATCCGGCAGCTGGGATATGACCTCTTCCTATTCCTCTTTACTCGATGTGGCCTGGGGAAGCCAAAAGGTTGGACACCCATGATTTAGAGTCATTGTAAAAGAAGCACTAACAGTGCAGCATGCGGTTTAATGTCATCAACTCACTCTTCTCTTTTTCTATTTTAATCTATCCCTGGCCTCTGTTTTTGTATTCAGAACTTTACCTTAAATATTCTGTCTCTACCCTGATCACTCTCTGCAACCCAACCCACCACTCATTCTGAGCCTTACCTCGGCCCTTCTTTCTGTCTGTCTCTATGTCCTGAGCCTTCCCATGACCCTTCTTTTCTATCCCCGGAACCCTTCCCTTGACCCTTTTTTCTATCCCCGGAACCCTTCCCATGACCCTTTTTTCTATCCCCGGAATCCTTCCCATGACCCTTTTTTCTCTCTTTGTCTATCTCATGAGCCTTCCCTGGGCTCTTCTCTATATCTCTTGAACCTTCCCAGGCTCTTCTTTCTCTCTCTCTCTTTCTCTCTCTCTCTCTCTCTCTTTCTCTCTCTCTCTCTCTCTCGAACCCTCCCCTGGCCCCTCTTTCCCTCCGTCTCTCCTGAGTCCTTCCCTATCCATTCTTTCTTTCTGTCTCTCTCCTTCTTGAACCCTCCTTTAGCACTTCTTCGTCTATGTCTCCTTTGTGCCCACCCCTGGCCCGTCTTTCTTTCTGTCTCTTGAGCGCAGAAAAAACGGGTATGACTTTAGGGATATGCTGTGCCATAATCACTACAGTGGACTCTAGTTGGTAATATGACTAGGTTGCTATTTACATAGTTACATAGTTGTCTACAATGAAGAAACTAAAGTCTACCAAGTTCACCATGGCTTAGTTTCATAAATCTCACGATGTCCACTCTCTTACTAAATTCTTAGCTCACCTGTTACTTGCGCTTGTCTGTAATACTTTCATGTAGGCTGACATGTTTTTTTTTAGTTTTTTTTATTTTACTGTTACATAGCCTGTATTCTCCTTGTCTCTTTGATAATTTATACAATTGTGATCGAACTTTTAGTCATATATATAGACGTGGTTATCTCGCCTGTGAACACAGTGCAACATTCTCGACCGGTCAAGTCACATTTTCATACCTTACGCTGTCGTGTAAAAATCGTGTTGAAATATCATTACAAGCCTTTATGTTTACCTCTGCAATGCAAAAATAAAGAATGTTAAAAAAAAAAAAAATTCAAAATTTGAGATGGGTAATAGTTGTGGTATAAGGGGTGTGTAGCAATATTGGGTTTAAGGTTAGAGTGGGGTTCATAGGGTGTTTAGTTTTGTCTTCCAAGTACAAAAGTACCCAATATGTACTTTATGGTGTTTTGGAATATTACAGGGTTAAAGTTGGGGTTTGCAAAATAAATTCTTTGGCCATTCTGCCCTGATTTGTTAGGCAGGTCCCTCTAATTGCTATTATTAAAATCACATATTTATGTAAAATAAATATAAATATACACATTGAATTGAAATTTATATATTTTATTTTATAATTTTTTAATTCAGCTTGAGACATCCAAGCTATGCAGTACTAAATCATTTCCCTTTATTGTATACCCTTTATGTACCTAAAGCACCGATGACAGCCACTGGAGGCAGACTTAGCGCTGCAATGTAAACATTGCCGTTTCTCTGGAACTTAAATGCAATAGAGACACTGTCTCAGGACAACTTCAATGAGCTGAAGAGGTCTGGGTGCTTATGGTGTCCCTTTAATATCCAAATACAGTTAGAATGAAATTCCACATATATAATTTTTATGATAGAGATATATATAAAAACTCCAAGTAAGAAAGACTGCTCTCCGGTCTTTAAAATCAAAATGAAAATATTTATTGAAAAAGTTAAAAATAACGAACAACGTTTCGGTCCTCGTTCGGGACCTTCCTCAGGGTAAAATATAACAGGATATTTGACTCTGAGGAAGTTCCTGAACGGGGACTGAAACGTTGGTAGTTATTTTTAACTTTTTCAATAAATATTTTCATTTCAAAGACTGGAGAGCAGCCTTTCTTACTTGGCGTTTGTATCTACTGGAGCTCTGGTAGTGAGCCCGGCATTGGAGTACCAAAAGCGTGAGTGCAGGGGTCTTGTGTATGTATATATATATATATATATAGTGAGAGAAAATGTGGAATGGTTATTGAGGGAAGATATATTAGCTCTGTTTTCAGTGGTGTATCCTGGTTTTGTGCTGCCCTGGGTGATGTCATATTCCGGCTCACTCGCCCGCCCGCGCAGCAGCCTGCCTGGCTTGTCAGTTAGCCGCAAAGCTAACAAGGCATTTGCCCTGGGCATTTGGGGCGGCTTTTTTTGCTGCCCCCTGGAAAATGCCGCCCAAGGCAAATGCCTTGGCTAAAACGTCCCTGCCTGTTTTACTAGACAGCAACCTGAGGTTTTTAAATTAAATGTCCCAGGGAGAAATGTTAGGTTTGCAAGATACATTGTTGAAAGTTTGCAAACTAAGGTAAGGGTTCCTGGGGCCTAGCATTTGGAGAGCAGGGTGGGCCAGTGGTCCAATAGCACTAGCTGCTAAGTAACAGCCAGACCAGAACTTGTATTTAACTTAAGAGTTCCACAGATGTGACTAATTTAAATTCACCTGTATCCGGTCAATTAGCTGGCTAGCTTCTAAAAAGAAGTGTTAAGCCTGCTGCAGAGTGAGGGAGAAAAGGCCAACCAGATATAACAGATTAAAGAGAGTGAAATGGTGTTTATCGCAAGTATATTTTGTTATTGTAAGTGGGAAAGCCACCCAATTACAGATAGTGATTTCTGTGTTTAGTAAGTGCACAAACAAGAGCAAGGAATTTTGTTTTGTTTATTTTTATTTAAAGCACCAGTTTATTTTTCTGTGTGTGTGTCTGTATGACTGCCTGCCTGTAACTGTGTGTGTGTGACTGTCTACCTGTAACCGTGTGTGTTTGACTACCTGTGACCTGTCTGCCTGTGACTTTGTGACAGTCTGCTTGTGATTGTGTGTGACTACCTGTAACTGATTGTGTGTGTGTGTGTGTGTGTGACTGTCTGCCTATAACTGTGTGTGACTATGTGTGTGTGACTGTCTGCCTATAACTGTGTGTGTGACTATGTGTGTGTGACTGTGTGCTGTTGCCTGTAACTTTGTGTGTGACTGTCTGCCTGTGACTGTGTGATGCCTGTAACTGTGTGTTTGTGTGTGACTGTCTGCCTGTGACAGTGTGTGTGTGTGACTGTATAGGTGACTGTCTGCCTGTAACTGTGTGCGTGACTGTCTGGGCACAACTGTGTGTGACGTGATTGCTTGTAACTGACTATATGTGTGACTGTGCGTATGACTGTATGCCTGTAACTATGAGTGTGACTGAATGCCTGTAACTGTGTGTGTGGGGTGCAGGGATTTGTAGGAGAGGGGCAGGACAGGGGTTTTGTAGAAGAAACTGACAGGGGGTTTACAAAGTTTACACATTTGTGCAATAGAAAAAAAAAACCTACTGTTCCCATTTTGCAAAGATGTTTTGTTAGAATTAAATGTTTGTCTTGTCTCTTCAGATTCTGTTGGTGCTTTATAAATAATTGTAATTGTAATTGCTATGACCCCTCTTACCTGACCACCTGACCCTATGTGTGGGCCGGTGTTTTAATGCTGCATTCTAATAACATGACGTCTTCTGTGCGTTCTAATGACACAACGTCTTCTGTGCGTTCTAACGACATGACGTCTCCTGTGCGTTCTAATGACATGACGTCTTCTGTGCATTCTAATAACATGACATCTTCTGTGCGTTCTAATGACACAACGTCTTCTGTGCGTTCTAATGACATGACGTCTCCTGTGCGTTCTAATGACATGACGTCTTCTGTGCATTCTAATAACATGACATCTTCTGTGCGTTCTAATGACATGACGTCTCCTGTGCGTTCTAATGACATGACGTCTTCTGTGCATTCTAATAACATGACATCTTCTGTGCGTTCTAATGACACAACGTCTTCTGTGCGTTCTAATGACATGACGTCTCCTGTGCGTTCTAATGACATGACGTCTTCTGTGCATTCTAATAACATGACGTCTTCTGTGCGTTCTAATGACATGACGTCTCCTGTGCGTTCTAATGACATGACGTCTTCTGTGCATTCTAATAACATGACGTCTTCTGTGCGTTCTAATGACATGACGTCTCCTGTGCGTTCTAATGACATGACGTCTCCTGTGCGTTCTAATGACATGACGTCTTCTGTGCGTTCTAATAACATGACGTCTTCTGTGCGTTCTAATGACATGACGTCTTCTGTGCGTTCTAATGACATGACGTCTCCTGTGCGTTCTAATGACATGACGTCTTCTGTGCGTTCTAATGACATGACATCTTCTGTGCATTCTAATTACATGACGTCTCCTGTGCGTTCTAATTACATGACATCTCCTGTGCGTCATGTCATTAGAATGTTTTCTAACAGCCTACTTCGTACCCCTACTTTTACCTTTGTGTCACTATACCCCACTCCCTCTAGAACAGGGATCCTCAAACTCTGGCCCCCCAGATGTTGCTGAACTACAACTCCCATGATTCTCTGGCTATCTATGTAATTCAAAGAATCATGGGAGTTGTAGTTCATCAACATCTGGGGGGGCCGGAGTTTGAGGACCCCTGCTCTAGAATGTAAGCTCATTGAGCAGGGCCCTCGACCTCTCTGTTCCTGTACGTCCAGTTGTCTGGTTACAATTACATGTCTGTTAGTCCACCCATTGTACAGCGCTACGGAGTCAGATGGCGCTATATAAATAATAATAATAATGACGTCTTCTGTGTGTTCTAATGACATGACGTCTTCTGTGCGTTCTAATTGCATCACGTCTTCTGCGCGTTCTAATGACATAACGTCTCCTGTGCGCTCTAATGACATGACTTCTCCTGTGCTCTGCAACTTGTGGAAAAGTATTACTGAATGAAATGTGTGTATGAGGACTAGCAGGGGTTAACGGAGTATGGGATTTAAATATATGTATGATCGTCCCGTGCAATTGATGATCAAGCAAAGCAGATTTTGTGGATGACATTTCCCAGTAATCTACCGGATTCTTAAAGGCTCCCTTGGCCTGATGGGAAATGTACATCGCTAATATCCTTTGTGCCAAGGTAAGCCTTCACTAAGTAGTCTCAAATGAGAGGAGTCAGCCAAAAATAATAAATGGCTCCAGTACCACTACCACAAGATGCATTTTAAATTTCTATAACATCACCTTCTCTCCTACTAGAAGTGCATTGGAACTGGGAACTTCATATCTCAAACTGGCTACAATTCCAGTTATTTTGTAGCAAGTTGTAACTTAAGATGTTTCCAATTAGACTTAAAGGGACACTAAGCTAAACAACTTTAGCTCAAAGGATCAGAAACACAAACATATTTCTGACCCTGTAGTGTTAAAACCACCATCTAGCCCTCCTGGCCCTCTCTTGCCTTCCTAAATATAGTATAATCTTACTTGTATTCAAGTCTGCAGCTGCCGTCTCTGATCTGCCTGCTGTCTGCCGACATCATCATAAGTGGTGGTCTAAGCCAATCACAATGCTTCCCCATAGGATTGGCTGAGGCTGCCAAGGAGGCAGATCAGGGGCAGAGCCAGCACAAGTCAAACACAGCCCTGGCCAATCAGCATCTCCTCATAGAGATGAATTGAATAAATGCATCTCTATGAGGAAAGTTCAGTGTCTGCATGCAGAGGGTGGATACACTGAATGACAGTGATGCACAGTGTGCAGTACTGCCACAGGAAGCACCTCCAACAGCCATCTGAGGAGTGGCCAGTGGAGTTATCACTAGGCTTTAATGTAAACACTATCTTTTCTCTGAAAAGACAGGGTTTACTGCAAAAAGGCCTGATGGGAATGATTATACTCAAAAGAACAAATACAATAAGCTGTGATTGTTTTGGTGACTATAGTGTCACATTAATGAAGTTGTTTTGTTGTATATGTCATGCCTCTGCCATTTAGGAGTTAAATCACTTTTGTTTCTGTTTATGTAGCCCTAGCCACACCTCCCCTGGCTGAGACTCACACCGCCTGCAAGAAAGAAAATTTTTAAATTTTCAATCATATGTTAAAGGACCACTATAGTGCCAGGAAAATATACTCGTTTTCCTGGCACTATAAAGCCCTGGGGGTGCCCCCACCCTCAGGGTCCCCCTCCCACCTGGCTCTGGGGAGCGCAATCGTCCGTGTTTTTGCCCTCTTCCTAGGATAAATAACTACAATTAACCAAGGAGAAGGAAAAACTACCCATACGGATCAAGCTGAGAAAAATTCGGATAAGGGGAGGATCGCCTAAACGGATCCAAAAGCGATATCAACTAGAGCTGAGTTTACAGCTCTCTGTTTGTGAGTTTATCCTTATATTTTTACATTAGAGATTTTTTAATAATATACCATCTACACTATATGCGATTATTTTTTATTTTTAGGTACTTGGTTACCGATGCTGAACATACCCCTCAGAGACTATTATATAAGTGGAAATTGAACTGTATAAACGCTACATTCTTTTCTGTTTTTTTGTTCTTTCATTTGAGGTGTTGGAAGCACCACATGAATGTTTAGCAGCTAACTTGTATATATTCGTTATTCAATGTATTGATTTTAATTCTCTACAATAAGCGCTGGTCCTTATTCATTATAATTATACTTACCTTTATTCCAGCGCCGGGCGGGGAGCTCTCCTCCTCCTCTCCGCCTCCGATCCTCCCTTTCAGCTAAATGCGCACGCGCGGCAAGAGCTGCGCGCGCATTCAGCCCGTCTCATAGGAAAGCATTTACAATGCTTTCCTATGGACGCTTGCGTCTTCTCACTGTGATTTTCAATTGGAGGCTGGATTAACCCTATTATAAACATAGCAGTTTCTCTGAAACTGCTATGTTTATTTAAAAAAAGGATTAATCCTAGAGGGACCTGGCACCCAGACCACTTCATTAAGCTGAAGTGGTCTGGGTGCCTAGAGTGGTCCTTTAACTTAATTTAAAAGGTTTTAACTCCTCCTCTGTAAATTGAACTTTAATCACACAAAGGAGGCTCCTGCAGGGTCTAGAAGTGCAATAAATTAAGTTTAAACATTAGATCTCCAATTAAAGGAAGTGTTTAGGAAGGCTCAGCAATTCACATGCAGGGAGGTGTGGCTAGGGCTGTATAAAGATTTAACTCCTAAATCATAGAGACTGCAGGATCATTATCTATATACCATAACTGTTTTCTAAGATAAACTTGTTTTTGTGCCTGTAGTGTCCCTTTAAAGCAACACTATAGCTTAAATACAAACCTGTCCCTATTTAGATTCAGCTAGCCCCTCCGTGTGTAAGGAAAATTAATACACTTACCTTTTTTCCAGCGACACGACCCAATCAATGCAGTAGCATCCAAGCCAGTTGTCCATCGCTGTGCGTGCCTCCATTCCAATGCTTTCCTATGAGCTGCATTTGATCACATAACTATGTTTTACTCGGTCATTGTAGTGGGAGCTCCTCTAGTGGCTGTCTAGATGACACTACAGGTGTGTTCAACGCTGTAATGGAATCATTCTCGTTTCTACAAAACTGAAATCTTTTCCAAAGCAAGGTTAAAACTACAGGAGGACTGCATCCAGACCACTTCATTCAGATGAATCCGTTAAATCTACAGACTCCAAGTACCATGACCTCTTATTATCAGTGAAGTGGTCATGGTGCTTGGAGTAACCCTTTAGTCTGGACAGTTTCCTCAAAAATCCAGGTCAAAAATCGATATAATTATATAAAACAAAAGAATACAGATGACATTTTTTCCTACAATCTTATTTTTTTAATATCTTCTAGGTTTAAATTATTAAACTAAAGTAGTGAGAGTGGGGCATTTATTTGAAAATGGTGACTTGATGCCCCAGCTGTCAGTATAAGGAAGGTGACCCAGCCCTGACATAGGACCATGACGGACATAGTAAATAACTGTGGACAAAGTAAAAATCAAGATTTACAACTTTTACAAGAAGAATCGAAATGTCTAAACCGAACCTACTGAGGGTTCCTGAGCGTATATGTCACCAGCATTTCAGAAATAAAATAATATACCATTAATGTAGTATGCAGCATATCCAGAATGCAATGCAAACTAATCAAATCAGTACAGAAGGCGGTGTGATACTTTCCTTCCTTATTAAGACTCTGAAGACATGTTCTTATAATGTGAGTGAGCAGATAAGAAAGTACGTCCCTCATAAAGAAAGGAAAATAAATGCATCTTTAAAAACTGTGTTATCTAGGTGTGTATATTTGTGAGGAGTATATATATTTATAGTGTATATGCATATATATAGATATAGATATATAGAAAAAAATATATATTTTTTTATTATTATTTTTGTAATGTTTTTATATTTACATCATTCTCCTTTAACCAATTTTCTTGCTCCTGAGATGTGACAGATTACATTATGCACAGCTGAAGCCTTGCTATGTTAGTGCCTGCCTGTCGTAAGTGACAGGAGACTGACCTAATTATCAGAAGAAAGGGGATGAGGACAGAGCAAACAAAACGAAAAAAAAAACCCGTGTCTCTGGAAACTCTGAGATTACGAAGTACACAAGCATTAAAATGCTAAGCTCACACAGGCAATCAAATTAAATTATCATTTTATAATGAGCTGGTATGGGTACAAAAACCATGCAGCCACACGTGCTAGAAACAAGGTCCTTGAGGGCAATAGATCATTCTGCACTCTGTGCCCAAGAGAGGGGCTTCACATCGCAGGCCTTACTCGTGTATAGAAATTTAAAAAAAAAAATTAATCTATGTGTTTAACCTCGGTTGTCGCCCTCTTTAGGCTCCAATTACCTAGCCGATGATATTGCTAAAGTGCGCATATAACCAATGCTGAAGATTGTTCTCCTTTGTTGCATACTTTGATTTTTAGCCCTGTTTATGCTTTACAGTTTTGATATTTTACCATGCTAAACCACACGCATGTACATCAAATGCTGTAGAATTGTCAGGCGCACTTTTGACACGAGTACCATGTCCTACGGTGCCTTGTTTCCAATTTCTGCATATGTTCAGTAATACTGCTTGCGTCTTATCTCTGCCTACAAGGGCTAAGTGTAATATAAATGTCCAGTATAACGATACAAAGTCCTCGGTGCTCCTTTGTTTGCATACCTAAACTAAGCCTTACTATGATATGCGTTGCCATGTTTTCAATATAATCATATGTTTCGTATTACTATTTGTTCTCCATACTTGCTGGCAAACGCATAACTTGTATTACGCTATGATTGATTAAATCAATAAAAACTATTTCAAACAAAAACCACACAACTTTATTAAACAGAGTGCAAAAAAACGGTCTACAGGTCTGCTTGAGAATTTTTTTTTATTAGTTTTTAATACATATACATACCAACAGTGTTATGGTGGGGAAAAATTGTGAATGAAAATCCCTTCCACCTGAATTCAGTGGATAGTCAATAAATTGTTAAACACAGATCTACACACCAGTCAAGTCATAAGACTTGCTTTTCCCACAGAAATATCAAACTTGCAGTGATGTTACTGGGTGGGCAAAGGATTCTGGGTGGGCATATGCAAATTAGTTCAAAAAAGAATCAAATTTTTGCCTCATTATTCCATTTTAAACATGGATTCTTTGGAGTTGAGGGAAAAACAAGTTTCATGGCTTGACTTGTGTGACATGTCATGATGCCCTTTTATTCCAGAAGTTTGGTCCTTAAGGAATTAAGGAACATTCCGGGCACCATAACAACTTCATTGAAACCGTGACTAGGACCGGGCTGTTCTGAAAAGCTTTAGGTGACATCAATGAAAAAAACTATGTAACTAAAATGTAATTAATAACAAGAACAATGTTTCTTATTTACACAGACTGATTTCTAAACAAATTTATTGTAGTTTAACCCCTTAATGCCATTACGGCATTCTATGCCGTCCCGCTTTAATTGGGCTTTAAAGCCGTTGCGGCGGCATAGAACACCGTAACGGCTTTGAGCCCTGGAGCGCCCGGGATACTTACCTACCCGGCGCTCCCCTTCGGGAGGACTGCCTCACAGCCCAGGCAGCCCTCCCATGTAAAATGAGGACCTCGGGGGCCATGTGATCGCTCTCAAAGAGCGATCACATGGCCCCCTATAGCTGGCTGTGGATCTGCCAGCAGGGGGACTGTCTGAAATGTCAGACAGTCCCCATGCTGGTGGAAAGTGTAAAAAATAAAAATTAAAAATGTTATAAAATAAAATAAATATATTTATAAACATATAATATATGTATATGTATTATATATATATATAATATATATACATATTATATATATATGTAACATCATACATAGTGTATTTTAATATTAATATAAGCACATATATTAGTATTAAAATACACTTAGAATGATGTTACATATATAATATGTGTGTATATATATATATATATATATATATAATAGATATATACACATATGTTATATATACGTATAATTACAATAATAAATAAATAAAATAATAAAATAAATAAATAAAATATTGAAACAAAATTTAATATAAATTATATATACATATGCAATTTCATTCTAACTGTAATTTGTTATTAATATATATATATATATATATATTGGTAACAAAATACACTTAGAATGACATTCTATATATATATATATATATATATATATCTATATATAAAATACAAATAACCGCAAATATATATATAAATACATATAATTACATAAAAGATTACATTAGTATACACGTAGAATTTAAATACCTATAAATGCATATATATTAAAATTCTACGTGTATATTTAAGTAATCTTTTAACATAATTATGTGATTTGATTAATTAAAATTTGATTGACATGCCTGACAACACAGGGAGAAAGTGTACCTGTACATGGTGGGTACTGTTTTACTCAGGAGACTTTGCTGAACTCAAATATTAGTGTTTCAAATTGGTAAATTGTATTATAACGATGATATTTTAAGTAAAAGTGACGTTTTTTGCATTTTTTACAAGCGAACGGCACTTTTATGGACTATATTATTGTTGTAATATGTTTTACTGTTTTAAAACACTAATATTTGTGTTTAGTGAAGTTTCCAGAGAATAACAATACTCCCCATGTACAGGTTTTATTGTGTTTTGGAAAGTTAGAGAGTCACATATAAGGCTTGCATTTCATTTTTTTTTAAATTAAAATTTGCCAGATTGGTTATGTTGCCTTTGAGAGTGTATGGTAGCCCAGGAATGAGAATTACCCCCATGATGGCATACCATTTGCAAAAGTAGACAACCCAAGGTATTGCAAGTGGGGTATGTCCAGTCTTTCTTAGTAGCCACTTAGTCACAAACACTGGCCAAATATTATTTTTTTGCTTTTTTTCACACAAAAACAAATATGAACACTAACTTTGGCAAGTGTTTGTGACTAAGTGGCTACTAAAAAAGAATAAACATAACCCACTTTCAATACCTTGAGTTGTCTACTTTTTCAAATGGTCTGCCATTATGGGGGTAATTCTCATTCCTGGGCTACTACACCGTCTCAAAGGTAACATTAATTCAATTTGAAAATGGAACGTTCTATATTTGACCCTGTAACTTTCTAAAACACCATAAAACCTGTTAATGGGGGGTACTGTTGTACTCGTAAGAAATCGCTGATTACAAATATGTGCATTTTTTTGCAGTAATACCTAACAGTATTATGACATTCACAGCTAAAATGTCAGACGGAAATACAGATTTAAAAACAAATCTTATTTTCTCAAATTTTTTAAATTTTATTCATAATAAATTGTGTTCCATATATGAATAGTTAATGATAAATTAAAGCCCTGTTTCTCCTGAACAAAATTATATATAATAAGTGTGGGTGCACTTAATGTGACAGCGGTGAATTACGGTTGAACAGACATATAGCGCAAATTCCAGTTTTTGTTTACGTTTTGTTTTGATCAGAACGTGCACTATTGACTCCGTCCTGAAGGGGTTAAAGACACATTACTGGGAGTATTATTGCTGTGGAGCTCTGTTATACACTCAGACACATTACTGGGAGTATTATTGCTGTGGAGCTCTGTAATACACTCAGACACATTACTGGGAGTATTATTGCTGTGGAACTCCGTTATACTCTCAGACATTACAGTAATACTGAGCTCTGAGCCACATTACGGGGAGTATTATTGCTGTGGAGCTCTGTTATACACTCAGACACATTACTGGGAGTATTATTACTGTGGAACTCTGTTATACACTCAGACACATTACTGGGAGTATTATTGCTGTGGAGCTCTACACTCAGTTATACTGTTATTGTCCCAGACACATTACTGGGAGTATTATTGCTGTGGAGCTCTGTTATACACTCAGACACATTACTGGGAGTATTATTGCTGTGGAGCTCTGTTATACACTCAGACACAATACGTGTATACACTCAGACACATTACTGGGAGTATTATTACTGTGGAGCTCTGTTATACACTCAGACACATTACACTGTTATCAGACACATTACTGGGAGTATTATTGCTGTGGAGCTCTGTTATACACTCAGACACATTACTGGGAGTATTATTGCTGTGGAGCTCTGTTATACACTCAGACACATTACTGGGAGTATTATTGCTGTGGAGCTCTGTTATACACTCAGACACATTACTGGGAGTATTATTGCTGTGGAGCTCTGTTATACACTCAGACACATTACTGGGAGTATTATTGCTGTGGAGCTCTGTTATACACTCAGACACATTACTGGGAGTATTATTGCTGTGGAGCTCTGTTATACACTCAGACACATTACTGGGAGTATTAGTGCTGTGGAGCTCTGTTATACACTCAGACGCATTACTGGGAGTATTATTACTGTGGAGCTCTGTTATACACTCTGACACAGCAACAATATAGAGCGTCTTAAAAAAGAGGGACATTAGGGCAGAAAAGAGGAATGGATGAAATAATACAGTCACCTTTACCGTCTTTGCTGCTAATTCACAGCCAAGCGGCAGCAACAAAGAGCCCCTACAACAGTGATGGCGAACCTTTTTGAGCCCGAGTGCCCAAACCGCAATACATGCCAACATTTTTTCTCCTTAAAGTGCCAACACGGCAATTAAACCCAAATACTGAGGTTTAAGTTTAGAAAAAAACAACTCGTACTGTTGTCCGAACTAATAACTTTTGTTTTAAAAGAACACAGAGAGTTCAATTATACAAATTTTAAATAATGATATAAATAGATAAAATTAAGCTTATATTTATTAGTATCTCCAACAAATACAATACATACACACACAGACTGCTGAATACATACACACAGTCTGCTGAATACACACACACAAGACTGCTGAATACAGAGACTGATGAATACACATACAGACTGCTGAGTACACACACACACACAGAGACTGCTGAGTACACACACACACACAGATTGCTGAGTACACACACACACACACACAGACTGCTGAATACACACACACACACAGACTGCTGAGTACACACACACACACAGACTTCTGAGTACACACACACACACAGACTGCTGAGTACACACACACACACTGCTGAATACACACACAGACTGCTGAATACACACACAGACTGAATACACACACAGAGACTGCTGAGTACACACAGACTCCTGAGTACACACACACAGTCCGCTGAATACACGCAAACACACACAGACTGCTGAATACACGCACACAAACACACTGCTGAATACACACATACTGCATTGAGGTGGGGGGTGCGTGTGTGTGTGAGTGTTGTATGTGAGGGGTGCTGTGTGTGTGTGTGTGGGGGTGCTGTGTGTGTGTGTGTGGGGGGTGCTGTGTGTGGTGGGTGCTGTGTGTGTGTGTGTGGTGGGTGCTGTGTGTGTGTGTGGGGGTGCTGTGTGTGTGCTATATGTGTAAGGGTGCCGTGGGGGTGGTAGGGGTACCGTGTGGTGGGGGGTAGGGGTACTGCTGGGAGGGTAGGGTATGTGTGAGGGGGGTAGGGGTACTGTGAGGGGGGTAGGGTGTACCGCTGGAGGGGGGGTAGGGGTACTGTGTGTGGGGGTTAGGGGTACTGTGGAGGGGGGTAGGGGTGCTGTGTGTGGGGGGTAGGGGTGTGCGTGGGGGTAGGGTACTGCTGGAGTGGTTGGGGTACCGTGTGTGGGGGGTAGGGGTACTGCTGGGAGGGTTGGGGTTACTGCTGAGGGGGTAGGGCTTACTGCTGGGGGGTTAGGGGTTACTGCTGGGGGGTAGGGGTGTAACGATACCTTACCTGGGTCCGCCGATCCCGCGCGGCACGACAGCTTCCCCGGCTACTTCCGGGAGGCGGCGCAGCCTCTCGGACGCTGCCCGCTCGCGGCAAAATCCGTTTTATGACGCGGCGCATGCGCGCCGACGTCATAATGATTTTGCCGCGAAAATTCAAACGCGGCCACGCTCCCGAACCTTTTGGGGGCGTGGCTTTAAAGTGACACACACATTAGTATAAAAGGGCATTCCTGTCCACACCTCAGTGCCCTAGTGTGGTTCTTGATTGTTCCCCTAGTGCTCTTTTACTGTTTAGCTGTTTTTCTGGTATTTTGACTCTTGGCTTTCGTTCTGACTATTCTCCTATCTGGCTCCCTGACTTTTGGCTTGGTTTTTTCGTATATCACGATTTCCGTACTCCCTTGACCCTCGGCTTTTTCTTGACTATTCTTTGACGTTAAGTCCGGCCACCCTAAGGTCCGGTATACGTCCCTTTCAGGGTTACCATCTGTGTGAAGGGGTCACTATCGTGACAAGGGGTTACTGCTGGGGAGGGTAGGGGTTACTGCTGGGGAGGGTAGGGGTTACTGCTGGGGGGGTAGGGTGCTGGGGGGTTAGGGTTCTGCTGGGGGGGTGGGGGCTACTGCTGGGGAGGGTAGGGGTTACTGCTGGGGAGGGTAGGGTTACTGCTGGGGGAGGGTGCTGGGGGTTAGGGGTTACTGCTGGGGCAGGGTAGGGGCTACTGCTGGGGAGGGTAGGGTTACTGCTGGGGTAGGGTAGGGGTTACTGCTGGGGGTAGGGTTCTGCTGGGGAGGGTAGGGGTTACTGCTGGGGGGTAGGGGTTACTGCTGGGGAGGGTAGGGGTTACTGCTGGGGGGGTAGGGTGCTGTGTCAGTATACCCCCCCTCCCTCCTTCTTACCTTTAATGAAGTAGAGGGGGGGACAGCGATCCCTGGTGGTCCGGTGGTGGTAAGCACTGCAGGGGGAGGGCTCCAGGAAGCAGCAACCCTGTCCTCCCGCGCAATGCTGTGTGGAGCGTTGCCATGGTAACGCGCGGCAACGCTCCACACAGCATCGCGCGGGAGGACAGGGGAGCAGCTTCCTGGAGCCCTCCCCCTGCCTCCCGACACGGAAGCAGAGTAGGCGCCTGCCGTTTCGGGCAGGCAGGTGCCTACTCTGCATTGATGGCGAACCTGTGGCCGCGTGCCCACAGAAAGGGCCCGGCGTGCCACCTGTGGCACGCGTGCCATAGGTTCGCCATCACTGCCCTACAATGTCAACAAGAGGCTCCACCAATCAGGTGATGATCAGTCAATGAATAATGTAGTGGCACCCACACTGCAGCTGCAATCAGCCTATCGAGAGGCCAAATTACTTGTGAATTAGTGTTGTGTTGCCAAGATCTGTCTCTCTTTTTTTTCTCTTTTAGAGAGTAGGATGGTTGGGGAGCAGCGATATTGGGAAATGAACTATTGGGATATTAGTTACTCTAAGTCGGAAGTAAACCTCTCTATCGTATATCCATTATATTGATAATGCATTCAAATATTTAAAAGAAAAATCATTTACAGAAACATAATTCTTTAAAGAGGAACTGCCACTTTTCTAAATGTTACACAACCCGTTATCTTTCTAAAGAGTGGTTATGACTTGTTTGTTTTTGTTTTTAAGGAATAAAAAGGTTTTAGTTTGATATTGTAAGCTGTCGTGGCTCAGCCAGAGTGTGTAATGCAAATTTCTTTAACCACATCAGTTAATTGCACCGTGGTATCATTCTCTGTTTGTATATGATGATGCCACAGTGCTTGTCTGTTTGTTTCTAATTAAGTCCTGGACCTTTAAATAGCGAGCTGAATTCTGAATCTTTATTTTTATCCATTGATTCTTCAGGGCAACTCTGTCTATTGCAATAAAACATACTGAGCTGAACATCTTGACATTTACTGCTGAGATGAGATGTTTCTTGCTGAATTCGAGCTTGTGTCAATCTGTAACCGTGTTATTGCTCGATCTTAAGGGCAATATTTATAAAGAACAATTCGAAAAGTGGAGCAGTCACTGAATCGTTCCTGCTCGTTTCTCCAACTCCCAGGATGTTTCCCCAGAATTTGTAGAGTTATTTTGTTATGGTGATCATTTTTAGTAATGCAAAGTGAATTTAAAATTTAAGGCCAAAATTCCCAAGTTTGAAAAACTCTCAAGATCAGCAGCAATGCTTCCAGTTTGGACATATTGTTCTAAAATATTAGACTTTGAATTCCCAAGAAAATAGTGAATATCCTGATGCAAAAATAAAATGTAAAAAAAATGAATAATATTTAGACATTAAAAGAAAATTCATTAGTAGAAATCTATTAAAAACATTGTGAGTTGCTAGTTTTAATTTGGGGCAAAAATATTGCAGTTCCGAAGTTATTTCTGAAACTATTTTTAGCATGCAGGCTAACAACACATTAATAAAACACCGCAATGTGTTTTAACACATGGTTTAGTGCAAGTGATATTAATCGGGGGGCACTTTTACTTATAAATATCACAGTAGCAACATATTTTTTGCTATATTTCTTTTTGGCTGTGAAAGCATGAAAATTAGGCAGAACGTTCCATACTGCAAATTCTTTTATTTTTGAAAATCTTTTTAGCACCCTTCGTTTTTACTATAATTTTTGTTCAGTTACCGTTGGTTAGTACTTGCCATCGATAGTGCTTCCTTGTGTTGTTTATATGCCTTTGGTTAGAACATCAGTTTTGGATTGGTGGGAACTGCTCAACGTTCTTTTACCTTTCAGCCCTCACCGCGTTGGTCTTCTCCATGAAGCTCAGCCTCCTTGACTGAGTTCACAGAGTTTGATTATCTCAGCCAATCCAATGCGTTCCCATAGGAAAGCACTAGAGGCTAGTGTGCATGCGCGACAGACCATCTGACTGAAATAGTGCAATGCTTTGATCTAACTATGGCTGCATCCTCTCCTCTTATGGGCCTTCAGAAATGTCACGGGATTGGGGGGGGGGCCCGGAAGCAAGTACCAAATACCAATGTGTGCTGGATTATAATCCCAAACTGTTGATGGTTTTACCTTTAGGCTCACACATGACATCACGCTGGAAGAATTTGAAGATGAGGATTTATCTGAAATCACTGAGATCACAGATGAATGTGGCATTAGTTTGCACTGTAACGAGAGCAGACACTGCAAGGTAAGAGACTGTAGAGGACCAGATCTGTGTGTGTGGATATATATATTTTGTTGCTGCTTAATCTGAGTTTATGTGCTGGGTCCTCCTTTTCCTTGTGTGCTGCTCTGTGTATATTGTACAGTCTTTTTCCTCATTTCTTGAGTGCTGGAGAATATTTTGGAAGTGTATAAATGCCAGTGACCATCAAACTGTTCACTACTAGATATTATTTATAAATTCACTAAAAATCTCTGAGTTTAAATGGACACTATAATCACCAGAACCACTACGGCCTAATATAGCGGTTCTGGGTCATAGAGCCTGTTCATGCAGGGTCAGCAGTTTAAATGCTGCCTTTTCTATGACCACCTTCGGTGGTGGTTTTTCAGACAGCCACTAGAGGGACTTCCTGGGTTCAGTCCTGCAAAGATTGCAGGATGACGTTCAGCGTCTCCACGCTATGCATAGAGATGCTGAACGCTTCCCATAGAGATGCACTGACTCAATCCATCTCTATGAGGAGATGCAGAGTGGTGTAGTGCGGTGATTTGCTGCGCATGCGCACAAGTCCCAGTGAAGCATTGGATTGGCTGAGATCAGTAAGATTGATGAGCTCAGCCAGGGAGGCGGGGCAACTGCTGAGCGTTGGGTGTGGCAATGGCTAAAAGGTAAGTAAATCTTTTTTGTTGCACATGGGGACGGGTGGTTGTTCATCTAAATTGCAAAACGTTATAGCGCTAGGAATACATGTCAGAAATTTATTTGAATACAAGAAATTTCAATTTTTTGGGGACTGTTGTCCATGAAAAATGAATTAGGAAACATTAAATTGAGGCTAAATCATTGTGATGAACATTTGGAGATTTTTGCTAACTGAGTTTTGCAGGTAAAATGGCAGAAACATGCAAACTTTGTCTGCTGGCTGCACAAATCAGAAAGGGGTTAAATTTATAAGTAAAAGGAAACCAGGTGAGTCTAATTCACTATTAATCACAAGGCCCTGGGGGAATGGCTTGAATCAATGGTAACAAAAAAAGGTTAGTTGCAATCACCTATTAGATACTTTATAATATATTACATAATAAATATAAACGTTGTATTAACTGCATTTGCCGATCTATACTTATGAGTTGAACTGATTCATATTTCCGTTACTGAAATGAAAGATAAATAATTAATCTCACTGTTCTGTGTTAATTTTTTCTTTAAATCTCTTTATGGACGAGGAGTAATTTTTCTATCTGTTGCCATAGTAACATAGTGATATATGCTAGTGACTGGATTGAAGTGGCTTATGTTCTGCATATTGATATAGAGTTCTCCATTAATCACTACAAGCAGTGTACTTTAGCATTGCAGAATGTGAAGTGGAGGAGGATTCATCATTACAGATCGCTTGTAGTACAGGGTTCCTGTCTGTCAATTTAGAAACATAGAATGTGACGGCTCATAAGAACCATTCGACCCATCTAGTCTGCCCAATTTTCTAAATCCTTTCATTAGTCCCTAGCCTTATCTTATAGTTAGGATAGCCTTATGCCTATCCCACGCATGCTTAAACTCCTTTACTGTGTTAACCTCTACCACTTCAGCTGGAAGGCTATTCCATGCATCCACTACCCTCTCAGTAAAGTAATACTTCCTGATATTATTTTTAAACCTTTGCCCCTCTAATTTAAGACTATGTCCTCTTGTTGTGGTAGTTTTTCTTCTTTTAAATATAGTGTCCTCCTTTACTGTGTTGATTCCCTTTATGAATTCAAATGTTTCATATCCCCCCGTCTCGTCTTTCCTCCAAGCTGTACAGGTTACAGGACGTGTTACAATATTGCTAACTGAGCACAATGTATCACTTGCTCCTGAAAAAAGGGGTTTAATATTCCAGGACACCCTATCTGACAAGTGCCTTTAAAATTCAATTTTGTTTCAGAAATACACAGAGTATCTAATTCATTTATTGTCACTCTCAGTTTGTGCTTCGTGGAGACTTCTTGGGGAATCTAGCAAAGGGAAAAAATACAAAAACGGACGATCGGATTAGGGTCCCAATGGATCCAGCACTACTAAGAGAAATGCTAGAATCAGAGATTATTTCTGTGTGTGCAATGCTAATTCTGGCAAGCATGCTGCTGGGTTTCTTTTTAATAAAAATGAATCATAGATTTTAATGGCATATAAAAGCCAACTGGCACTCTGTACAACAACATCATTTGCCTTTAGGGATGCAAGTCAGTTTGCTGCGTAGTTTTTCCTGCCATAGAACTTTGATGTTTTGTTTAGGAATTTAAGGTGAAAACGTACTTAATTACACTACATTTATAAGGTCATATAGCTCCAAATATCCAAAAAATATTTATGCGCGGAATGTATCTGAGCACAAAGCAAGCCTCTGTTTGTTGCCATATCTTGCTGTGACGCTTGCCCCTTGCACTACTGTGTGCATTACAGAGAAAGTCTGTGAACATGTGCTAGATTTGGGCAGAGATGCTGCTAAGTCACGAGGTGGCAGAACCATTTGATGCCCAATCTTTTAATAATTTTTTTTTGTAAATATCTTTTTATTTGTTTTGAATTTAATTTCGATACATAAGTCATAAGCATAGACAATGGAGGATGACAGGTAGGTCCCCAAATCTGGTAACTGAAGATGTGCTTGCCTCTTAACATGGGAGCGACGAGTCTGTATATCAATTATTAGAACAGCATAGACAATTAACAGTAAGTATCGGAATACCCGATGTTCTCCTAATCCTTTCAATCACCCAACATGCCGGCTCTGTCACCTGTTGCCAGGAGGACTAAGGAAAAGTGCAATGAAAGCACATTTAAAAGCTCTCGCGCTGCACTTATAATTTAAATTCAGGGTAATTGAGCCCATGAATGTGTGCTGCAGCAAAGCTCAATGTATATGCATATGGCAGTTTGCCATTCTAGCGCGCATGCACCATTGGATGTTGCACCTACTTTGTTGACGGGCATGTTGTTAGTATCACTGACTGCATCATGCATACACCCACCAGTCAAAGCCAGAATGATACAATTACAATGTAAAGGGTTGAAACGGTATCCTTGTAATGTGACTGACTCCATCTTTAATACTAAAACTTGTCTTCAGTGGCTTTTTTTAAAGGGAGCTGTTTCTAATTATTCTTATTATTACTGATGTTTATAATGCCAGGGACCTCTCCTCTCCGGCCGGGTAATTTTGGCAGAGTAGGCACCTGCAATGTGGGGAGAGCAGGTGCCTATTCTCCTTTAGTAAGTATGGCAAACTCGTGGCTCGCTGGGCCGCCTACATATTAATTGTGGGCCGCATGAGGACCGCGGTTCTGCGAGTTTGACATGCTTGATGTGAAGTGACTAAGGAGGTAACAGAATGTGATGTCAAACAGCTGGAAGGGTGTGCTCCACGGTTAGAATGAACTAGGGTGGGTAGATGCATAGCAGGAACCAGTTTATTTAGGCTGGTTTGTGGAATAAGGCCTGAGAGTTGCAGTAAGACATACCTCCCAACATTTCAAATGGACAAAGAGGAACACTTTAATTTTAGGGTTGTGGCCAGGGGGTGGGGCTGTTCTTATAAATTCTAGGTGACTTACGAATAACAATTTAGAAAGCTTAAATGTAATTTAGAACAAGAACAATGTATCTTATTTACACAGACTGATTTCTAAACACATTTATTGTAGTTTAAAGACACATTACTGGGAGTATTATTGCTGCGAAGCTCTGTTATACACTCAGACACATTACTGGGAGTATTATTGCTGTGGAGCTCTGTTATACACTCAGACACATTACTGGGAGTATTATTGCTGTGGAGCTCTGTTATACACTCAGCACATTACTGGGAGTATTATTGCTGTGGAGCTCTGTTATACACTCAGACACATTACTGGGAGTATTACTGCTGTGGAGCTCTGTTATACACTCAGACACATTACTGGGAGTATTATTGCCGTGGAGCTCTGTTATACACTCAGACACATTACTGAGAGTATTATTGCTGTGGAGCTCTGTAATACACTGACACATTACTGGGAGTATTATTGCTGTGGAGCTCTGTAATACACTCAGACACTAACAATATGGAGAGGAGGGTTACTAGGAGAGAAGAGGGACAGAGGGATTTGAGGCCCAAAAAGTAAGTGGCTCAGTTTGTTAGCTGGTTTGTGGAATAAGGTCTAATGATCAGGGGCAAGGTATGGGTGAAGAGATAGAGCAAACATTTGTTTTATAAAATTTAAAGGATCACTATAGGGTCAGGAACTCAAACATGTATGGTGTTTAACCCACCATTTCGGTGGCTTTACCCCCCCCATTAATCTGTAGTTGTTCTGGTGACTATAGTGTCCCTTTAAATATTTGCCAGACAGATTCTATCAGCCAAAATGTTAATAACTCTATGTACCTGGAATAGTGGGTAAATATATTCATTGAAACTTACAATGAACAACTGCATGTACAGAAAATTACAGTGCTAAACTACAAGGATAAATGGTAACATGTTGATTAGGTAAGTGGTTATAGTGCCCCTTAAATGCAAGGTCTACTTTTAGGATAGGTCACTATATTTGTTGCATAGGGGGTATATTACTATCCCCTCAGTGTTTAGCTTTGTAACTGCACATACTATTATGGCTGTAATAATGCCATTCTCTAAGAAATGCCGCAGTGTTACAACGATTCTTTGTGTCATTTTGCCAGTGCCAATGTAATATTGAATTATGACTTCCGAGTCAGTTGCCTTTTGTTTAAATAAGCTCATTGGGTGGGTAGGCAGACGGTTATCTGGATATGGCCTGGATTGGTATATGGACTAGGTCCCTGGACATGGTGGAGAGGCCATAATGCTGACGATAGGAACAATGATCCCAGCATTCCGTGATTTCCAGAGACTCTGTGTCAGACTAGGACTATTGCCAGGTGTGCCTACAGGATCCACAGAATGGATGGGCGTAAGGATAGTATAGCCAACAGAAATGTGGGTTCCAAAGCTTGAGTAATCAGCTGATACTTTGGTTTCCATGGGGATTACAGAATTTGAACCCACGTTTCTGTTAGTGACACTTTTATAATTCTCCCATAGAGGGATATTCACTAACAGTAAATTTAAAATTTAAGGCGAATAGCTGAACCAGAAACATTTTCTAATTTAGCCATGCTTCCAGTTCAATTACTTTGGCCTGAAAGGAACACTATAATGTTAGGAATACAAACACTCTAGTGCTGGAGTGGCTGTATAGGCGACCGCCCCCCTTTCTGTAAAATAAAAAGGAATTTAAACATACCTTTTCTCCCTTGCCTCCATGGTTGAGATCCTAAATCTTCATGATCTCAGTTAATCCTGTTGGAAAGCATTGGAAGGTTATTGTGCATGCGCAGAAAAACGAAGCTCCTCTTAGGGAACGTTCAGCGCCTTCATGCAGAATGTGCGACACTGGACTAGGAAGCACCTTTAGTAGCCATCTGAGTGACTGCCACTAGAGGTGTCCATAGGCAGCAATGTAAACACTGCCTTTTCTCAAATTAGATGTAGTGGTTCTAATGACTATAGTGTCCCTTTAAGTATAAATTCACGGTAAATTGAAAGTGACTTTCAGCTAAATTTAAAACATAGCTGGTTTGAAGATAGTGTTTTTTTCAGTCTGGGTACTGGACCTAAAATTGCAATTCACTTTAAATTCACAATGAATTGTAATGAATTGAAAACCGAATGGCAAAATTCATGCAAAAAGCTGAAACATTTATAGTTCAGGTCACAGCTCAGCTATTTTAACCGAAATCTTTAACTCCACTACAATTCACTGACAAATGAATAGATTTTGTAAATCACTCACGTTTACTGCATATTAAAGCAGTAAATTACTATAAAGATTTAAAATACTAGTTGGCTTTTTTTTGTATTTCCATCTTTTTTATATGCTACTAATCAAGTGCCACGCCTGCGGCAGATATTTAATTTACTGCCTTCTCAAAGAGACTAATGTTTGGATACATAATACCACTGAAATAAAAAAATATAAAATAAAAATGTCTGGCGTTCTATTGTTTACAACAAGGCTGCAAGATAAGATTTCAATGGGTTTTCTTAGCAGTATTAAAATGAATGAAATAAAAAATTCTAGAATTTCCTATTGAATTGAATGTGCACGCAGACTCTGTGTATGTTCATGTATTCTGTTTGTCACTGTGTATTTTCTGTGTGCGCACAGCCAGCCTCTGTTCAGGGCACACAGTCCCAGCAGGGACCTGAGGTCATGTTTTGTGTGACGTTCCCCTCCCTCTGTTTTTTGTTCCATTATTCCCACACTCCCTGTTTCTTCCTACACGTTGTTGTTTTCCCTTTGCTCTTAATTACTATTCTGTGTGTGTGCCTGTCCCGTGATGGCTGTCCCACTCAGCCTTTTCTGGGACATCGTGGCCTTCTTTGTTGTACAGTTCCACTTGTTACATATCTTGGGTTGTTTCTACGCAGACATTGTCCGTTTAGATCCCTATGCACCGTCGCACGCGGTCTGCCATTAGTTTGTATAATGTCGCTTGCCTCCGTAGAGACATAACTTTTGCCATTGTGTTCCCCTCCCTGCAGCGTTGACACTCACCCCCCCACCTCAGCAGATGATGTCACTCTAACTCTCCCTCCCTCTTGTCCCATGACTCTGTCTCCTGATCCCCCAGAGCTGTCTGCTTGTCGAGCCAGGACCAGCCCCAGGAGGGGTGGGGGCTGCCAGCCGGATCCAGGCAGAGATGCTCCAGTTGGATCTAATTGATGCTGTACAGATCCACGAAGAAGAGACAGTGCCTTCCGCTGACCCCCGACCTCTTCTTCCTTCATCCATGGATACATACAGGCCCAAGAGACCCACGACCCTCAACCTCTTCCCCCAGGCCCCTCGAACACAGGTAATGACAGAAGTTCGCAAAAATGTATAGGTACTGTAAATATGCCAGAACATCAGCTGATACAATCAGGTCACACATGGCACCAGTGCTTTGTGTTTGTAGGACAAAAAGTGCCAGTACTCATCAATAGGTACCAGTGCTCTTCAATAGGTACCAGTACTCATTAATAGGTACCAGTGCTCTTCAATAGGTACCAGTGCTCTTCAATAGGTACCAGTACTCATTAATAGGTACCAGTGCTCTTTAATAGGTACCAGTACTCATTAATAGGTACCAGTACTCTTCAATACTATAGAAAAAGTAATCTGGTCTTCTGTATGGTCTATTGCAGAGGTGGCGAGAGTGTAAATCCAGGTATTGCAGAACTACAAGACCACTGACATTTGCCAGGGTCAGTCAAAGGATCATAGCAGACGTAGTTCTATAACAGTTGTACAATAAAACCACATTCAACTTCTCCATTACATCACATAAGGGATAAGGTGAATTGTGTTTTATTGTACATTTGTAAGGTTAATAGGTTAGTAGGTCCTCCTATTTTTCACTTATATCCCTATTTCAAATCCACTTTTCCCCAAGGCTTAGGTTTCCACCTAACCTTTGTATTGTAGTTCTATAACAGTTGGAGATTTAACTTTTTGGCCACCCCTGGGCCTTGACCCATTTTGATCTTAAATATGGTGTTCAAATGACATACTCCTCGAGTATCCCCACAATACATTCCTACATCTAAATCTGTTCTTTTATTTTTAACATAATAGACTAATAACCGGGCCACAACTATAATAATAAGACTACTCATTTTAATGCACTTAAATAATAAACAAAACGTGTTCATTCACATCCCTCCTCCATTCCCAAGATGAGATGTGAAATACTTATTAAATTTTCTTACCCGTAGAAAGGTATAAATAAGAAGCAACATACAGAAATCGATACATATCACGTGGGAGACACATGCTGCCATACATAAAGCACATGAACACGTAAGAGATATACAAATATCTGTAATTATACATACAGGCGTACATTTTATATATGTTACATGGAAACGTAGGTTGCAATAGCAAAGAGGAACCTGTCTAGGCTACTCTATATGAAATATCAGATTTATTCTGCCAGTTTGTTTATGGTGGCTTCGTCCATTTTTAAATGAGCTAGCCTTTATTCCTTCCGCTGGAAGACTATTCCGGGTATCTACTACCCTTTTACTATTTCCTCAATAATGCCGCTATGTTCTTTTAATACTTTGCACAAAAAAAATCTTCCCCAAAGTAGATGTGGTGTTTAATTTTACTGCACGCCAAAAGCAGCGCTCGGTGAAACGCAGGGCAGTCCTTGCATCGCCTGCCGCTATGGAGCTAAAACTCCCATTATGTTTAGCCAGACTCCTGTCCCTGAGCATTGCACTATAAAATGTGTCTGTGTGGATACTTATATATAGCAAATACAAATAGCCAGGATATAACCTTAATATTATGAGCAAACCAGTGTGACAGCTGTCTGAGTTGGTACATGGAAACACCAGGCCCTCTCTGAAGCCTGTCTGCATGTGTGGGTGAATCTGGTGCCTATTTGCATGCATGGGGGGTTGCATACACACATACAGACTCTTTTCTCTCTCTCCCTCTCTCCCTCTCTCTCTCTCTCTCCCCCCTCTCTCCCTCTCTCTCCCTCTCTCTCTCTCTCTCTCTCTCTCCCCCTCTCTCTCTCCCCCTCTCCCCCTCTCCTGGAGCATCATACCTCTTCAATACACTGATTTATTCTCCGTACTATATTAAACTAATAGTTGACGTCTAAACTGCATTTTTTGGGTAATAACCTTCCATTAGCTTTGAACATAATGACTTGTGTGAAGTCAATCAGTATGCGGCCCCTTCCAATCCCCTGTTATTGTGATTAAATACACAACGCAGGCTCACAGGCCAGAGGAGGTGGGGGCATTGCTGACGCGTCTGTCAGGAGCCACAGAATATCAGAATATCCCTGACAGATGCTCTGTACTCACACAGTAATCTCAGCTAATAGGAGACATGTAATCCTGTCAGTGGCTGCTAATGGGATGAGGGCAAATGGTTTATCCACTGTGTCTTTCAATAACCTCCAGGCAACTCCTACCCCTGTCACTCCTATCCACAACGTCTATGAAGTCTATAACTTATATTCACTCTCTCCTTAAAGTCTGTCAGTTTCATCCATGCTTTTCCTGAAACCTTTCATTCAATCCTTAGCTGGTGCTCTCTAGTCTGTTCTAGAACTTCTCGGTATTTATTCTTCCCAATCCACCCTCTTCAAGACTTTGGTATATCTGCTAACTGCTTTATCTCATCCCAGGAATGCACTTTCATATACCCGGCCTCTCTCAGGGTACTCCCTCTCTCCAACCGGCCTCTGTCAATGTACTCCCTCTCTCCACCCGGCCTCTCTCAGGGTACTGCCTCTCTCCACCCGGCCTCTCTCAGGGTACTGCCTCTCTCCACCCGGCCTCTCTCAGTGTACTCCCTCTCTCCACACTGTCTCTCTCAGTGTACTCCCTCTCTCCACTCTGTCTCTCTCAGTGTACTCCCTCTCTCCACTCTGTCTCTCTCAGTGTACTCCCTCTCTCCACTCTGTCTCTCTCAGTGTACTCCCTCTCTCCACGCTGTCTCTCTCAGTGTACTCCCTCTCTCCACGCTGTCTCTCTCAGTGTACTCCCTCTCTCCACTCTGTCTCTCTCAGTGTACTCCCTCTCTCCACTCTGTCTCTCTCAGTGTACTCCCTCTCTCCACGCTGTCTCTCTCAGTGTACTCTCTCTCTCCACTCTGTCTCTCTCAGTGTACTCCCTCTCTCCACCCGGCCTCTCTCAGGGTACTCCCTCTCTCCACATTGTCTCTCTCAGGGTACTCCCTCTCTCCACACTGTCTCTCTCAGGGTACTCCCTCTCTCCACTCTGTCTCTCTCAGTGTACTCCCTCTCTCCACCCTGACTCTCAGTGTAGTCCCTCTCTCCACGCTGTCTCTCTGTGTACTCCCTCTCTCCACCCTGACTCTCAGTGTACTCCCTCTCTCCACGCTGTCTCTCTGTGTACTCCCTCTCTCCACGCTGTCTCTCTGTGTACTCCCTCTCTCCACGCTGTCTCTCTGTGTGCTCCCTCTCTCCACGCTGTCTCTCTGTGTGCTCCCTCTCTCCACGCTGTCTCTCTGTGTGCTCCCTCTCTCCACGCTGTCTCTCAGTGTACGCCCTCTCTCCACACTGTCTCTCAGTGTACGCCCTCTCTCCACCCTGTCTCTCTCTGTGTACGCCCTCTCTCCACCCTGTCTCTCTCTGTGTACTCACTCTCTCCACTGTGCATCTGTCAGTGTACCACCTCTCCCCACACCATGTCTCCCAGGGAATGTCGTCTCCCCAAACTACCTCTCCCAGGGTAACCCTCTCTCTATACTACTCCCTCTCCCCACTCTGCCTCTGTCAGTGTACTCCCTCTCCCACACTAACTATCCCAGAGTATGCCCTCTCCCACACTACCTATCCCAGGGTACACCCTATCGCTATACTACTCCCTCTCCCCATACTACCTGCCCCAGGGTACTCTGTCTTGCTATACTACATCTCACAGTGTACACACCATGTCCCCACACTACCTCTCACAGCGTACACACCATCTCCTCACACTACCTCTCATAGCGTACACACCACCTCCCCACACTACCTCTCACAGCGTACACACCACCTCCCCACACTACCTCTCACAGCGTACACACCACCTCCCCACACTACCTCTCACAGCGTACACACCACCCCCCCACACTACCTCTCACAGCGTACACACCACCTCCCCACACTACCTCTCATAGCGTACACACCATCTCCCCACACTACCTCTCACAGCGTACACACCACCTCCCCGCACTACCTCTCACAGCATACACACCATCTCCCCACACTAACTCTCACAGCGTACACACCATCTCCCCACACTAACTCTCACAGCGTACACACCATCTCCCCACACTACCTCTCACAGTGTACACACCACCTCCCCACACTACCTCTCACAGTGTACACACCACCTCCCCACACTACCTCTCACAGCATACACACCATCTCCCCACACTAACTCTCACAGCGTACACACCATCTCCCCACACTACCTCTCACAGCGTACACACCATCTCCCCACACTACCTCTCACAGTGTACACACCACCTCCCCACACTACCTCTCACAGTATACACACCACCTCCCCACACTACCTCTCACAGCGTACACACCATCTCCCCACACTACCTCTCACAGCGTACACACCATCTCCCCACACTACCTCTCACAGCGTACACACCAGCTCCCCACACTACCTCTCACAGCGTACACACCAGCTCCCCACACTACCTCTCACAGCATACACACCATCTCCCCACACTACCTCTCACAGCGTACACACCATCTCCCCACACGAACTCTCACAGCGTACACACCATTTCCCCACACTACCTCTCACAGCGTACACACCATCTCCCCACACTACCTCTCACAGCGTACACACCATCTCCCCACACTAACTCTCACAGTATACACCCTTTACCTACCTACGCTAAGTCACTGATTCACCACTCCCAGACCAAACCCAACTGTGCCTTGTTTCTGTCACTTGAAGGCCATACTGCGTCCCTACCCAGTCACATCAAGACCACAATCCGTCATTTGTACCCAAGATTTTATTACATAAGATCTACATTTGTTTGCCTCTATTTATCCTCTTCTCACTTTCATTCTATATTTGTTGCTCTGCTTTTTTCCCCACCAGTTCTGTCACTCTTTCTCCTCTCTTTAAATCCCCCATTCCATGCACGGAGCAGTGGTTGCCATGGTTACAGCAGCTGGAGAATAGCTGCTCTGGGCTTGGGTGAATCATCAGGGATCCCTTAGTCTAACACCATCTCTCAGTCTCCCAGCCCTTTCCACCTAAAGCAAACACAGATCAAAGGGTTATGCCATTAATGTTTGTGAAGGCTGCACACAGACGCTTCTCGGATTCTGCATGACCGGAGGGTCGATAATGTAGCTCTGTAATAAAAAGCACCGTCTGATGCTGGAAATTATTGCCAACAATGTGAGATTTAAATAACAGTTTGATCTCTTTCCTTTTGGTACCACGCTGCACTATATGTCTGCGCTATGCAGATACACTCATTGGGCTTTAATCTTAGTCATGTTTTTTTTAATATTTTTCTTCTCCTTCAGGACACTCTAAATAATAATTCTCTGGGGAAGAAATACAGCTGGCAGGATCGTGTTTCTCGCTCCTCCTCTCCCTTGAAAACTGGTGAGCATGTCCTAATCTGCACACTTCCAGGCCTTATTCTAGAGCATATGAAACCCTGTGCCACAATGGCGGGAACACCCACTCCGCACAGTTGGACCCCAGTCTATATACACCATAGAGTACTGGGCCGATAATCTGCATTACGATACATAGTGGCTACTAAGAAGGGTCATCTAACCTCAAGGTATCCATCTCATCCAACACGCAGTCCTGAGCAGCCCCTTATAAACGGTGATGGTTGTTTCTATGCCAGGCATCTCAAACTATGTCCCCCAGATGCTGCCAAACTACAACTCCCAGAAGTCTCAGGCCATCTATTGCAACATCTGGTCAACCAGAGTTTGAGATCCCTGGGTATTCAGCTAGCGCGTTTAAAACTGGCACTCAAAATTCACTAGTCCTGGGAGATGGCACCGAATGTCCAACAAGAACTACAGCATGTGTGTCTCCAAATATATAGTGCAATATAAAGTACAGACATAGGGGTTTAGGACTTTAAAGGCCAGATACCTTTTTCTTGAACTGAGTAAATCTAAAACATCCAGCAAGCTGTAGCAAATTGTCGGTCACACTAAGTTTAGCAGATAGAATTCCTCTGAGATTCCCTATCACATGAACAGAAACCGCATGGGGCTGGATGGGAGGCAGTGAGAGTGGCTTTAGGAGGACGTTTATGGTTTGGGTATCGGTAACAGGTAAAGTGGGTTTGGAGTGGTATTAAGATGACTTGGGGTAAGCAGCAGGGCTTAGGGTTATGGATACATTTCCCATGTTCTTTAATAGGCTTCCTGAATTAAATAAATGAAGGCTATTTAAATAATTGAGAATGGATGAATGAACAAACATATAGAGATTTGTTTGATGAAAATAATAAGTCAGCTGCACTCTTATAGTTATCATGGCTCTATTGCACGATGTTGTGGCTTGGGTACCTCTGGGGGTGAAGTTACCAACCAGATAGTTGGTTATGGGCCAATGTTGCCAGAATGGAGGCACACATTATCATGTGTCTGAAATATGCCACGTTAAATGCCTGAAACCCCATCTTCCCCTGCCAAGCCATTATTATATAAAAAAAATAAAGCTATCTCGTGACTTACTACGTGACTTAGTAGGAAACCATGATAGAAATGATTGTGACATCTACTCCAGGCTGGCTCAATGGCATAATAACAGGACAAGATGCTGGATACTTACTCACAAATTTGGCATTTATTAGTTAATGATGAGTTGATTGGTTTGGGTACCTTTCTATGTACAGGTCCATAAATCCCTGCTATGTCCATCTGTCCACAGGAGATACCACACCATCCAATGAGCACGTGTGTCTGAGTGATGAAGGGAACCCACCAGCTGTTACCCAGGACCGAGGGACCTCTACAGATACTCCTTGTCGACATAACAACACTACACAAAGCACCAATGACCCCTCTAGTCGCACAAACACAAGATCTCGCCTGGACCCTCACCGAGATCGAATCCGCTACCAGACTGATGTTAGGCTTGAACCCACAGAGGAGATCTTCCTGACACCAGTCCAGAGATGTTCAGATCCTCAAGAACAAGATAAACCCTTTCTGTCACAGACTGGACCCTGCCGTATGTCTGTCAGTTCAGATGCAGATGTTAACATCCGCCCGCACAATGGTGGCCGGCAGCAGTTATCTATCAGTGAGGAGGAAGAGGAAGGAGATGATGGGGTGGGATACCTTGGCTGCTCTGGCAGAGTGGGTGGTCACCGTGCCCTTCAGAGGTCATCAGTTAGTTCCGACACCAGTGGCTTATCTTATGACTCTGTAAAGTACACCCTGGTGGTAGATGAGAACGTGCAGTTACAACTGGTCAGCCTGCGGCAGTGTTATGCAGGATATAGCGATGACAGTGACAGTGGTACTGTATACGACAACTGTGTTTCCTCGCCCTATGAGTCGGCCATTGGGGAAGAGTATGAAGAAGAGGAAGAGGAGCAGGTGGGAGCTGCCGGGAGGGAAGGGAACAGAGTTCGGAGGTCTATGTGCCTCTCGGAGAGCTCCTCTCCAGAGGGCGATGTCTCCTATTCCAAAAAATTCCTCAACGTCTTCATGAATGGGCGTTCACGCTGTACGAGTGAGTGAATCAAAGGTTAAACAATAATGGGGGTATGGCGAGATGCGTGTTGGTGTGCTTTAACGGTTTCTGTTGCTGTTTGTGTGAAGAATTTTAAGTTTACGACCTCTCATATTGTATTTAAAGTGCATGTCCTTTATTTTGTTGTTTTTACTTTGTTTGCACTGGTAAAGAAAGTGGATTTAGAGGGGTATGCTTTGTAATACACCAGTACCCTAAGACGTTTACTTGCGGCATTGCATTATTGTTTTTTTAGTTATTTAGACCATAACAGCTCTATTTTGCCAACTGAATGGCTGTTTGCTTGGCTGCTTTATATATAAGGGGTCTTCTAGTTTGGGAAACCCTCAGTCTCTAATCTTCTTAGCTGCAGATTCCTTTGGATTGTTTTCATGTCTTATAAATGGTGAAGAGCGAGAACAGACACATCGAGCAGTTTTCAGGTACGTTGTCCAGCACGGAACATTTTATCTCATTATTACCATACCACCCATTGGTCACAACACTCAACAAGTTACATTGATTTTACCTTTCTATTTGTTCTCAAACAAGTTTTTTGTTTGTTTTGTTAACAACAGTGGGTATGTAGAAAGTTTAATTTTCTGAGCATAGTTCTAAAAGTGAAGCAGTCACCATGGAAACCAATTAAATGTCCCTTGCTCATTGTTCCACTTTTAGAATATTGCAACTGATGTACTCTTTTTTACAGAGCCCTCAATGTATCCCTGGGATTACTGAATCAAATTATAATTCACTCATCGGGTAATAAGATCTGAGCAGAAAGTCACATGTGAAATATGTTCCAGTACAAAAGTCTGCTTTCTGAAGTCACTGGTTCAGTGAAAGAATAGTCCAAATATTTCATTTATTTACCTAACAGCCCCTGACCCATCTGACCTTTCTGCATTCTGTTATTTAAAGGCCATCTCCTATAGAACAAAGTGACTTGTATGCATTTATTGTTGCATTGACGGAGCATGTATTTTGTTTTCTTTGGTAGCAGTAAGCCAACTTCAACTTTAAAGCCAGCTTTATTTGACAACTGTATAATGTTTCTATACTTTACTTCTTAATGGTTTTCTGACAAAGGTCAATACCTCTCAAATTTACTATGGATTTTGCTTTGCTTTTAATTACTCTCTTACTTCCCATCTCATTGACCTGAAGGTTCACCACCTTTCAATGATTTTATTATTCAACTACAGGTTCATGCCTCGTCACCCCGGGGAACTGGAGCTGGAGGCTGAGGATCCCCTGCTGGTGGAAGTGCAGGCAGAAGACCATTGGTATGAGGCTTATAACATGCGGACGGGCGATCGTGGTATATTTCCAGCTTATTACGCAGTACAAGTGACCAAGGACAAGGATCACTCCACAGGTAAAAACAAAATGCCAGTTCATCTGACTATGATTCACAAATTAGTCCCTCGTGGACACTGGAGATCTTATGCACCTCATCTCACTTTGACCATTGAAGGTACAATCCACAGAATCTGGACTGCAGGCACCTTCTAAACCCAATGATGATGACTTTTACCCCACCAGATCTTTGAGAGTTAGATTTTCCATGGTGAATGTTCCTCCTTAGACTGCCATAGTATTATGGTAAATGCAGTTTCCAAAGTAATGAGGTGCCAAACTTAGCCATCACTGCCCTACATTAATGTGGATAGTCCATCAACCCTAAGTACTTTCTAAGCTTGGCAGCAATATTAAAAATGGCTCCATTAGGCATTGTGCGGTGCTCTTAGGAATGCAGCACTATTAAAGGGTGGGTATCTTAAATGATATTTAATATTGTGTTGTTATGCTAGTTCTTAACAGTTACTCCTGACTACTATACACCGTTCTTTGAAAATAACTGAAACATTTAGATAATTCGAACACTGAAATAAATTGCATCTGAATGGTAATTGTTCTAATTTCTAATTTGAAATACCAAAGGGAGAGAAAAGTACACAGGAATAGGAGTCTAATGAGCGATCGTGTTGTGAACAAAAAGCTCTTGCTAGTTTTGAGAATATCTTAAAATGGAAAAAAAAAGATTTTATTTCATTGAACATAAATTATTTATTTAATAAAAAATGTAATAAAATAATGTAAGTGATTCATTACCCTATGCTGCTATTGTTCTATGTAGAATTTTATGGGGAAAAAATAGATAAATCCCTGTTCTGTGTCGGTTTTAGATGCACGCACCCTGGAATGTCTACAGAATTCTAGGTTTCAACATGATTAAGGCCCATTGGGTTGAGATCCTCAGTTTGTGACCATTGCCTGTAGCAACTGGTGTTCCAGAGACTCTGATTCTTTCACCTAGAGACTGTTTAGTATAGTATCATTTAGATACTGTATCATATTCTCATGGAAAGTCAATTTATGTCCACTCACCCAAGTGGGTGGCTTTTTCACTGTTACCATTGGTGATATGCAACTCTAGCTTTCTGTTACCTTTTTTCCCAGAAAGTCAAACTTCTGCCTGGGTTGACCAGTTCTGGGTGAAGTTCCTTGGCTCTGTGCAAGTTCCATACCACAAAGGAACGGAAGTTCTGTGCACCGCCATGCAAAAGGTGATAACCTCTAAAAAACAAATCTGTATGTTTCAACCTAATTGATGATTTGGGCAACGCATTTCACGTGTTCCTCCTGCCTTCATCTTACCCGGTGATATATAAAACCTCTTAAGTATCTGATTAATTCCATCCAAGTGTGATGTATCAGTAATACCTACTGCCTCATCATTTTGGTGACCGTTCGGATGAATCTAGTTATGAAAATCTTACATTCCTGTTAAAGTCTTTGTGTTTAGTATAAAGAGTTCAGTGTAAATTTTAGAATATTTAATTTATCTTAATTCAGGTTCTCAAACTCTCAAAACAAAACAATGGTTTATGATAGTTGATCCCACAGTCCTTTTATTTAGAGTTATCATTTTTGTTTAAAGAGCTAGACAATGAAAACCAAGCTTGCTGGAAATATTACACATCTAAAAACGCTTAGTTTGGGAGTACCCATAAGAAGAAAAAAAGCAATATGTTTTTGTGTAACTGAAATGTTTTGAAATTAGTTTGACCTGTAAACTTTGCATTTCAGATTGCTATGTCTCGTCGCCTTACAGTGCTGTCAAATCCACCATCTAGCTGTGTCCTTGAGATCAGCCTCCGGGGGGTAAAAATTGCAGTTCGAGGAGATGACCCTCAGGACCACAGTCAGGTAAGTGGGGCTAGAATTAACAACTCTGTGGAACTGCTGGGTATCACCCCAGTATTAAAGAAACACTATAGTCACCAAAACAACGTTAGCTCAATGAAGCAGTTTTGGTGTATAGATCATACCCCTGCGGTCTTACTGCTCAATTCTCTGCCATTTAGGAGTAAAATTACTTTGTTAGCCTTCTTGACGTTGTAGGAGCCTCCTGCATGTAATGTACAGAGATAAAAACTTCTAAAGCAAGTTAACATATGACTGAAAATGAAACTTTTTTCATTCAGGCTGGTGTGGGCATGGCTAGGGCTGCATAAACAGAAACAAAAGTGATTGCCTAAATGTCAGTGAATTGAACAGTGAGACTGCATGCGCATGATCTGTACACCCAAACTGCTTCATTACGCTAAAGTTGTTTTAGTGACTATAGTGTCCCTTTAGTATTTTTCTAGCCACAACAGCCTTGTTACATCCCAGTATCATGCCAATATTCACCACATCCCAATATCACACTGGCTTGTACTTTTGTTTTGCCTACTTTTGTAATGGCAATGATGATCCATCTAGGTTTGCATATTGACTGATGTGTTTTCATAATAACGGTCTCTGTGCTTTTCTACATCTTTCGCTAATAACCCTTTCTTACCAGCAGGTGAACACGTGCAGTCACTTCTTCCAGTTAAATAACATCTCATTCTGTGGCTATCACCCTAAGAACAGCAAGTGAGTGTAATGGAGATTTATAGGGTTCCCCTGTTATGCAAATTCTGTTTTCATCATTTTCTTACTATTTCTCATAATTGTTTGTTTAATTTTTTTCCCCCTAGATATTTTGGCTTTATAACTAAACATCCCTCTGACCATCGCTTCGCTTGTCATGTATTTGTCTCTGAGGATTCAACCAAACCCCTGGCAGAGTCTGTCGGGTAAGAATGTGGGCATGGGTGGTATAAGGGTCCGCAGCATTAATGGGTTAGATACCAGACTCTACTTTTATTGGATGTGGGATGTTAGATCGGAGAAGAGAGAAATAAGTTCACATTTGTAATGTTATACTATATTTAAAATAAAAATAAAAGAAGAAGGCCTTTATTAGCGAATTTCCACATTTCATTTTATTATTTAAGTTATTGTCTTCTTGGAGAATTCAGAACCAGACAGTTTATAGATTGTCGTAACAATGTCTTCCTGATATTTAAATGAAAATCATATGTTTTTGTTTCTTAGCAGAAAGTGGAAAGCTGTTTTCTATACAATAATAATATTGTACAGCACTGCAGAATTTATTTTTGGCGCTACAGTAGTATCTAGTTCTTGGTGCAGGCCTATATTGAATGAGGTGGAAAGCAACCCTACGTTGCCCCCTAGCTGCATTTCTAAAACTGCAGTATCTGTAAGCATCCTCAAAAGGGGCTAATTCACTAAATACCCAATTGGCTTAAATTGGAAACAAAACTGGACAACTGAGGCTAAAAGAGCTAAACTATGGCTATATTTTGTTTTCCAAATCTGCTATTACAGACTACATTTAACAAATTTAAACTTGAAATGAAAATCAAAGTATTTGTGCATTTATATGTTATCTATTTATAAAAATATTAATCCTGGTCAACACAGTATAAAAACTCAGCGGAAATTGTGGTGTGTGATATTGCTAAAACTTTCTCCCTTCCTTACAGGATTTCCCAGCATATCCAAGAAATCCGTTTTAATGAGTAACAAAGGATTAATGGGTCTGTTGCTTTGTTTTCTCATCTTAAGAGAAGTCCAATATTAAAAGGACACAATAGGCATCAAAACATCTTTAGCTTAATGAAGTAGTTTTGGTGTATAGATCAGGCCCCTGCAGTCTTACTGCTCAATTCTCTGCCATTTAGGAATTAAAGGGAAACTATAGTGCCAGGAAAACAAACTTGTCACTTACCTGGGTCCAGCGCCGATGCCCCTCGGTCCGCCTTCGCTCCTCCCCCACCGCCGTCAGCTGTCAGGGGAGATCTAATGCGCATGCGCGTCAATGGCCACTGTGGCGAAAGTGACCTTGCCACTGGTTTTTGGAGGGGCCTATTTGCCAGCCTCCTGCCATGTGACTATGGCCCCTGGGATGTATTGCCCTTTAAGGAACTGAGTTGTGGCTTATGGACTTATATTATACTGTTACTGACCCTTTAAGAACTGTATTTGGGCATAATGGATTTTTATAATGCTGTTTCTGGCCCTTTAATTACTTTGGAGCAGTGTTGCAACTTTAAATTGGCACTTTGGATACAGCCAAAGTGCCGAAGTGGCCGCCATTCGACAAACAAACACGTGATGGCGGCCATCTTTGTTCATTCTAACGAGGTCAACGGTATGTGTAGCCAAATCCATGGAACTGAAATCTGCTAACCATTTCAACGAACACCGCTGACCCTTACCTTCTCCTACACTGAGTTTTCAGCCACAGAGACGAAGTCCCGTTCGAAGATTCGAACGCATGTTCGAATGGGACTTAGTCATTTTTTCAGTGTGAAATTGACCGACCGCACAGCCCAAATCTATGGAACTGTTTTGGGCAGGAAAATGTGCTTGCGGTTGGTCAAAGGTGACTTATATCTATCTCCCAAACGGATTCTAAAGATTTTGGGGTATGTTTGTGTTTGAAATATGCTGATTAAGAATATGTGACTTTTATTAATATTGGATGTATAGTTTTAGAGTTATGAAAGTTGGGTAAAATAAACACATCCCCGCCACTTCAATAAGAACACGAGATCTCAACCGATACGACGGATAACCCTGACCCACAGTAACTCCATAGGTCAAGGGGGGACATCTTAGGGCATGGCCCATATCCCCACAGAACCACATATTGAACACATCTGGACATGGCACGCATACCACCTCTATAAGACAACGCTTACAATCAGATTAACGGACGTGTGCGGCAGCCCCGAGACATAGCAACACACACATACACCACGACACTATACCTCTCCTGATGAACCCTAGAAAACACATACTCCGCACCCGCACAGACCCAAGCAAGGGTCCTCACGGTTGACCTCACTTTGACATACTGCAATACGACAACATGATAACTAACAAGAACCTCAACTAGGTTAATAGCTACCGCACCCAACTCGGATGGGTTCTAACCCACGGGAAAAGGACGCAAACCTCGCACAACCGACCAAACAAGCCCATTTCAATAGAAACAACTCGATTGCCATATGGACAGGGTCACCGTCGGTTGTAGATGGATTAAAAGGGGGTAAACTGACTACACTAAGCCCTGGGTACGTACGGATCTCTTCTCACCACTCTCCATATCCCTGCATTGTGGATCTCGTATCAGACAGACACCACACACCCCTACACATGACCACTAGTTAGGATACTATCCTTCACACCGAAACACACAACATACATTCATCGACAACTACTCTGGATTAATTCCAATCAAGGAACCGCATCCTTAGAGTACATATGAACGCTACCATACCCATATAGCTCTAGCTTTATCTGGAAGCCCCTAACTCCAGGATATACTGTGACGATAATATTTTGCAATTCACGCTTTAGAAAATAAACATAATTGTACCCTATCATTGGTTGTATATTGGAACAGGGAACATCCCTGCATATGTACATGTATATGTTATGCTTCAAAATTGCTACCTTCACTGTTTGACTGATGTGGGCCTGCGAGCCCTAAAATCTATCGTACCCAATTGCTAATAAAAATCTGATTAACAAAAATAAAATAAAAATAAATGAAAGTTGGGTAAAAAGTATGTTTTAAACTGTACGGCTAATTGTGTTACCTCTCAGGCTAAGGGGAGGAGATGTGTGGGATGTAACCAGTGTGTGATTGGGTAATTCATAATTGTCTGTGGGCGTCTCCCTTGCATGGGAGAATTGCATAAAAGCAGAGTGTGTGTCATTAAACAACAGAGTTCTACTTCACCCTCAATCTAGAGTCCTGTCTCTTATTGGGGGAATTGCTATATCACTACAAGGGATTGCTATGCTCTGCATACTCCCTTAGCTAATCACTACTAAGCTCTTTTAAGAACTTGTTTCTACTTCACTCTCTTGGAGGAGGGGTTCACCCACTGGAACCTGGAGCCTTGTCGTAGGTCCAGGGTGGGTAGGAGACGGCGAGACCCCAACCAAGCTGCGGCAGTTCGTGGGGTCTACGGTGGTTGTGGTGTCTGGCGGAGCGTTTGGAGCTATCTGTAAGCGCTAGGAGCATCCTTCAATGGAGGTACCCAGTCGGGGTGCCAGGTGATCCGTTACAGCCATTCTCATATTAGGATTTCTCCATAGGGGATTCGTGTGACACTGGAAGTCCGCATGCATAGCATGAGGACGTCCAGCACCAGTTAGGCGACCAAAATTGCCTAACAGCACTGAAATCCCTAAAGGTGGAGTTAACTCTCAAAGGTAATTATTGCAGTTTCACACAATCACACAAAGTAGTCTCCTGCAGGGTCTAGCAAGCTATTAATTCTTAAATTAAAGGACCGCTATAGGCACCCAGACCACTTTAGCTCAATGAAGTGGTCTGGGTACCTGGACCCCCTAGGTTTAACCCTGCAGTTGAAAACATAGCAGTTTCAGAGAAATTGCTATGTTTACACTGCAGGGTTAATCCAGCCTCTAGTGGCTGTCTCACTGACAGCCACTAGAGGCTGCTTCCGCGATTTACACAGAGTAAATCGCACTTATTTGACACTGGACGTCCTCATGGAGTCCATTGTCAAAAAAGATCCCCACAGGAAAGCGTTGAATAATGCTTTCCTATGGGTGTGTTTGAATACACGCGCCTCTGGCTCCACCCTGAAGCTGATGTTGATAGGAGAGGTCACCAGTGCCGAGGGAGCCCAGCGCTGGATTAAGGTAAGCAAAAAAATGGTTAACCCTTTAATCTCCGCGGAATAGGGCTCTAGTCATCTAAACGGTGACTAGGGCTCTATAGCGTTGGGAATACATATTTGAATTTCTAACGCTATAGTGTTTCTTTAATAATGTGCAATAAAGGAATTTTAAACATTAGATCTCTCTTTACAGGAAGTGTTTAGGAAGGCTGTGTAAGTCAAATGCAGGGAGGTGTGACTAGGGCTGCACAAACACTATGATTTAAGTTTTTTAAACGGTAGAGAATTGAGCAGTGAGGCTGCAGAGGCACGATCTAGAACAGGCTTCCCCAAAATCCGGCCCTCCAGATGAAATAGGCTGAGAATCATGGGAGTTGTAGTTCAGCAACATCTGGAAGACCGGAGTTTGGGGAAGCCTGATTCTAGACACTCTATACACTAAAATTGCTTAATTAAGCTAAAGTTGTTTTGGTGCCTATAGTGTCCATTTTAGGCCTTATATATACCCATGTTTAAAGATATGACCATCCGTTCATCCTTAGTTCCCATTCTTTGGTTAGAAAGGTTTCACTGTGGTCTACATGGAGCTGGTATTGCCTAAGTGTTTTCATACCTAATGAATGGGCTTTAAAACTTTTTTTTGTTCTTTCTTCATATTTTTAGGAGAGCCTTCCAACAGTTTTACAAAGAATTTGTGGAGTACACATGCCCCACAGAGGATATATATTTGGAGTAGCTGCAATCTATTACACGGAAATCTGTTCTGTGCATGGACAAAACTGCTTGTGCTGGGCAGCGGAGGACACAGAGCTGCCTGAGTGGTGGGATGGTGAGGGACAAGAGGCACCCCTCCCTGCTGTGCCTCCACCCTGTTGGATTCTGGTGAACTGGGTGTAAAATCAAGTTGAACGTGAAGGCTGGGCCCAACCAAGACATTTCCCAATAACCTTCTCCCCACAACCTTCTCCCCACTTTACTCTGCCCCTAACCCTGCCATGCATTTTCAAGCAAGGGGACTCCAAGGAAGGACTGTGCTCTGATCTCCTGAGCCTTACTACCAGTTTGAGTATGGAAACTGCAAGAAAATGCTACGGTCAGGAAAGAAAGTCTAGGGATGTAAGAGTTAGAAAGTGGAGAACAAGCTCTGTGATATCACACAGTTGCCTGTGAGTGAAAGTTTGGTTTTATTTGTATACAGAAAGGATAAAGAATGTGTGCACATGTTGCTTGGTACCAGCTGTGGGGATGCATCAATGATTGACAGATGGAAGGTGAAGATTAGTTGCTGCTCAAACTGCTGGGGTGCTGTGGCCATTGGTAGTGTTTTAATGGCCTTCTAGACTCACTGAAATACTGTATGAATGAGTGGATTGAACAACTCTGTACATAGTGCTTGAGCTGGTGGGCAGTTCTATTGACTTACAAAGTGACACTATATATAAACAAAGATATGTGCGTGGCTGGTTTTGCTAGTTGGTTATCCTAATAAGGTAAAGGTGGTTGTCTGGGTGTCTTGATGAGTGAGTATTGGTTATAGAGGTGTGTTTCTAAAGGTTGGGGGCAGAGGGCAGCTCAACGTTTCTCAATAAAACAGACTGAGAATGGCTCTGTTATCATTCCTCAAACAGGATTGGTTGAGATCATGTCATATGTATATGTAACAACAACAACAAAAAAACAGCAGTGGTACCTGCCACATTGTCTCCAATAGGCTGCCGTTGAACTAAGGTTTAGAATGGAATGGTAACAGCACCTTGGTGAAGTCCTCAAATCCAAGTCGATATGAAATGAGAGGAGACAGAGAAGACAAAAAAAAAAGGGAATATAGTGTAGTAGGTTGATGAATGTAATGTGAGGGGAAAAAGGATTTGCTGTAAACTAGCTTCTGATGGCTCCTTACTCAAAGCTTGGCGTGGAATAATCAATCCCTACTTTTGGATATATGTGCGATTCACACTCTTGGATGGATGTATGTTAAAATCTTCAGCATAATATATATATATAAAAAACAACAAACTAAAATATAGTGCACACTGTGTAACAAAATACATTAAAATAACAGAGTCCAAAGACGTAGGTGGTATATTCCACAACAAGGAAAACTATGTCCAAACGTCTAAATAGCAGGGCGGTCCAAAAGTAGTATTTAAACGAACGTTATTTGAAAATTAATAACAATAAACATAGAATAAAGAAGCACACTAATGCATTTCACTAGACAGTTTTTTTTCCCCAAAGTTCAAGTAACCTCAAAGCACAGAGGCTAACAATGTTATTAGCCACTACAAGCACAATCCAAGGCTGCTGCTATCATCACGCAGTATACATCCCTCCCTATAATAAGGGCTGGTAGTACTTGTTCTTGGTTATGGCATTTGGTATCAGTCATTATCTGCACCATCAGAAAACTTTGTGAGAGCCAGCTTTGGCAGGACAGATTTTTGTGAATTTCACTTTCAAGCTCAACTCAGAAGCTTCCAAATGCTGGACATGGCACCCATGCCAAAGGCTCACCTCACTGACCTGGACATAAACATTTTTTTAAATACATAAATGAGAAAAGGAAAGTAAAACAAGGATTAGTTAGATTAAAAACAAGAAGGAAGGTACGTAGAAGAGGATAAAGGCCTAGCTGACTGCCTCAATGAATATTTTTGTTCAGTATTTACAGATGAAAATGAAGGAAAGGGGCCTCAGTTAGGAAAAAGGACAAATGAGTCATTTATTACACGTGAGTTTACAGAGGAAGAGGTTCTATTTCAACTGTCAAAAGTAAAGACAAATAAGTCAATGGGACCTGATGGAATACACCCAAAGTTATTAAAAGAGCTTAGTGGTGTACTAGCAAAACCATTAACATCTTTATTTAGCCAATCATTGTTAACAGGCGTAGGCCCAGAAGATTGGAAGTTAGCGAATGTTTTGCCCATTTACAAGAAAGGTAATAGGGAGGAGTCAGGCAAATATAGGCCAGTAAGCCTTACTTCAGTAGTGGGGTAAGTAATGGAAACCATGGATTTCAAGATCAGAGACAACATGGGTTTACTTCCTGGAGGTAATAAACTAATCTTATTAATTTTTTGGATTACGTAACTAAAATAATAGATTAGGGTGGTGCAGTAGACATGGTTTACCATTGCTTACCTAGCACTGCCTTACCTACTGCAGTGGAGACCCTTTTTCATATGGAAAAAAATTCTAAGGGGTTTTGCAACATCTTTTTTATGTTAATTGCATTAAGTTAAACTTGGTCACAATTTACAAATGCAGAATTGGTTCCCCAATGTAATACCATCTATGTAAGTTGGGTCCCTCAGACGAGAGATTTTAAATCACTGCATGTACATTAAAGGGACACTTTACTCACCATAACCATTTTACCTCATTGGATTTATTATACTGCCAGGAATCCCCGGAGATTGTCCCTCTGTTCAGTGTTAAACCAATTTCAAGCAGTTTAACACCAAATAAAAGGCCAGTGGCTGTCCACAGCCAGGCCCCCACTGGAGGTGTGGCTAAGGCAGAGATTACGCACTTCCTTCCAGCCATATCAACAATGGGCGCTGTGAAAAGCTGAAACCGGTCAGCTGACACTCAACCAATCACAGTCTCTAATTGCTGCTAAAGTTAAGGCTTCCTCATTATCAAGCAGCACAGAGGAGATGAGCATTAAACATGGTTTAATGCTAAATGGAAGGACAGAGCCTGGGGACTCCATACACTATAACCAGTTCAATGAGATGAAGCAGTTACAGTGCCTACAATGTCCTTTTAAGCACAGAAACTTTTAAAATAAATAAACAAGCAAAGAGCTAGCAATGTCTATCTATACACACAGATGGGAAGTTTACAAACTGTGGCTTGGGGCGAGACCATGCAACTTAAAGGGAAACTATAGTCACCAAAACAACTTTAGCTTAATGAAGCAGTTTTGGTGTATAGAACATGCCCCTGAAGTTCCACTGCTCAATTCTCTCCCATTTAGTTAAATCATTTTCGTTTCTGTCTATGCAGCCGACAGCAACTCTGGCTGTGACTCACACAAAATAGTTTATTTTCAGATGTTCTCTCTTGCTCTGAAATATTTAATTGAACTTTAATCACACACAGGTGCCTACTGCAGGGTCTTGCAGGCTAATAACCGAGCAGGAGATAAGACAATTACAAATTAAACTGAATTTACAAAAACTGGAAGTCTAAACATTAGATGACTCTTTACAGGAAGTATTGAGAAAGGTTGTGTAAGTCACATGCAGGGGCGTGTGACTAGGGCTGCATAAATAAAGTGATATAACGCCTAAATGGCAGAGAATTGAGCATTGAGAATGCAGGGACAGAGTCTATACACCCAAACGGCTTTATTAAGATACAGTTGTTTTGATGCCTGTAGTATCCCTATAATGGTCAAATCCTTTATAGGGATTGTCACTTATCACCAGGAAGTGAGTGATCAGTTATATATATATATATTTACTGTTAGCCTAGTTTCAAAATCATTATTTTCACTCATCAGTAGAAAGGGTTTCATCCCAAGCAGAGCAATACAGAAAAAAAAAAAGTACATTAAAGATACTCCCTGTGTCAAGCTGGACTCTGTACGATGATTGGTGATTTTAGAACATAGAGACAGACACAACAGGAGGATGGTGCTGCCTTGGAGACATGGAGGAAATTACATTGATGCAATCTGCCAAATCTCACGTACCTCCCATGATAAAAACGAGAGATCAGATTCTTCATACTCTGTAAAGTGGAAGGTGTTCATAATGGTAACCAGATCCTCGACATGATAAGATACCTGAATGTCCTGTATGATATAAATCACACACCAGACTCCCCACAGCATCAAATGGATAAGATAATCAGACATTACCCCAACAATATAATTAATGAAGAGAGTCACATTTCAACACACATACTAAACATTACAGACAGGGTTATCACAAATCAAGACCCACACTCTCCAACACAGGCAGCTGTCTGCTCCAATACCTAATCACTTCACTTGCTCTATTGGTACACAATATTTCATATTTTTGAATAAACTTTTCTTCAAATTATTTTTTTTTTCAAAATATTAAGTAATTTTTAAAAAATATAAACTTGGGGGTCATACATTGAAACATAGAATGTGATGGCAGATAAGAACCATTCAGCCCATCTAGTCTGCACAATTTTCTAAATACTTTCATTACCGGTAGTCCCTGACCTTATCTTATAGTTAGGATAGCCTTATGCCTATCCCACGCATGCTTAAACTCCTTTACTGTGTTAACCTCTACCACTTCAGCTGGACGGCTATTCCATGCATCCACTACCCTCTCAGTAAAGTAATACTTCCAGATATTTTTAAACCTTTGCCCCTCTAATTTAAGACTATATCCTCTTGTTGTGGTAGTTTTTCCTTCTTTTAAATATAGTCTCCTCCGTTACTGTGTTGATTCCCTTTATGTATTTAAATGTTTCTATCATATCCCCCCTGTCTCGTCTTTCCTCCAAGTTATACATGTTAAGATCCTTTAACCTTTCCTTGTACACAGACTACACGCAACATAAAATTCATGAGGTTACTTACTGTACAGAGAGTTGAAACGTTTAGGATGAAATCACGGATTTAAAAACCATTCTCAAAACGAAGACATTAATCTTGAAGAGTTAGTCTGGCAACATATTTGCAGTTCTTTTATCTAGAAATAAATATATATATATATATATATATTCCAAGGGTGTTAAAGTTTTTACTTGTCCAATAGTGATACTTCCCACTGAGTATGAAGTAGAGAGGATTATTAATAGACAGTCATTAACGCAGAGTGTAAAAGGCCTTTTGTATGTTTTCAACTGCTGTAATTACAAAAGCCAAAGTGGGTTTTTTTTCTTCGTGTAACGACAGAGAATCTGAGTGATTTATAAACCTATTACGGATCATTAGGGGTTATGCATAAACATTCTCATTTAGGTTCGATTGTGAATCAGGAAGTAATTTTAGAGTGATATGGTTTCACTGTTGAGTGCTCTTGTCAGTCACTATGCACTCTATGTTCACAAGTAATACCAGCAGTCTAGATCCAACCTATTTATATTTCACTTACCTCTTCCACCAGTATTTTGTTGCAGCCATAAAAAAAAAAAGTCTGCTGCAAATTTCTCAATGAGACCCTACCCTTTAGGAACCAAATATCTCTTAGGAATCAGAACAAAAGTGCTGTATAAAATACTCAACAATTGTGGTTTCCATAGTTAAAAGGGACCACTCCAGGTCCCTCCAGGCACCATCGCTCATATATGGACAAGAGTGATCTAGTGACCTTTTTACTAAATAGTTAGTTGTGACATATTGGCAACATAGTCACGAAATGTATTCCAAATTGCCAAGTTTGAGAGACTGTGCTTTCGAAAATATAATTTACATTTAATTAAGATGTACAGACAGGCGAGATGGATAAAGATACATAGATATCTTCAAATAACACAATAATAAACGTATAGTAAAAACCAAAGAAAAAAAAAAAAAAAAAGGGTTTACTTCGCTATTTCCACATCCCTATGTTTTTTTAAACAAATGGAGGTTTTTAGTTACCTCCAATGGTAACTAAAAACCTCCATTTGTTTAAAAATACATAGGGATGTGGAAAGAGCGCAGGTAACCCTTTTTTTTTTTCTTTGGTTTTTACTTTATGTATTTTGGCTGATGTGTACTATGGTCATTGCTGCCGCCCAGGAGTGATGGGAGTTGGAGCGCAGGACTAGTTTCTTTGTATTTAAATAAACGTATAGGTGTTATATATATATATATGTATAGATTAATAAATAAATGGCTTGTCATACTTACTGGGGGAAAGTTTCCAATGCACGATTAAGATGGAGATGGTTTGTTCTGCAGCTTTGCAACAGGAAGCACAAAGTTTTATTTTAAGAAAAGAATAAGACTAAAAATAAAATTAGACACAAAAAATGACCGAAGACAAACCAATCCTGAAAGCTAATAAACACAGGTCCCTCGAAGGACCGTGACCTGTGACATTATGATCATATCACTAGAAGGTGGGCAGCTACAGTAAGTGTCAGTTGTCATTTGACGTTAAGACTGGATGTTACAGGACTGGTCGGAAGAAATGCATACATCAATTAATTACTAGCATACAATAGGACAGCTAGCAGCAACCTGGCCATCCAGTATCCCCCATCCACCAACAATGGCATTTTCCTGCAGATTGTAGCTGGTTATAAACAATTATCTGCCATATTCTGCACAAAAAGGAACAAACAAACACCGGATAAAGAGAATAGAAAGATTTTATTGTATGTACAGTCCATTGATTGGCTCGTATAAGAAATCATACAGATCCCATCTCTAATTGCTCTTTGTGTTGGACTTTGCATCCTCCAACAGCGGTCTACACGAGGCCTGAGACTTGCAGTCTGATAGCAGTTTGAGAATAATGTTCTATGTTAGGGATTAACCAGTTTGAGCTCACATCGTGTCCTGTGTGCATTCCACACATACAACGCTCTATATACAGTAATGCTGGTTTGTGTGTATTTGCTAAAGTTTGTAATAACATAGACATTGCGTAGGAGCTCATTCACTAAACTCTGAATTGCAGCAAGTTGAAAACTGAATGGTAAACTTGAGGCCAAAATGGTTAATGGCTACAGCTCAGCTACAGTGCCAGCTTTTCTATTTTATCCTCAATTTTGCCATTCTGATTTAAATTCACTAGAATTCAGAGTTTAGTAAATAAACCCCACATTGACTTGCAATGATATTCCTGCAAGTTACACCAGGGGCAACAGATCCAAGAGAGCTGGGTAGGATGAACAGTGATAGAATTGGGGGTGCAAATTGTGCATGACAGACATTCAGCTCCACGTTAGGATATCTGGGATCTAGCAGGAGACAGTCTATAGACCCGTCCATGATGGCATTGTAATGGGCCCAGCAAACTGTTCAGCTGTCTGTTCCCCGAGTATTGCATCCAGTAATGGGCAACCAAGAGTCCATGTACGAAGTGCCTTCAGCCCCAGTTATAGAAATAGATCTTCTGCCAGACAGGTAGGTAGTCCATAAGAGGTCCTGCACAATGAACACAGAATGGCTTTAAATGGCTGAATAAATATAAACTTCAGATTGTCAAATGCTCTGCACCCTGATGGGTTTATACACAGGAAAAGCTGCAACTGACCACCACTAGGTTACAAAGAGATACAAATTAAATGTGTTCTCCAGGGTTCTAAATAAGAACACCATGCAGCCAATGAGAGACAAGCAGAGAGGAAACTTTCCCTTACATTAATATCAAACCGTTGGCCCGCTATAGTTCTGTATCCCCAGCTGTGCCATATTGTAGATAAATGTTTTGTTATAAACACTCTAATTCTTCAGAGCTGTCACTTACTTGCAACCAAACCGAGTCCTGGAACATAGTCTCCCAACAGACGCAGCAGCAAGAGGAGTCGAGCCCTAGAAAAAAAAATGGGAAAATAAAGCACAACGACATACAATAAACATCACTTTTATTAATGTAAAAAAATTGTATTTATTTTTTTTTTTAAATCAATGTGCAAAGTTCAGAGAAATATTTACCCAATGCGTTTAGTAAAGGACAGGCAGAGTTGCATTAATACAATTCTATGCATGTATTAAATGGGAAGTTTAATTTATATTCTATGGGTGGACTATGTCTAAATATAAAATCTACCTTGGAATCTAGACTACTCTATTATATTCTCCCATGTTACAAGTCAACGTAATGTGTCAATGATGCCAGCTGTATATACCTCCCACATGTGTACATTAACAGAGCTTTCTATATTCCGTTCTCTATCTACATAGCAACATATTCCAGAATCAAATGTCTGCTCTCCACTCACAGGGTTGTAGATCTGTGTCTACTCTGCGTGTGTCTGTGGGCGCTTACTCTGTGTGTGTCTGTGGGCGCTTACTCTGCGTGTGTCTGTGGGCGCTTACTCTGTGTGTGTCTGTGGGCGCTTACTCTGTGTGTGTCTGTGGGCGCTTACTCTGTGTGTGTGTCTGAGTACTTACTCTGTGTAACGATTGTAGAAGGGAGAACGTAGCAGGTAATACAGTAAGAGGAGGGTGCGACGTCTCAGTTCTCTTCGTTCTTTACGATTCAGGTTTTGAGTGTCACTCAGTTTCAATAGACTGTGGGGAAGATATAAAACAGTCTTCTGTTAATTTTTTTGTAACTTAATGTCACAATCACAGTTCTGGACTTGAAATCATACACACAGAAGTAATATTTCCAAGGTATACACATCTAGCTGACTCTGTAACTCATACGCAACTGGAAGTCTCCAGGTCCAAATCATAGGAGTGTCAATGACTCAATGGACCGCTCACGTAGCAGTTGGGCAGATCCATATCTCATGCACCCATCTGTCCCATGTTCCAAAAACCTACTGATCGCTGAGTTTATGTCTTAACTAACCCACATTCTGACATAGCAGTCATTGTATATCTTTTAAAGCGCCCAAGATATATACAGACAGCTGTTACGGACATCAGTAAAGAGACTGATGATGTCTGGAAGTTACAGTTATCACCAGACGTAGTTTCCACGCATTCTACAATTGCAGGAGTTACAGGCTGTACCTGGTAATGTCCAATGCAGCTGCTAACATCCAGGGTTTCCACGATTTCTGACCCCACACTGCTAAACTCACCACTGCATTGGAGTGTTAAAGAGAACATAGAGACACTCAATGGTATTCAATAAAGTGAAAATTTGCAGTAAATATCAAATTTAAGGGCAAAAAAGCTGAACTGGAAATATTCTCTAAGTCAGCTTTCAGTTGGGTTACTCTCGTCTTAAATTTCAAATTCACTTTGAATTCTCAGTTAAGTAAATGACCAATATTAGTGTTTTAAGCTGAAACATTGATGTAGGATGAGAATAATGTAAAGTAATTCCCTTCCTGAGCCGGATTTTTCCCACCATACCCATTTGGGACACAATCAGTATTACATTACTACCACCCAGAGCACAACTGTAAGACAGAGAGTGAGTCTGACTATTGCAGTTATATGCTTACAAGATCTGTCCTAGAACGGAGAAAGGTTTGCTGGGTGACTCTAGACAGGTCATGTCAGTGTGGCCAATGACACACCTCCAAATATACCTGACTTGGCCTCAGGAGAGTGTAAGCAGGTGGCTAAGGAGAAGTGTTACACTTCCAAGCTCTGTCTCACGAAAATCTATGCACTTGGTGTCTCAGGAGATGCAAAGTATCATCACAAGAACTCAGGCAAAGCCATGTACGTGAAGGTTCTGTCTGGGCAATTCAGGAAAAGTGTTTCCAGAGGTCCTGTCCACGGTGATTCAGGAAAGGCCACGTGCTTCCAATAACCTGTAACTCAGTAAAGGCTGTGTGCTTCTAATGTCCTTTGAAAGTGACTCAGAAAAGGCCACAAGCTTCCAGAGGTCTTGTCACAGACTTATTGGAAAGGGCCAAAAGCTTTCTGAGGCCCAACCAGGGTAAATCAAAAACTCCATGTGCTTGAAAAGGTCCTACCAGGGTTATTCAGGAAAGGTCATATACTCCCCAAGATCCTATCAAGGTGACTCTAAGAGGTTCTGGCCTATATTAAAACTATTGTGGAGAAGGATACAATGTGTGATGGGTCTGAGGATGTGAACTGATTCTGCAACCGTGCCCAGCATCCCGAGTTCACTGGGTTCTCCATTTCTCTCCTCGTCCCTTGTTCTCCTTTGGTTTCCCTCTTGGGTCTGTGGGCTCCTCCAGTAGCGGCGGCGGGAGGAAGGGGCTGTAAAAAAAAAAAAAAAAACCCCCCAAAAAAATCCCCAAAATGAATTCCTGTTAATATCATGTAACTAAAACTAAAAAAGTGGCACACGAATGACTTGTCAATAATGGTTTTAACCAATCGTTATCAAAGTGGGATCAAACTATAACCCAGCTTAAATATCTAATTTTTCTTTTATAATAATATAATGTTTACCAAAACCATATTTGCTTTTTCAAAAACTAAAATGTACAGAATATATAAAATCACTGGCTTCACTTTTTGGTTCTTATCAAGAATGCTAATAATGCAATTATACATGTCAGCTAAATTAAGAGTCGAGGCCCACAGCCCATTTTAGTAGTGCAGTTGGTCACAGTATTTCAACGAGCGCCACAACAGCGTATTTCAAGTTTCATACAAGTTAAACAGTGGCAAGATAATTTGCACAATTTTTATATTTAACATGCTTAACTAAACAGTTGATTTGTCGGAGTAAGATTGAGTGAATTAAAATAAAGTAAAGATGCTGGATGCTTAACATAGCTACGTTGCCTTTGCTACATATGCACCATTTTATGTTTTATCAGCAGTATAATAGTGGATCACAGATTGGGTAGGTAGATGTGTTGAATGCAATAATTAGCAAGGTCAACCAGTCAAGATATAAACCGGTATAACATTAGGTTCTATTCTAACCTGTATGCTAGGTAATAGACACACATACATATATATATATATATATATAAAAATAGAGACTATCAGGCTTAAACATAGCTTAGATATGGTGCATATATATGCGGAGTGAGAAATCCACTGGGTTCAGGGATTCGGTTTTGTCTAATACCGCAACACTTTGACATTTATGAGCCATAGAATAGATAGATAAGGGCAAACAGTGGGTTACATATCATGCTGGGCAGACGTCTTGTATATGCAAAACATTACTATTTCCCAAATTTTTCTAGCGTCCCTGTGGTTATAATGCCTGGGTAGTAGCAGTGAAACCTTTATAGTTTAAGTCTAAGGCTTTGCATTGCTATGTTAAAGTACACGCTACAAGTAGGATCACCAGGTCCCAGCAGACTCTCGAGCTCTGTGCGTGTCTCCGTGCCAGTCCAGGCGAAAACGATGATAAGGGTTCTCAGCCTACTCCGCATGTTGGGATAGCGCGGTGGTCTGGCTCCAGGGACACAAGGTTGGAAAGTCGCGTCTGTGCCTGCCAGCTGATTCCCTTCGGTGGTATGCCGCCCGTCTGTGTGCCTCTGGGTACTGCCGCGGTGTAAGTGCGAGTGGGGGCTATGTTTATAAATGGGTTAAGCCTTCCCCCAAAGCCTCTAGTGGCTGTCTCATTGACAGCCGCTAGAGGCGCTTGCGTGCTTCTCACTGTGAAAATCACAGTGAGAACATGCAAGCGTCCATAGGAAAGCATTGATAATGCTTTCCTATGCGACCGGCTGAATGCGCGCGCAGCTTCTGCCGCACGTGCGCATTCAGCTGACGTGGAGGAACGGAGGAGGATAGCGCCCCGCCCAGCGCTGGAAAAAGGTACGTTTTTACCCCTTTCCCCCTTCCAGAGCCGGGCGGGAGGGGGTCCCTGAGGGTGGGGGCACCCTCGGGGCACTATAGTGCCAGGAAAACGAGTATGTTTTCCTGGCACTATAGTGGTCCTTTAACCCTGCAAATGTAATTATTGCAGTTTTTATAATAATTAATAATATTTACATTGCAGGGTTAAGTCCTCCTCTAGTGGCTGTCTATCACTAGCCACTAGAGGGACCTCCGTGTTTTTAGAACACGAAGAGTGTTTTAAACGACGCTGGATGTCCTTACGCTATGCATGAGGACCCCCAGCGTCGCTGAATAATGCTTTCCTATTGGGAGGTTTAATACGCGCGCTGCCATTGCTGCGCTTGCGCATTAGGTCTCCCCTGCCGGCTGAAGTCAGCAGGGAAAGAAAATGGGTGGAGCCTGAGCCAGCGCTAAGGGACTTCGGCGCTGGATTCAGGTAAGTCACTGAAGGGGTTTTAACCCCTTCAGCAACATGGGATGGGGGGGGGGTGGGAGGGAGAGGGGCACTGTAAGGTCCTGGAGAGTCCCTTTAACTAAACACCAATAGACTACACTTTAAGATTGGCAGAACACAGGGCCCATTTTAAACCAGGATAAGATCTTTATAGTGAGAGCAGTATATCTCTGTATTGCACTAACCAAGGAAGGCAGTAATGTGGATACTTCAAGATACATGGCATTCCAGGTTTGGCAACTAGAGGGTAGTCATGTGTTCCATATATGTAATTAATGGCGTCTGGGCTAATATTTAAACCCAAGGGCCACATGTTAAATTTTGCTTTCATCCCAAGTTATTCCCTAAATACCGTCTGTGACTGTCAGCATGAAAGGTCTTGTTTATTAAGGTTTTGGCAGCTCCATCAGCCCTGCAGTTGTTAATTGAGCAGGTCATTCTATTTCGGAATAGGATCAGATTGCCATGATTACACACTCATAACCTGTCCTTAAAGGGTTAATGGGACAGTAGTGTATATTTAGTGATGAAGGATTAGATTACCCCCTTTTTATACCACAATCACAACTGGGATAAACCAGGAGGCCTGGAGAGGGTTGCTTATATCAGTCAGTACAAAGATTTTATTTATTTATATATATAAAAAACAAATATATATATATTAAAAAAAACAATATATATATATTAAAAAAAACAAATAAAATCTTTCAACATTGAAGTTGCTGTTTCGTGGATAGGTGAGTGCGCTGGATCTTGTGTATTGTATTATTTGGCCCCCAGCAGCACCCCCATTTATGCATGTTAAGGTGAGTGCAGCCAACCCCCTCTTGTTTGTTTGTTTATATATATATATATATATACACACATACACACACACATATATACATACACGCCAATTGTTCGACTATACACAATTACACAGGATATCAACTGAAACGGCGGAGGTAAAGTGCACTTAAAGGGACAAATCTGTATTCCTAATACTATAGGGCTCTGTGGTACCCCCTCCACCCAATCAGCTAAAAGGTTAAAAAAAAAAATCACTTGCCGGACTATAGGGCCCTGTGGTATCCCCTCCGCCCCCCCCCAGCTAAAAGGTATAAAAAAAAAATAAAAAAAAACCTTTAGTCACTTAGCCGACACTGGGTTCATACTCCCCCTCCTCCGACGGGACAGGACGGGGGGTGGGAGGGCTAATGCAGATGCGTGGCAAGCATATTATGTCCTCCCCATAGGAAAGCATTGCTCCAATGCTTTCCTATGGGGATTTCACGGACACTGGATGTCATCATGCAGGGTGTGAGGACGTACAGTGTCGTTTTGGGGACCGAAAGTCCGTTAACAACCAGGAAGTTGGCAATCTTAGCCCTGCAATGAAATTATTGCAGTTTTTGAGAAATGATTTACATTGCAGGAATAAAAGGGACACTGCACCCAGACAACTTCAATGAGATGACGTGATCTTGGCAACTATAGTGTCGCTTTAAGGTTTTAATTTGAGGGTATTTACATTAATAAAGCATGTGGGAATCAAACCACTGTTCTCATGCAGTTCCCCCATTCTAAGTAAAATTAGATTAGAAAAATATACATTATTTTAAAGCGTTTATATTTAGTACTTGGATACAAATCCTTGGCATCTGATGGCTGCCTGTGATCTGCAATCGGATTTAGAAAATCATCTGACACTTTGTATCTTTAATTGCTATTCGTCTCCCTTTCATCTTGACTTCAACCAAGTGAAGCACACGTTTTGTTGGATTCTGGAAGGAGGGACTGCTGTATACAAAGTGCTGTAACTTCTGCACTGTTCCAGGTACATAGGTGTAAATACCTTCATTAAGAAGACAGTCTGCACTTGATCATCATCTTAATCAGCACTTCACTTTAAAATCAAGGTTTTGCATCACATATCCAAATAAGCCAACATGTGACATTCACCAGGTACGTGGATTAATATTTACAGATTACACATCTATCAGTACAATTCCCAGGATCTACAGTCATCTGTCAAGCCCTGATTCTAACTAATACAATACTTTACACATGCATGCAATTGCACCCAAGTGGAATGCCTACCATCAGACAAGGAACGTACTGAACGACTAGATCGTCTGCCCACAAAGCTGCTGTCCTCTCTGCTGTTGTCTTCACCTGGACGAGATAAAATGAAAAATATCAGGAGAGTTCGGACAATGGTTAAAAGTATTGTGGAAAAATACGATATGGCAGTAGATGGGATTCTAAATTTTCAAGTATAGATGTTGTAATAAAACAGCTGTGAGAATGTGATGGCTCATTAAACCTCCAGTGGGGGTGAATCCTGGATGAGATGTTGTCACAGTAGATGTTTCCCTGGTGTGGAATGTTGGTAAATTGAAATTACTGGACAAACAGGAAGGTTCTACGGGAGCTTTATGAAGTCCTACATTTGGAACAGGGACTTATTATGAATTCTCTTTTTTTGGAGGGGTGGATGGGGATATGGCAGGGTCGTTGCTATGTTCCAGAAACACCACAAGCTTGAGCCCAAAGGAAAACGTGATGACCTCTACACTGACTGAGAGGTAGAGAGATGTCAGGATATATCCCAGCCTTTCTATAAGGCCCTGCCCTCTAAACCCATGAACAATGTGCTGCCGGTATTCTCTGGGTTCTCAATCAAAACATAGCCGGAAACAAGCGCATGCAGCGTGGCCAGGTATTCAATTCAATCATGCCGCGCTAATTAACAGAGGGTGTGCAGTTCTGTTCCCCAGCACCCCTTCCTGACAGTCACCTGGGGTACATCATCCACTTCCCATAAGTGTCCTGGTGGAGCAGCATACTACTGATCTTACTTTTTAGAAAAGGAAGCAGCTGCCTGATTTAAAGTGTGAGAAAAAAACAACAAAAACGCTAATATCCACCTGCCCCCTCCACCAAACTTGGAGATCCAGGGTTAAAGAGCCCCACAACTGGCCCAATCGGAACACCTATGATATAAAACAAGTTTTCAGAAATTAAGAGGAGGTATGGCTGTGAAAGTCATTTAATAAGGTCACACACCTGACCGATTTAGGGTTTCCTCTCTGTCCAATGGAGTCACAGGAGGTGAACTTTGTATCCCAGCTTTGTACCAGAGAAGGAGAACGATGCGTAAACAGGCCCTGAAAAACAGAAAAAATACAAAGATTTTGTTAAACAGATAAGACGGTAAAAGATAAATGTGAAAGATGATCAAATATAAAAAAATATATATATTTTAAGCTAGTTATTTTCACAGACACAATATATGGTGAGATTTCATGTAAACAAAAGTGTAATGAATGAGTGCACTCATAGTAGGACTTCAGGTTGTGCCTCGCCTAGATTTTAAGACCTTTTAAAACCCAGAGTGACCATCACCACTCACTTGAGGAGTTGGATAAGAAGAATGGCAACCCATCTGGTTCTCTCGCCCCAGGCACGAGCTGCTCCAATCTCAATAAAAACCTCCAGACTTTCCAGGATCCCAAGCCAATTAAGGAGCCGCTGTCGAGAAGCATCCTACAAAAGTAAGACGGAACATGGACAGAGTGGGGGGGAATAAAAAAAGGTGAAATAGCATATAGTTCAGTCGAGAAATAGAGGAACATTTAACAAGCAACGGTTACTCAAAAAACAACAACAATGCATTGATGTATCGCCTGCTCAGTTTGGAAATGAGACGGCGGTGTAAAGGACTTACGGTAGGGGCCGGTTTCAGTAACTCCTTTCTCAAGATCCCATCATTGAGTAAAACCAGCAAGTTGGAGGCAGAATACACTGAGAACAAAACAAATATGTACTCACAAAAAAACCCTGAATTATATTCTCGCACCTCATCCAGCTTCTTCTCAAATTCCATTAATTACACACTGTCACCTAACCACCAAATGCTTTCTTCCAATTTTGGTTCCGCTCGATCATTACAACCAACCCACTATCAAACTCTAATCATCAAAGCATCTCCATGCCAGTAGCAGTTTTATATACAGAGTAAGATAGGCTTTTGTCCATGGTCTCATTAAACATGGAGGTTCATGGGCGGATGTGCCCTAGCTGGTTCTGGAAACCAATCGTTTTTAATAAAATTATAAATCATGTGAGACCACCTATTGATAGATTAGAAATGTTAGAAGTACCGCTAGTACAGTAGATAGGTGTTGCTAGCTTGTGGTCTTTTCAGTTGGTTATATATTAGTTAGATGAATGTGTGCTTTGAGATGAACCAAATTCTCGTGTATGCACCTGTCCACTAACTCAGGTAGCCAAGTCCTAGATAATATTGTATTATCACCACAATATCAGGCACGTCTGATTTATGCCACTAGGGAAGAGATCTCACAGAAATTCTAAATTATCTGCCATTCAAACTTTTAATAATGCTCAAACCACAACGATCCATCAACACCACTTTCTCACGCCCACACACCATTTTACTCCCTCTTTCAAATGAAAAGCATGTACGTACCCAACTCAGACAGCTCGTGGGAATCTGAAAATCGCCCTAAAATGAGGGAGAAAAAAAAGCAAATTACATTTCAAGGTTCAGGTATAGACACTTGCAAATAGCGTTTAGAATATATTCACCGTGTAGGTGATCTATCTGTATACAGTTACAATACATTCTATGTACACATATCCAGCAGGCATAAAGCTTCCATTAAATCAGAAATCACTCATGTCTCTGCCCTCGGAGTACCATTTAAGCTTCATGCATTATTATAAGGGGGTTAAGGTTTATTTTAGTAAACTTCTGTGACATGTCGGCCCACAAATCACAACTAAACATAAAATCAAATGTATTTCTTCTGCACGTATCATCTAGTTCTTGCCCAAAACATGGTATTTTTGAGTAATTCCCCCAACCCCCCCATTGTTTTGGAAAACAGATCTTACGTCATGGCCCAACCTAAACGAATATCAAGTATTAAAGTTAAATAATGTCATGTTTGAAGGAAGCTGTGATAGGGCATGGGTAAAATGTTACAGTTGCCCTTGAACCCATTGGAGTCTCCTTATCATGCTGTGTAACTACAGACTCTGTGGATGTACTGTGCACAGCAGGCCCTGCCCTGTAACCTGTATGTTCTCACGCGTTTAAGCAGATTTGAATTCTATCTCCTACCTGCTCACACTTTCTAGAACTGGGGTAATAAATTTAAATTATTTGCAGAGGTTGAAGGACTGCAATATATATATTTTATTTATTTATAAAATATTTTACCAGGACGGATACATAGAGATTTCTCTTGTTTTCAAGTTTGTCCTGGGTCCACAAAACATTTGCATCACAGGATTATATAGACACAGGGCACTCTGACTAATGCAATCTGTGCCCAGCAAGCTCACCATCTACAACACCTATAATTCTCAGGCAGCCTTGTTTGCAGATATAGTGTTGTTCTGCTACAATTTCTATGGATAAATGCTCAGCGTATTGCTCTGGTACAGTGTCAGCATACAAATGTGATGGCAGTGCACTGCTCTGATCCAGTGACTATCAATGCAATGCAGTGCAGAGCTATTAGCAGAACCTATAATGTGTGCAGAATAGTATAGATGAATTCTCACTATATACTCAAGTAAGCAGATCTTGCACACATAGGGGTATAAACAACTAGAACTACATTGAAGAAGCTGTAAGATGGAATTCATAATTATTCCAAATGAATACAAATAAATCATTGGGGTTTCAGGCAGATCATGAAATGGATGGAGGACATAGGGCATTTACATTCTGCTGTAATCAGCCATGTTTTTCTTCTTATTTACTATGTAATTTACTTTCAATTCCTGAGCTCAGATGTGCCAATCGCAGGTATGATCTCTAACCTTGGCACTGCAGATTTCTGAGAACTACATTGTCCATGATGCTTTGCAAGATCTTCCATAGATAACACATTAGTGCTCAGATAGGGGCATTGTTACAAAGAGCTCATGGATCCATGAGTCAAAGTAAAACCATAAAACCGCAGCACATGTGGTCTAAAGGTCACTGCATTCTAGTTATACATGGCAAACCGTGTATCTGTATACGGTTACAATACATTCTATGTATCAGCAATTAGAACACATTGTTTATAATTAATGTTGCCATCTGTTTGGGTTACCCCCTGCCCTCTCTCCATGTACATGCAATGCCCCCCTGCCCTCACTTCCTGTACACACACAATGCTCTTTCCCCTCACTCCCTGTACACACACAATGCCCCCTGCCCTCTCTTCCTGTACACACACACTGCCCCCTGCCCTCTCTCCCTGTACACACACTGCCCCCTCTCTCTGTACACACACAATGCCCCTGCCCTCTCTCCCTGTACACACAATGCCCCTGCCCTCTCTCCCTGTACACACACTGCCCCTGCCCTCTCTCCTGTACACACACTGCCCCTCTCCCTGTACACACAATGCCTGCCTCTCTCCTGTACACACCTGCCCCCTGCCTCTCTCCTGTACACACAATGCCCCCCTGCCCTCTCTCCCTGTACACTGATACCCCCTCTCCCTGGCACACACAATACCCCACCCTCTCCCTGTACACACAATGCCCTGCTCCCTCTCTCCCTGTACACATACTACCCCCTGCCCTCTCTCCCTGTACACACACTGCCCTCTCTCCCTGTACACACACTGCCCCTGCCCTCTCTCCCTGTACACACAATGCCCCTGCCCTCTCTCCCTGTACACACACTGCCCCTGCCCTCTCTCCCTGTACACACAATGCCCCCTGCCCTCTCTCCTTGTACACACAATGCCCCCTGCCCCCTCTCCCTGTACACACAATGCCCCTGCCCTCTCTCCCTGTACACACACTGCCCCCTGCCCTCTCTCCCTGTACACACACTGCCCCCTCTCCCTGTACACACACTGCCCCTGCCCTCTCTCCCTGTACACACAATGCCCCCTCCCCCCTCTCCCTGTACACACACTGCCCCCTCTCCCAGTACACACACTGCCCCTGCCCCCTCTCCCTGTACACACACTGCCCCCTGCCCCCTCTCCCTGTACACACACTGCCCCCTGCCCTCTCTCCCTGTACACACACTGCCCCCTCTCCCTGTACACACAATGCCCCTGCCCTCTCTCCCTGGTACACAACTGCCCCCTGCCCTCTCTCCCTGTACACACACAATGCCCCCTGCCCCCTCTCCCTGTACACACACTGCCCCTGGGCTGTACCTGCTATTAGGTAGGACACCATGCGTACTGCCCCCTCCAGCTGGGTGGCGCCACTGGGGTTCTGCACCACATACTCCCTGTATTTGCGGCTCAGATCGTGCAGTTTCTCCCAGTATCTGGATGCAGCCATTCTAATCTTCTCTCATTTCTTCCTGGTCTGCAGAGACAGCAGCATCAGCCCTCCCACAATGGGAAGAGCTTGCAAAACATTAACCCTTACTGTGCATCTTACACCAACTTTAACCCTTACTGTGCATCTTACACCAACTTTAACCCTTACTGTGCATCGTACACCAACTTTAACCCTTACTGCGCATCTTACACTAACTTTAACCCTTACTGCGCATCTTACAGCAACGTTAACCCTTACTGTGCATCTTACACTAACTTTAACCCTTACTGTGCATCTTACACCAACATTAACCCTTACTGTGCATCTTACACCAACATTAACCCTTACTGCGCATCTTACACCAACTTTAACCCTTACTGCGCATCTTACACCAACTTTAACCCTTACTGTGCATCTTACACCAACATTAACCCTTACTGCGCATCTTACACCAACTTTAACCCTTACTGCGCATCTTACACCAACTTTAACTCTTACTGCGCATCTTACACAAACTTTAACCCTTACTGCGCACCTTACACCAACATTAACACTTACTGCGCATCTTATACCAACTTTAACCCTTACTGTGCATCTTATACCAACTTTAACCCTTACTGCGCATCTTACACCAACTTTAACCCTTACTGCGCATCTTACACCAACTTTAACCCTTACTGTGCATCGTACACCAACTTTAACCCTTACTGCGCATCTTACACCAACTTTAACCCTTACTGCGCATCTTACACTAACTTTAACCCTTACTGTGCATCTTATACCAACTTTAACCCTTACTGTGCATCTACACCAACTTTAACCCTTACTGCGCATCTTACACTAACTTTAACCCTTACTGTGCATCTTACACCAACTTTAACCCTTACTGTGCATCTACACCAACTTTAACCCTTACTGCGCATCTTACACCAACATTAACCCTTACTGCGCATCTTACACCAACTTTAACCCTTACTGCGCATCTTACACCAACTTTAACCCTTACTGTGCATCTTACACTAACGTTAACCCTTACTGCGCATCTTACAGCAACTTTAACCCTTACTGTGCATCTTACAGCAGCTTTAACCCTTAGTGTGCAATTCACAGTAATTTAACTCATGGTGGTTGCTTAGCAGCTCGCAGCACCCCTTGCTTTGTGGCACTTTAAGCCTGGTTTAATTCTGTTTAATCTCTCACTTTGCCTTATCCTTTTAGCCCATCTCATCAGACTGATGATATATATATATATATATTTTCAAGACACAAATCATGTCCTATAGACTGTAAGCTTCTTTGAGCAGGGTCTTCTTCAACCTATCGTTCCTGTAAGTTTTCTTGTAATTGTCCTATTTATAGTTAAATCCCCCCTCTCTTAATATTGTAAAGCGCTACAGAATCTGTTGGCGCTACATAAATGGCAATAATAATAATAATAATAATAATATTACATGTTAATGTACAGGAAATGAAAAGCCTTGACATGCAGTATATAGAATATTATGTTATACTACAGGACTCCTCAGTGAATAATGATCTAATTTCCTCCCTGCAGCATTTAAATGCTACATACTGCAGGGGAGCACTTTTCATGCACTGCCCATCAATATGTGTATATAATATGTGTCCAGGAAAACATGGAGGCTCTGGTTTCCTAATCTATCTAAATAGATAAAGCACATGGAAGCAACAAGCTGTTCACCAGTTACCACTGGGGTCACAGGGGGTTCTGCATCAGCCTAGTCTTTAAATAATAGCACTGCTCATAGACCCTGGGGGCCTGACTAAATCATGGCCTATTGTTTTATGTGATGCTAATACTTTTAGAAACAAAGAACTAGAATTGGCTGGTTTTTTTTAAATATATATTAATTTCCTGCTATTAAATAATTGAAAAATAATAAAATAAATAAATAAGCACGGTCCCTTTTAAAAGCGTGTCTAAGCGCCACGAAACCACGCCCTGAGTTCGATGGACGGGTTAGCGTTCCAAGCGGAGAGCGCATGCGTGTTCCTCCTTGCTTGATGTAGCCGGGTAGAAGTAATCGAGCGCCGAGTTGATCGAACGCAATGCTGGTTTGTGGTGAGTGAGAGATCCTGTTGGATGCTGTGGGTCTGACATGGAGGTCTGCAGGCTGCTGGGAGCAGGATTGAGAGGTAATACATTGTATCCAGTGCTGCATGGGGGCCTGATACAGAGTAACTGGTGCCCAGTCTGTGCCTGGCTCCTGAGTGGGTTACAGTCACAGAGGGTGTAATAATATCAGACCCTCCATTATTCTGGTTATATTGATAGAGGGTGTAATAATCTGTGAGATCCTAATATCAGACCCTCCATTATTCTGGTTATATTGATAGAGGGTGTAATAATCTGTGAGCTCCTAGTATCAGACCCTCCATTATTCTGGTTACAGATAGAGGGTGTAATAATCTGTGAGATCCTAATATCAGACCCATCCATTATTCTGGTTACAGATAGAGGGTGTAATAATCTGTGAGATCCTAATATCAGACCCCTCCATTATTCTGGTTACAGATAGAGGGTGTAATAATCTGTGAGCTCCTAGTATAAGAACCCTCCATTATTCTGGTTACAGATAGAGGATGTAATAATCTGTGAGATCCTAATATCAGACCCTCCATTATTCTGGTTACAGATAGAGGGTGTAATAATCTGTGAGATCCTAATATCAGACCCTCCATTATTCTGGTTATATAGATAGAGGGTGTAATAATCTGTGAGATCCTAATATCAGACCCTCCATTATTCTGGTTATATAGATAGAGGGTGTAATAATCTGTGAGCTCCTAATATCAGACCCTCCATTATTCTGGTTACAGATAGAGGGTGTAATAATCTGTGAGCTCCTAATATCAGACCCTCCATTATTTTGGTTACAGATAGAGGGTGTAATAATCTGTGAGATCCTAATATCAGACACTCCATTATTCTGGTTATATTGATAGAGGGTGTAATAATCTGTGAGATCCTAATATCAGACCCTCCATTATTCTGGTTATATAGATAGAGGGTGTAATAATCTGTGAGCTCCTAATATCAGACCCTCCATTATTCTGGTTACAGATAGAGGGTGTAATAATCTGTGAGCTCCTAATATCAGACCCTCCATTATTTTGGTTACAGATAGAGGGTGTAATAATCTGTGAGATCCTAATATCAGACACTCCATTATTCTGGTTATATTGATAGAGGGTGTAATAATCTGTGAGATCCTAATATCAGACCCTCCATTATTCTGGTTATATAGATAGAGGGTGTAATAATCTGTGAGCTCCTAATATCAGACCCCTCCATTATTCTGGTTATATTGATAGAGGGTGTAATGATCTGTGAGATCCTAGTATAAGAACCCTCCATTATTCTAGTTACAGATAGAGGTTGTAATAATCTGTGAGCTCCTAATATCAGACCCTCCATTATTCTGGTTACAGATAGAGGGTGTAATATTCTGTGAGATCCTAATATCAGACCCTCCATTATTCTGGTTACAGATAGAGGGTGTAATATTCTGTGAGATCCTAATATCAGACCCCTCCATTATTCTGGTTACAGATAGAGGGTGTAATAATCTGTGAGCTCCATTATTCTGGTTATATTGATAGAGGGTGTAATAATCTGTGAGGTCCTAATATCAGACCCCTCCATTATTCTGGTTACATTGTATTTTGTTGTATCTATGTGGTCACAGTGCCCCCCGGTACATTAATTAATTACCATTATGGTGGAAATGGGTGCTATCTGGGTATTGTTAGTATTGGGCACAGTTATACCCAGTAATACATCCCCAGGACGTATTTGAAAACCAGAGTAATCTGAATGTACCTTTCCTGGTTAAATACTTTGTTATTATTATTATTATTATTATTATTATTATTATTATTAATAATACAGGGAGGTAGATTTGATGGTTGCTGGGTGAGGGTAATATGGTGTCAGTGGAATAATTGGGAAAGATTCTATATATAGAAGGAGTTGGTGTGATTGAGGGTGGGGTATGTGTGCCAGTGACAGGGCTAATATGGTAGTAATGGGGCAGTTTACTGATACAACAGAGTGGGTCATATATTTATATAGTGCCAGGGCCTGTTGATCTGTGGGATACAGTTGTTCACAGTTTCTGCTTGGGGGACCAGCCATGGCAGAGGGATGGATTAGGCAGAGATAGGACATATCACAGGCACATTCGATCTTCTTTTTTTATTTTATTTTGTAGTGACCGGGTTTTTAAAAAATATCTGGGGCTACTGGGCCAGTGCAATATATTCAATCCACTCTCCCTTTTTCTGAACTTCTACAAGTAACCGCTACTTCTCAGCCAATTCTGCTCCTCTGATAGTGTTACATGCAGATGCTGTGAACGACCCATAAGCCTTTGCTTCGCAAGGTATTAACAATTCATTATTATTATAATTATTGGCATTTCTATAGCGCCAACTTATTCAGCAGCGCATTACAATATTAGAGTTCATGTAAATGAAGACATGAATCCTCTCTGCAAAGTAGCATAATCAGCGGTGTGTCCTTTTTTTGGCTTGCAGAATAGCTATATGTCTGATTAGTTCTAACTGCTGGTCAGGTTTAATGTACAGTACTCTGCTCTGAAACCACCTGTAATAACCCTACAAAGCACAGCAGGCATGGAGTGTAACTTTAAATTATAACACTTTAGTACCAAGAAAAAAACGTGTTTTCTGGTGACGTCTGTGTGACAGCATGGATGGGAACGTTTTAGTGGCCATTGTTTATGTTTGGAGGGGGGGGTTACATTATTGATGTAGATTTTCTCTGTTTATCATAGAAGGTTTTATTCTGATTGAGCAGACATGACTTCGAACCTCCCTGTTGAAGTCTGTCTCCTCCAGACTATGTTCTGACATCCACATGATACGCAGAATACGGCCGTCAGATTATTTGTAGACCTGCTGCGGTTTCTGTTGCTTTTATTAGTTGATGATTACATTACACCTGCATCTCTGCAGAAAGCCTGAATCTGGAAAGAGCTGCTCATTTGTGGTTTAGAATAAAAAAGGTTACGTTATCCGCTCTCTTAAAATAACATCTCTGATTACAACTCAAAGAGGACGATCTTCTTCTTAAAATAACCATTTCTTTTTAACTCTTGCATGTCGAGGGGCCATGCATCCCACTGTCCTGCAATCTATCCATGATTCTATCACCACCAAAGATTTCATCTTGAAGTGATGCTGAGTGATTCAAACGCAGATGTTAAATGGAGTTAGGATAGCGTGAAATAGAAAGTCATTTTATTAGCTTTTATTGGATATCCAGAACTCGGCATGTCACGAAAAGACATGAATGAATCTAGAGTACTTTGATTAGCTGGTTGAGTATCTTCATTCATGTGTGATGTAAAAATGGGAAAGTCTGATGTACGTTGGAGAACTGGTGTGTACCTAGCTTTGAATCTCTGTACTGATAATATCCCTTACCTCCAGGGCAGTCTACTGTCATCTCTCAGGGGAAATCCATTGTACATTAGACAGCCAATGGCGGTACATTAGAAAGCCAAAATCGGTACTTTTCCCCAAATTATTAGTGCCTTCCTCCCCTCAGTGTTTACTGTCGCCTGTTTTATGCCCACAGATAATGTTTCTAGAGTCGCCACTGATTAAGCCGTAGAGGTTTTGGTGCCTAGTAGGTCCCTTTAAAGATGAAGGAAAGGAAAAGTCTACCCACACACACACACTCCACCTTCTTCCTCCAACACATAACACTCCTTACGCAGGACCGCATTCACACCTCCTGTCCACATGCACAACACTCAGTCTCCAAGATTTGGCCACCAACACACACAACAATCAGCCACCACACGCAAAACACTCAGCTGTCTGTCCCCTCACGCGGAATAGAACCGTGGTCTCTTGGTGGGAGCCCCAATCAGGCATCCTTCCTAGGGTCCTGGGGAATCAGAATCCAGATCTGCCTGGAAACTGTACATTTTAACCCCCATCATTATCCAACTCCACAAGTATTTCAGTTCACTTGGGGATGGGGAATTCCTGATGCCGGGACAGGCAGGTCTTGGTGCCAGACAGGAAGAATTTGTTTCACATTTAGCCCTGCAGCAGGGCAGACACTGGTCTGAGCCATAGAGCCGCAGGGACTACTTTGTTTTATGCTAAATCTAAGGTTGACAAAAGGTGGAGCTCCACCATTAACTTTGGGATTCAGACATTGATCTATAGAGGCATCTGCACAGAATGAATATGGTGGCGGCCACGAGGGACAGCTTCAGGTAAGTACAAGTGCCTTCCCCTACACCCTGTGACCACCAGACCATGAGTGGAGATGGCCAGGGCCATCTTTAATATAGATTGGACCCTGGGCAAGCATTTGCTTGGGCCCCCTAGCCCCCTTTGCCCATTAATAACTATCACAGTCACTGTGTCTGAGAGTGAGTCTGACAGTGAGTATCTTTGTGTTCAAATGTACGTCTCTGTGACCATGTGTATGTTTGGGTCCCGGGCCATATGTGTGGGGGGTAAATGTTCCAGAGAACTGACTACTCCTGTTTAACAGCTGATATGACTCTTCCAGTTGAATTGGATATCTCTCTGGTTAAATAATAATTTGGTGACCACTTGTTGTTAATAAGTTCCAGAGTTCTAGTAGGCGTAATTTTCTGCTTGGGTGATTTTTAAACCAGTGTGTTCTTGAGTTTGACCTTGTAATGTGTGCATTAAAGTGTCGCTATCCTGTCTGCGACACAACTGCTTATATTTTGTCAGCTAGGGAAGAAGCTGAAGGTAGATGGATATACAGTTGCACAAATTGGTCATAAAATGTGATCTGATCATCATTTAAAGGACCACTCTAGGCACCCAGACCACTTCAGCTTAATGAAGTGGTCTGGGTGCCAGGTCCAGCTAGGGTTAACCTAGTGAGAGCACGCCAGCGTCCATAGGAAAGCATTATGAATGCTTTCCTATGCGACTGGCTGAATGCGCGCGCAGCTCTTGCCGCGCGTGCGCATTCAGCCGACGGGGCGGATCGGAGGAGGAGAGCTCCCCGCCCAGCGCTGGAAAAAGGTAAGTTTTTACCCTTTCCCCCTTCCAGAGCTGGGCGGGAGGGGGTCCCTGAGGGTGGGGTACTCAGGTACTATAGTGCCAGGAAAACGAGTATGTTTTCCTGGCACTATAGTGGTCCTTAAGTCACAACAATAGACAATCACAGTCTGCTTAAACTAATAACACACAAAGAATGAAATGTTGCCATGTTTTTATTGAACACACCATGTAAACATTCACAGTGCAGGTGGAAAAAGTATGTGAACCCCTAGACTAATGACATCTCCAAGAGCTAATTGGAGTGAGATGTCAGCCAACTGGAGTCCAATCAATGAGATGAGATTGGAGGTGTTGGTTACAGCTGCCCTGCCCTATAAAAATCACATTTTATGACCAATTTGTGCAGAAGTCCATATCATTCCAAAGGGTTCACATACTTTTTCTTGCAACTGTACCTACCTGAACGTCTCCCTTGTAGGCTCCATGTTTTGTCAACTTAGATTTGACCACATGACCAAGTAGTCCCTATATTTAGAAGGCTCCTAATTTTTAATGATATTCCAACTTGATCAGTATGGGTATTTCGTAGAGAAACCACAAACAAAATTGACACGGTAGTGGTAGAGCAGCTTTGACTAGTTAGCAGAGTTTGTTGAGATTTATGTCTTTGATTTTAACAACCCCAATTTGAGATTCATTTTTATTTATTTTTAGAAACCTTTCACAAGCAGGAAGTTTAATGTCATGACTTGATATAACACAGATTTTGTTTTTAATCTTAAGCCTTTACGTCAAACATAAATCTTGATATTCCTCCTTTTTACATGGTTACATGGTTACATCGTAATGTAGGCAGAAAAAAAACCAATCAGGTCGGTCAACAATATGCAAAAGAAAGCGTTTCATTTCACAGTTTTTCAATTTATGATCATCTGAATATAAAGTATGAAGCCACATTGTCACCTTTGGGATTTTCATGAAGATGGAATCACAGATAAACTGTGTTGGAGTTACACTGAGATTCCACTGTAACAAACACACATATATACATATATATCACACACACACAATAGAGAAAGTATAGACTATTACTTGTCTAATATAGGGCTCTGTTTTTAGTAAAACCGGGTTCGACATATCCCAGACGCCAGGTCGCCATAACATTTAAGAATTTTGTCCTGGTGCCTGGATTTGTCAGCCCGTTCCCTCCATCGCCGTGAAGCTATCTGCACGCCTGGAGTAAGTGAAGGGAGCTGTAATCACTTCCTCACAGCCTCAAGGAGAATTGTAAGATGGCAGGGGTCTGAGTAAAGACGGCTACGCTCACGTCCCGCCCCCATTCTGCAAAGCCGGCCGCCCACCCATTCCCATGCTCGACCTCAGCACTGGGAGGAAGCTGTTCCATTCACTTCCTCTCGGCATGGAGATACAGGAGGAGGAGCGGGGTGTCATGCGTGTATGTCTGTATGTGTATTTGTGTGTATCTATGAATCTCTGTGTGTACCTATTTGAGTGTATAAAAAAATAATATATATATTGTGTGATAGAATGGGTGTGTGTGTGTGTGTGTCTGTCAGTGAATGTATTTGTTTAGGTCACCAACCCCCTCTGATCGTATGGTGTTTTTACTCGCCTTTTTTCCAACGTTGTGCCTTTCTCGCCGTGAATGGCCCACATCCATAGTGAGATTATCAGTCTTGATTATCTCAGCCAAGGAAAGCATTGGGAGGCTATTGAGCTGCAAAATGTGGGACAATTAGCATCTCGTCATAGAGATGCATAAAATCAGTGCATCTCTATGGAAAAATGTCCAGTGCCTCCTTGCAGATCATGGAGACGCTGAATGTGGGTAGATAGTAGACATTTTAGTGTCCATTTGAATAACGGCCACTAGAGTTGTTACTAGACAGAAATGTAAACACTGCCTTTACTCTAAAAAATGCAATGTTTACATTGAAAAGCCTTCAGGGACAGGCTATAGACATCATGACAACTACATTAAGCTGTATTGGTTCTGGTGACTATAGTGTCCCTTTAAAGTTCAGTATTGGTACGTCTATTGGGTTTGAACAAACTTTATTGAACACCAAACTTTTTTGAACAAGTCTGAGAAGATTTTGAATATTTTTGGTCAGTGTAATGAAACTGTCAAACCACACAGATCCTCTTCACGTCTGAATATAGGTCATAATGTAACTTATACAGGAAGGAAAGTTTCAGAAAGTTTTTGTTTTTAAGGGACAATATATGCACCATAACAACCTTTGCTTAAATATTCTCCAGTATTGGTCAATTAAATCGATACCTGTCGCTTGTACTTTGGATATAACCTTCTGCATGGTAGGGCTCCACTAATGATCTCAAACCATGAGGATCTGCAAATATCACTGAAGGTACTTTGGCTATTTACTGGAAGGTAAATTGAAAGAAAGGGATTAAAAAAACAACAAAAAAACAAATATAAATAAATATATAAAAAGTTTTGTGCAAAATATAAACTAAAATAGTACAGTTTAAACCGTACTACATCCACCCCTCTCTATTCCAAACTCGTCTAATTTGTGCTAAATTTTGCAGTCTGTCAGGATTATTTATTAACTGGAAATGGTTATGAACTGACCTGGAAATTTAACATTTTGGGCCAAAGTATGTGAGAGAGACTTTTATTTACAATCTCCTGATTACTTCTTAAAATTCTGTTTTTAGTAAACAAACCCAAGATGTTTTTAATTTCAGAATAACTCCCCTTCGAGTCCCAGAGAGTCCCGCGACTAGTCCGATACATCCATACCTCCTAACGTGTTCTAACTGGTGCTGTCACAGATGGAATCTTTCTTAAAACCCATACAGTTCAATATCTATATAAGGCAACATAGACATTACTTTGTTTTATGTTGGCTTCTGAAAATTTTTGGATTACAAAAACAATGTAAGACAAGAAAATTGCAAATTGTAGGTCGAAATAGCTGAACGTAACTATTTTTGCTTTAAAATTGCTGCTATTCTGTCAATTTCCCACAATTCTCAGTTAGTGAATAATACCACTTATGCTTTTCATGTTTGTTTCATTTGTAACAAATAATATGAATAAATTTGGAATACGTCCCCTGATTTGTATTATTTATTTTTTATGATCAGATAGGCAAGGCTTGGAGTACATGTACCTTTTCACACCCTCTGTCTCGCAGTGTGTTTTGTCATTTTCAGTGTTCTGTTTGTGCTGGCTGACTGGTGTCATTGTGTTGTGTGAGCACAGCTGTGATGGCTCCTGTTTACACACAGCTCCGTGTTTGTGACATGGATGAGACAGATATTGGGCAAGCTGCATAATATGTTGTGTGAGAGAGAGAGAGTGTGTGTGTGTGTGTGTGTGTGTGTGTGTGTGTTTGTTTTTATTTTTTTTAATTTTTTTTTTTTTCTTCTTTTTTTACTCCTCTTAAACGAGAAGCCGCTTACATGCCAATGTTTCTGGTGTTGCCAAGTAAATATTCAGATAGGTTCACCTTGTTTTAGATGAGACGGGTCATAGCTGCAGGGTATTGTTAGCGGCTCTGCCATTGGAAAGTTTTTATTTTTGTATAGATCAGTTTAAAACAAAATTCTCATCAGTTTATTATTGCTGAAAGTATTTTAAGAAACTGCAATTTTTAATTTTTTTTTTGAATTACATTGCAATGTTTACATTCTTAAATAACTTACTCAGTTTAAAAAAATAAATAAATACATGCTTAAACCAGTCTGTGTTGCAACAACCAATCAGAACCTGGACATTTCGTAAACATGCTGATTAGCTGATAATCTCTGTGTTTAATTTTCCAAACGTTTACCAGTAAAAAAATAACTCTGCTCCCACAAAATATGTTACAATTCACACAAGGTAGAGGCAGGTTTATATTATGGTGCAAACAAATTCTGATAACCGAACTATATTACAACAAAATAAATAGTAAATACATAGAATTTAATTTATTAAAAGGGGAAAAAAATATATATATTTTCATTGTATAGATTATGGTGCATATAGGACCCTAGGTTCTGCCTCCCAGCTTACAACGGCAATTTTTAGCAAAAATCACTGCATCTATAAGCACCCAAGAATGCAGTACCTCCATACGTAATTATACTATTTTTATATTTATTGCAAATATTTTTTATTTTTTTTAAAATTATAATTAAAAAGATTATTAAATTAATAGCAAAGGAGCCTCGTGATTGACTGAGTCATTTCCTGGTCTGGGCAAAGCTCACTGCAGCCGCAAAGCTTCAGGATGGATGTAAATTCAAGAATGGCATCCTCTTTTTTGTTTTAATTTTTTTTTTTTTAAAAAACAAAAAAATTTGCATATATTTAGAATGCGTTATCTGTATAACTCATGCCCTGAGTGTTCCTGTAAAGAGTTTTTTTTTTTTCTTTTTTTAAAATTACAATTAAAAAAATTACCAATTTCAGTAGTTAAATTTGAAATAGATGAAAACCAGAATAGAGGAATAGACGCCAAAAATCTAATTAGTTCTGCACAATGTCTTCTCACAAGACGCAGCCACGGAAATGATAGGATGGATGTATACTAAACGAGCTGAAAACTTTAAAGTGTCTTGGACTTCACATTGGACATTATGAACATCTATGCTAAATAATATAAATTTCATTAGAAATGTTTCCTTGTTAAATTTTTATTTGATTTCCGTCCACGCACCTACTTTCTCCCTGTATGTCCGGTTATTAGAACTGTAAAGGATTAACAAGGAATCGGATGCAGGGTTACAACAAAACATGAAAACTCTAAACACAAAGTTTTTGTTAATATCCAAAGCGTCCAGGTCTAATCTGCCAGTCCGTGGTTCAGATTTAGAGTCACTAACTGCCCTGGGAAAATATCAGAGGTTAATGTCCCTCACCCAGGAGCTTTGTTTGTAGTGGGGAGGTTTAAAATAAAAGGTCTCACAGACACAGAGGAGCCTGATTAAGCTGTACACTGTATGGCATGTATATTTGGTGATTACCCAGCATATGCTGAAAGCGGCGGCCTGTGATCTTATTAGTAACAATGGACTGTGCAGCACTGAATGCATGTACTACCTCGGAAAACGCAGCCCTTCCTATAGTTCAGTGATGGCTAAAGTTTGGGGTCAGAGCTGGTGTGGATTACGATTCTCATGATGCTTGGCCACTCAGCAGGAATATACACAACTAACGTGGTACAAAAAGTTAGCACTTTTAGCATATAAACAATGCTCTCTGCAGGGGAGTGCTTTCATTTTCAATATATGTTTTACACTATAATACTATAATGTTTGGTAAAAATGGCACATCTCAGCGTAAGAAAGATAGATTGAGTATCCAGTGCAATATTGTAATCAATATTTGTCCACATGCTGAAGGTGCCGTACTCCCTCCCATCTCCTCTGGTTCTGGTGCAGAGAGTACCCCTGGTTTTCGTTCTGGTGGGGTCTGGAGAGAGTACCTCTGGTTTTGGTTCTGGTGCAGAGAGTACCCCTGGTTTTGGTTCTGGTGCAGAGAGCACCCCTGGTTTCCATTCTGATGGAGTCAGGAGAGAGTACCTCTGGTTTTGGTTCTGGTGCCCTGGTCCCACTGCCTCTCTGTAGTTTGGCTAATACCGTCTTTCCCCTAAAATAAGACTCCCCTGAAAAACTCACTAGGGCTTATTTTCAGAGGCTGTCTTATTTCGGGGGGAAAACGGTAGCAAGACCGAATACAGATTAGCTTACTCCTTAATGGAATCCCACAAATCTATGTTCGGGGGGAAATTCCCAGAACATAGATTAGCCGGCCAGCGACTTGGGCTTATTTTCAGGGTAGGGGTTATATTACGAGCATCCCCCGAAAATAAGAAACTTAGAAGCTAGGGCTTATTTTCGTGGATACCCAGTAGCAGTTACTTGAAAATCTCTGCAGCTATAAGGCTGCTCCCAGGACATGCACTATCAAAGCAGGAATTTTATTTCTTCCATTGTCATCCACAATCCATTTAAATTTTGGGTGCAGCAAAAGTGCATCTTTAGCTCCTTAAGTCATACAGGGCAGAGGAGGGATCGGTGGTTTGAGATGAGCAACTATGATGTAGCCACAATATGGCTGCTCTCAGCTCATGCATTGATCCCATTCTTCCTGTATGGAACTGAGATCAGGGGCTGAACACCTTATCCCATACTAGACAGGGATTTATGAGATAAGAACAGCTCCCTGATTGCTCTGGGATTGGTCTAGCAGTGTGTTATCAGATGCAGCACAATTTTTAAAGACACTTTTTTTTTTTTTTTTAAATGTACGAAGTCTATGTGACAGAACCAAAATTCTGCCAGTTGGCAGAGACATTCACCCTAATTTCTCTTTTAAGAGCTATAGTCCTGCTATCTGGTATTCCCACTGATCTTCACCTGACACAACCCACACTCCAATCCACCCAGTGACTGAGCCTCACAGGGAAAGTCACGAGTCTCCTAGCGATCACTATGGCTAAGAATTTAACCGGGTAGCGATTCAACACTTTGAGTGCGACAAAGCGCTCTTTTGACCGAAGGTGGCTGAGGGGGGGGGGAGCTAGCTGGGGTTATTAAGACGTGTGGGGATTCTTTGTGTCATTTTTTTGTTTTGGGGTACGTTGTAATGACGCCCTGCTATCTGAGAGATAATGAACTTGGTGGTCACTGATCTAGGTATCTCCCAGACTCACAGGAGCCAAGGTGGGATGTACATTGTTCAAGGCATGGACCCCTTGTTTGGTTTGTGTGTGTTTAAAAGTGTGCCTCGTTCTTAATCCATTCTTATTCACCTTTCACAAAGTCTCGGCTAGTGTTTGCGTGAGACGGCTATAACTGTTGTAATCACTTATGTATCCAGTGCTGAAAGACCCTTGATAGACACTCAAGCTGAATTCTGAGCTCTGTTGCAGTAGAGTGCAATGAAATGGGGGTCACTTCATTCCCCACAGTGTCTCTTTAATTTCTATTTGTTTCGCATGCAGTCTTGGGCTGTAGAAGTTGATACAGTGTCGCTCCTTTTAGGTGCCTGTTGCCTTGGCAGCCATAGCTGTGTATCCCTGCCTAAGGCAACAGTCTATCACCTCCATCCGCAGAATGCAAAAATGACGTGTTACCATGGCAACGATATTTCAATAAATACATGACCTTTCAAGTGGTATATAAAGGTGCAATAAAGTAGTGATTATTTTTAACAAATTTTTAGATTCTCTAACGGAGATTTAAAACCAATTATCTCTACCTTTTTATGACTGCGTTGCCTTAGGGCATGGAGCAGTACTCTGCAGCCCAGTCCTGACGCTCAAGGTTTGTCAGTACCGCCATCGTAACGAGTATTTTCAGATTGATTTCTCCAAAGTTTCACTCAATAGCAACTCAAAGGGTTTAGCAATGCATTCATTGGAACCATACATAGCAAATTAAATTGCGCCGTAAGTGAAGTTGTTGAAAATGTGAAAAATGTTGACTCAAATCATTAACTTAATTTATTCTTTGTTCGTCATTTATTTATTTACTTGGATGTTTCACTTCCCTTTAGGTTACAGTTCCAAGGATGGTCTTCCCGTTTTAAGATGAGCCGCATCTGCTTAGTAAAACGTTCATCTTTGAGTGGATTGGATAAAAGAATAGAGTTCCAGTCTGCATTTGGCATAGCCGCTACCTAATGATGGAGTGACCGAGCCGTATGTATATAAAATCTTTTCTTTCATTCTCCCTCGCTTCTGTTAAATGCAAAACATGCCAAACGTGCTATTTCACTTACTCTGCTAAACTACAACTGAAAATATAATTGAAAGGTTAATTCCTATGACTATCGAAATCACTATCTTTTTATTTATTATGTAAATGTTTGCATTATTTGTCATTTTGTTGGGGTAGACTAACTCATGATACCAGATCACCACTTGTAGGTTTAATGGAATACTCGGAGTAACAGAACTCGAAGTTTGGTTTTTGTTTTGTTTGAAACAACCCACTTCGGCTACTTTGGGAATTGGTCAGGGTATTGCGAAATTTCGATCTATTTAGTTCCCATAGTGTTTGTAATTATTAGAATAGATCTGAGAGAGCTCAAACTACTAGCAACCACTGCAAGTTCTCTCTGACAAGCAGTCACTCAGACTCAGCCTAAGTGCCATGTCCTGAAATAAACCTATTTTTAACACATTGACCACCACTGTATTTTACACTGAACAACAAGTGTTTTGCGTTCTTTATTTTGGTTTCCATCATCTGTGTAGGTAACTGTATCAGCAATACAGTTATGTAGGTAGGCAAGTAATCGTGTTGGTAGTTCTAATTGTTGTGGTGAGCTTGCATACTCTGTTGATGTCTAATTTAAAAACAAAAACACATGCTTTTTTGGGGGGTTAATGCAAACTTCTTGCCTGTTAAACTGCCCTAAATGAAAATTGTTTGCGCTACCATTTGGAAAGTGTAATGGTTATGTCATAACTCCATAACGTTCCGAACATGGGAAAATGCACATGTGGGTATTTCCATACCATTCATTTAAAGGGTTACCCTAACGTCCACGATCATTTCTGCTCTCAGAAGTGGTTATGGTGGAATGAATCTGTATGTGCAGTGATTCTCTTTGAAACACTGGACATATAAATAATAAACGTTGCACTTTTGTGCTCGGTGCACCACTTTCTTTTTTAATTAAATTATTTTTTATTCCATCCCTGGATCAGAGAGCATGCACAGCTCTGAGCAGGTAAACATGGTCCAATTAAATTGGATGAGGCAAGGAAGGCAGTGACGTTAGATTGGGTGTGTAAACCAGTGACTGTACATTGCAGGTAAGTATATTCTTACTTTTACAGGTTTCTAATGGGGTTCCTAATTACTAATAACTAATGTTAACTTTGTGCAAAATATATCTGTTGGCAGCGCACTGCCGAGAGACTCTTTCAGCTTCTCCCCTTGCAAGGGGAAGCCTGATCTCTGCTCACTCTGCACTACCTCCATTGACATTAATTGACATCAGATGGGGCATGGAAACCAGTGCAGGGAACCTCGGCTGGTAATAGAACTAAGTTTATTCTTTATAATATGATCTTATAATGGGGAGAACCTAAATAGCAATGCCCAATGAGGCATTTTTATATATATATATACACACACACACACTTGGAGTAACTCTTTTAAAGCAGTGGCGTACACACAATCCATGGGGCCCCGGTGCGAAAACTGATCCGTGGGCCCCCCCCAGGTGGTTACACAGCGCGGGCTGGGCCGCAACACATGGCGGCGGGCACCCGGTCACAGGGGTCTGCAGGGCCCCCTGGAGTGACAGTGCTGGTCGCAGCTGCGACCCCTGTATGTACGCCACTATACATACAAACACACACAGACACACATGTATACAGACACATACATACATGCACACACAGAGACACATATACAAATATACACACACAGAAACATATATACAAACACACACACACATACAAAATATTTTAGTCACCCTCCTGTTTCCTACATTTTAGATGCAGGGGGTAACTTCCCTGGGGTCCAGTGGTGGCTCAGCCTGATGGGAGTCAGTTCCCACTCTGACTCCTCGTCTCTTCCTCCCGTGCTGCAGTCACTTCCTCCCAGCGTCTGATATCATCTCAGGGGGCCTGGTTGTGCTGTTAAAGCGCCGCAGTGACTACTGGGCCCCCTGGAAATTCATAGCCATCGGGTGGCCCTAACAGCATGGGCCACCCGATGGGCCCCTTCACGTGCGGCTCCGGCAGCTTTACCGCGTGGGCCAGGGCCACAACACATGGCGACAGGCACCCTGTCGCAGGGGTCCGTGGAGCGGCCGGGCCCCCTGAAGTAACAGGCCGGGGTCGCAGCTGCAACCCCTGTATGTACGCCACTGCTTTAAAGGATTGCTATAACCCTTTGGAAAGGGGGAACTTTTCCAGTGTGATATGCCCTATTGGACACTGTGGAGAAAGTCCCCTCTCAACTCATAGTAAAACCCATCAAAAAAGAAAAGGGGTTTACTTACTTGGAATCCAGCGACTGGCCAAATCTCCCGGCACTGCTCTTCTTTGCCCCCTCCTGACATCACTGGGGCTACACGCGGTCACATCACACCTGTGATTGCCCATTTTGCCGGCTCAGAGCGCATATGCATATATTTTTAACCACCAATGTTGCACAGAGGGAGACAGGAGGGAGCACCCACACGTAGGGAGGGTGGAAGAGGTGAGTTAGCTCTTCCTTGCAGACGCTCTGCCTGCAAGGGGAAGATTTTTGTGTCTGTTGTCATCGTGCAGTGCGCGCTGACGCCAGACGTATTTTATGCACAGAATTGACATTCGCAGCCTGAAACAGAGTTCTGGGCCACCAATGTCACGTGCACCCGGGGTATAACTAGCCATTCCCATTCAGTAATTTTATGAAATCATCCCCATTACTTGTGATATCTGTGTTTCTCCCTACAAATGCAGAAATATGTTATGAGTGTCTCACATATTACATCCAATCACAGTTAGTGGGGAAAACTATTAACATAAAATGTGCATGCCCCCTTCCCCAAAATAAAATCATATCACACATTTCTACAGCTAAATTAGCATAACTTGTACATCACATGTATTGTTTTCGGATTGATTATGCACCGTATCAATCCAAACTTGTTGATAACATTTTGACACTCAAGGTGTCTTTGTTAAGCCACGTGGTCTATGGAAATGATTAGTCGCTTTTTATATAACGACAACATATTCCGCAGCACTGTACAAAAGAGGAAATACAGACAGTAAATGAACACATAGTGATACAACAGGAACAGAGGATTCTACTCCTGAGAGAACCACCAGCATTTAGCAACACCCAATAAAATTGCCTGATTTTCCCATTGAGGTTGAAAGTCAATGTCTCCCTTCAGTGTGTTAAAGTTACATCTTATTACACAGGGGTTTATTTACCAACATGCTTATTTAAGGCTACAGTAGCTGAATTTAAAGTATAGCCGACTGACCTTAAAATTGAAATTCATTTTAAATTTACTTTGAATTCTCAGTGTAGTGAATAAAGCAGTTAACCGGTCAGATACCCCACATATTAACTATTTTATCTTTTGAAATAGTCTGGTTTTAAAATTCTGTTAATTGCTAAAACAACCTTTTAAGAATCCCATGTGATTATTTTTGTTACTGTAAAGAACTGCTGTAGGCAAAATCTCTGTTTTTCCATATTCTGCGGCAGCAGAGGACAGAACTTGGAGACTGTTGAATAAACGAGGTCAATAAGCGTTCCTTTGCTGCACACTTTCACACAATCAGCAGGGGACATGTCCATGGCTTGTCAATGTGGACATTTCTAATGCCTGGGGGGGAGTTGAAGACACACTGAAATTTGTCACCTGCGGTGAAGGGTTGTGTCCAAAGATCAGCTATTGATCGCCGCCACCTCTTAAAGGGCTGAATTCCTGATTACAGTAAACCATATTGAAACACTGTAACTATTTAATCCTTTATTTATATCTATTTTGTGTGTTTCTCATGATATATATTATTTATTATATGGTTTATTTTTTAATGATAGGTTTAAGCAATGCATGTTATCATGTAACATTTTCTGCATTGCATGTCAGTCCCCCAGGGTAATGGCTTAAATTAACGTGTCTTTAGTGATATGACACAAGTTAACTCCTAACTTCAAAATATCAGGAATTCCACCTGGAGCACATTCCCTCCTTAACAAGATCTAGATCAGACGCGTCAAACTCCTGTCCTCGAGGCCTGCTGGTTATCAGTATAACACTTTGCAAACTGGTCAGTGTCCACAGTATTAATTACATGTTAATTAGAGCAATCTTAAAGCTCTGTCTGGAACTTTTACTGGGCTTGGGATGAAATGCTGGAGCGACTCATACCTTAGTTCACCCACTGTCTTTAATAAGGTCAGGAGACGGATCGGTACCTTTTGAGGTCCCCATCATTGCAGAGCCCCCACCACTCAACACTTGGCAACAAGAATGAAACCTTGTAGGCTGCAATTCTGCTCACATCTCACTGAGCAGGTAAAAAGCTGCCTTTATAGAAATCTATGATGTTACTCTATATATAGTTGCTGGCACAACGCACACATTGTTTTATTACAGAAACCCAATAATGATCGATTTGTTATTTTCTATAGTGTCCTAGATCACCTATCTCCCATTCTCTCAGGGGATACTAGGAGCTATACAGAGGATTTCCTTTCTACAATCAATTTATTTTCTGCCATTTTTCTTCTTCTATATTTGTGGGGTTTTTTTTTTTTTTTTAATTTAGCGACTGGTTGTTTTTTTTTTTTTTTGAATTGGTCTTTTAAAACGGTATACGTGCTGATGTGGGTGTTACCTGATTTTGAACAGAAAGGAGCAGGGTGAAAGCCGGTGGGTGTTAGTGTGTGTGAGAGAAACTGTGTTGGATTGTCTGACAGTCTGTGTGATGCTCACTTCATTTAAAAAAAATATATATAAATATATATATATATATATATATATATACTCTTGCAATCTTTATTTATAAAGGAGACGCTCAATACAACAATTTGTTAATAATAGAGCAGTGATCTCCTCCTATATATAGAGAGAGTAAGATTTAAAAAGCAGGAGTAACAGGGAGTGTCGCCAGAATGGACAGAGAGAGAGATCAGGATACTTATTCTCATAACAAGGATTTTAGAAGGAAAGGACTCGTAGGCTAATGTGAAGTGTCTGACTTGGCCCAGGCTGGGGAGTCATGGTGGTAGAGTCTGGGTCAGTCCAGCGAGAGGGAGGTATTGGACCAGTACTACTGGCAAACGAGATTAGAGTAAAAAACGGTTACCTGGGGGTCCGTGAGATGATCGAAGATGACGTGATTTCCCCTCTCTATCACACAGTGTCAGTATGTCCCTTAGCAAGAAGGGGACTTCTTAAAAGAATCCTTAGATTAGGGAGTTAGGAGTTTAACAAGTAACATCTCTAAGTGTGAATTTGGTCCTAGTCTAAGAAGAATCGATCTATTGATCTAGCACCTTCTACAAAGCCCTGTGTCTGTCTGTCTGTCTGTCAGCCGCAAATTATTCCAGATGTAAAAGCCCTCACATTTATATTGCCAACACTTCTGATGTCATAGACTACAATTCACACGATCCCCAGACAAAAGTTTTGTGCCTTCGCTTGGCGAGGTGTGTAGTTGCCTATTGTCTATTAACAATACCAGAGTGAAGAGGAAAGATCTTATTTCTTTTTAATGTTAATATGTCTGGATGCTGTGATATTGACTTGTATTTCGGAATAAGGATGCAGCACAGACAGAGAGTAGGTGGCTGGATGTATCACCCCGTCTCCTGTATATCGTGATGTCTTACTGTGTGAGCCTCAGAACCCTCTGTGAATAGATGGACGTTCTTTGACCTATTGTACATCCAGGGCTAGTTGTGCATGGCTTAAACGGTTTTCTTGATAAAGTGTGTGTGTGTGTGTGTGTGTGTGTGTGTGTGTGTGTGTGTATATATATATATATATATATATATTTATTTATTATTTAACAAAAATATCTTTATTTTTTTAAAAAAATTTTTTACTTCACTAGCTGACAAAAGCATTATGAGAGGTTTTTAATTTTTTTTTTTTCTTGCTTTGACAATCTGTGTCTCTGTATCCCTTCCCCATCACATTCTTGTCTACCACACCCCCATCTTACATTCCCTCACCCCTTAGTGCCCCTCACTGGCTTCTTGTTTCAGTATGTCCCAGAATGTATAAGGGGGGAAGCATTCGGTGTTGGGTGATACCAGGTATAAACATGTAAATGCTAAATTCCTCTGTGGAACCATTTTGATCTGTAGTTTTTTTTTCTTCTTTGTAACCATATTTGAGTTGTTTCAGTGCCTTGTGCTAATGTCCCCAGTTCGCTAATTACTTGTCTGTGTTCTGGGCTATATTTAAAATAACAGTAAAGTGAAAATGGGCTTATTATATATTGATTTAGAGCAAAGTGTTATGTCATCCCTGACTTTGTACCATTTTGTACTCGAATCTGTCTGGTGTCTGAGAATCTGGGAGAGTCGGCTCAGAATTGTAGGAGCAATGCTTTGATTCTGGGTGCACTCTGCTAATTGGCCGGTGTACGTACTCTGAGCCAGCGACACCCATAATTCTTCTTTCGCTGGCCCACGTCACATGCAGTAGCTGCACAAACACTCAGTTACATTATCCACGTCACTCCATGTCCTGTACAGAACCCAGAAGACTCTCCAGTGACCAACTCCGGGTGGTAGATCCACCATTTTTTCATAGATCTATGTTAAAGCTTCATATCTGCAGTTTGTAGATTTCATATGCTGCAGGATTCCACGATCGCAACTTTATTCCCCTACTGCAGGAGTAGAAGACTGCATGTTATAGGGTGATATAATATAGGGCGACAGCACTTTTCATTTACTACTCGACCGCAATCACATATTTGGGTTTATGTTGTGTGAAGTGGTTGGCTAGGGGATTCGAAATTCCAGGTTATTTTTAGATGTAGCCTGATATCGCGCTTAATGGGAACAACCGTCTGATTGATTGAAGCATTTGATTTTTCACAAATTACTCTACAGAAACATCCAGTGCAGTTTTTACTGAAATGAATGTGGTGGGTTTCACAGATCAGTGTGGTAGCAGCTTATGTTAATAATATTGTTTACAAATTGGTTTAATTTATTTATTATAGGTTTCATTAGCGCTTTACACAACTTGAGTTTTTGAAATTATTGTGCGTTTTATTTTTACAGAACACATCCATTGTTCACTCAGAATGTCCTTTGTCCAAAATGTCAAGGATATCCTGCTTTTTACCCAAATTTTACAATTCTCTGTTTATTGAATATACCCCTATACTCCAAAATGGGAGGTGTGTTCACCCCAAATTATACCCAGCAAGGGACACTGTAAGCACCATAACCACTAATGCTTATTGAAGTGGTTGTGGTGTTGAGATTGTACGATAACAGGAGAGTGCAATCCCTGCTGTCTTAGTTAAATCATTTTTGAGCAATGGGGCTCTTTCAGCGCCCAAAGCACAACTTCTCTGCTTCCTCATTATCTGTACAAACCCATTCATATTTAAACAAAACAATAGGATGGAATCACCGCACTAAGCCACACTAACAACTCTCAGCCAATTATCAACATCCAAATCAGGAGCCGTGAGGGTGAGTTTGATTGTTCAAAGTGACCGTTTATCAGCGCAGTATTCCCCATATATAATGCAAAACAAATCAAAATCTTCATTTTAGTTTGTTTATATCCTAAACATGAAAAAGGGGTTTGTTTTCCTCTTGGCATTTAAAACATATGATCGCAATCCTACTCAGTGTGTAAAAACATTTTAAAAGTTTTTTTTTTTGTTTTTTTTCTCAAGTGTGTCCTAAATCCTGATTGCACTAAAATGTTCCACTATTTCCATAATTAATGGGTGAGTTGAACATTCCACTTTAATGACATTGTTGTTTCAGCATTCTATTCCAGGCAGCGTGTGTCCTGATTCAATCACAGCTTATAATGACGTTCAATGCAGTGGCTGATCACTGACTTTACCATGTCGGTGTTAGTGAAGGGCCCAGTTAGGGTCTGTTTATCTCTGAGTCTCAGTAAGCTGTCATTGTTAACACACATTTAGCAAGTCAATAGAAGCATGAAACGATATAGGTTTACACATGCAATGGCTAGCACTGTGCTGCCCTATTGTTGCTATTGAATAGCACACTTCCAATCATGCTTATCCAGAGATGGACTCTGTGCATGTTTGGGTCAGTGTTTGACTTCCTCGTTTTACCATTTATCTGTGATCCTGTCCAGTTTGGGATTATTGCTAGAAACCCATGATGTGTTGCTGCAGTCCCAGCTCTGTGCCTGGTGATTGGGGGAGGAGATGACAAATTGACAATGAGCAGGGGGGGAGTGTGCTTTCTGCAGGTGTGGGAGGGAATTCTATGTCCTGCCTTACTCTTTCTGTTTCCCTGTAATTTAGGAAAGTGCTTGGAAGCAAAGGCTGGACTTTGAAGCCCTACGTCTCCCCCGCCTGGACCTCCTCCTCCTCCTGTCCTCTCCTTCAGTCAGGAGACATCCTATAGACTGAGCCTGACATTACCTGGAACTAGTGGCCGGGATACACTCTCTCAGTTCTGCCTTACACGGTGACACTCGGAGTGCTCTAACTTGGTTTAGAAGCCCTTGGACAGGTGAGTACTCTATTGGTTCGGGGAGGGTGGGAGGGAGGGGGCTTTTCTATGTACTGTAGGCTTTGACCAAAAACTTGAAGATGATTTACAAAAACAAAACAAAAAACCATTTCTGAATCTTCAAATGAAACTCTGCACGATCACTGATAATCCACCATATGTAGGATAATGTTTAACATGCAATGCTCTCCAGTAAGATTGTGCAGTTTTGGGCCATCTTATGGGGTTCACTTAGTATATAAGAGGAAGGCAAACACAGTGCCCATCATACCTTTGTTTGGGCAGCCATCCCTTAGACCAGGCATAGGCAACATGCGGCACTCCAGATGTTTTGGACTACACCTCCCATGATGCTTTGCCAGCATTAAGGTTGTAAGAGCACTGTGGGGGATGTAGTCCACAACATCTGGAGTGCCGAAGGTTGCCTACCCCTGCATTAGACCAAGATAAATATAACCTTCTACTTCTAACTGTATAAAGAACACCTATCCCTCCCTAAACCGGATAAGAATACACTTTACAGACGCCAACTTATTCTAAAAGCGCAGTTACTAAAATAAAATAAAAGGCCATCTTTAGAGTAAACACTTCTCCGCTGAATCAAACTGTAAGCCATAACTGTGCAATGAGTTAAATGGGCGTTCTGCCATTGCAGAGGTAAAACTACAATGAAAAATCCGGTTTATATAAAGTAGGTGGTGTTATGTATCCTGTCATACGAACCAGCCTGTGATTTCCTATTCACAGTTTTTATGCATCTTGTGCCAAAAATACTGAACAAAGAACAATTGTGAAACTCTTAATACCCCAAACATCTGCTGTGTGTATTTAAAATGTCTGTAGGTAATATTTAATATGTAATCCTGGAGGGTGGAGGGGGTTCACGGTATGACGTTTTCTCTGACCTTGAGTCCTGTCGCTGTTTAAATTTAAGGCGTTTAATTTCCTTTTTGTGCTACTTCTAAACGTAAAAAATTGGATTTATTCACTAAACAGTGTATTGAGGCGAATGAAGCTCGGAACAGCAGATTGCAAGCCAAAATAGAGCTGGGGAAAGGTGGCGGTGGAAAGATTTCCTAAATCCTTTCTTATGGCTACAAATATGCAACACCCTCGTCAATAGCCTCCTACCCCCACCTTAGAGATTAATATTATTTGCAGAATAAGTAGCAAGATTTTGTGCTCTCTTTTTGCACGAATGATCCCCAAACGCGATCGCTTCATTCTGATGCTGTATTCAGGTGTGCCGGGGGGACGGTAGCCAAACCTCCATATTCCAGTGATTCCGTTTTCTTAAATAAATCTTGTTTGTTACTAGGTTTTCCTTATTCTGTTCAATATTTTTGCTGGATGGTTTTAAATCCCATGTAAATCCATTTTGTTTTACTCATTTACTGGGAATTGGGAATTTTAATGAATTGACCAGACAATTCTTGATTTTAGACCGGATATATAGCATACATTTTTTCCCCCCTCATGTTGTATGTTTTGTTCTTAAATTTGCAATTCCCTTGTAAATTGCTCATTGTTTCCAGTTTATTGAATGAACGATCTTTGTTTCAAGGGAGTTTATTAATAAACAACAAATCAAAGTGAATTGAAAACCAAATTGCAAAAGTTGGGCAAAGTTCGACTAACTGATTAATCCCTCGATTAATCAGTTAGTCGAAAATCCGTTGGTCCCACCACAGTTGTGAATTCCCTGCTGACTACAAGTCCCATGATGCACATCATTAATGCTAGAACAAATTGTGTGCACCTGTGAGAAGCTGGATATTCTTGGGCTTGTAGTTACTCAATAACTGGATCTATAAGATTAGTCCGTTTTTAATTGATCAATCTAAACTTGCAGCCAGTGGAGATAAATTTGGCAGTGCCAGAGGCGACATTTTTACAGTTTTGTTTAGATTCTTTGCTAGGGAGGTTCTGACCTTGAACACAGCTTTTTGTTTTGTCTTTCATACCCCTCCCACTCCCGGCTCACTTTACATACCTCTCTCTACCTCTTTAAACACTCTGTTTGAAGAGAAATATGCAATCATCGAAATTAGTCAAGCCCAGGTACTTTGTAACTCTATATCTCCTGTCGGAACTTTAATTAAAGCTCTATTAATATACGTATCAGTCTATAATGCGTGTTCATGCTCTCTTGCACATGTAGCTTTTACAACTTCTGTATTCTAGACGGCTTCTCGAATGTTTTGTTTCTGATTTACAATAGCCGTTGTAGTGGGTCTGACAAACTTAAAGGGGGAACTTCCTCTTCTCTGGAAAGTACACCACGGAACAAAGCATGGAAAATCGCCTAGAACTTTTTACTTGTATATTAAAGAAACACTTCATGCACCATGACCGCTGTATCATGCTGCAGTGGTTATGGTGCTAGGAGTGCCCTGGCACCCTCTCTTATGTAAGTATTAAAATTGTTTGGCAACTTGCCTGGGACCACATGGTAAGTTGTCAAATCTATATCAAATAGTTTGTGACGCCAGTCCCTCGTGGCACCATAACCACTACAGGAAGCTGTAGTGGTTATTGTGCTTGGAACGTTAATTTCAAAGATTGAATCATTTAAAGGGGCACTCTGATCTCCCAAACAACTTGTGCTCTTTTTAAAGTCCATATGCTGAAATACCTGGGGTTTTTTTTTTTTTTACTTAATTTTGTCTCGTTTACAAGTTCTGCTGCAACATGTTTTGCAGTTTTTAGCCTTGTAACCCGGCCTCTTTAGCAACAACCTATGTCCAGTTTCAGTATCTTCCTCATTGGCAGCCAATGAAACCTGTCGCACGTGTGCACTGCTCTGAGCTTACAGACTGCTCGGAGGAGAACTGCTCAGAGACATTCCATGAACCCAGTGTTCCTTACTAATGCTGCCGGAATCGGGTAAGTTTCACAAATTGGTTCTATCATGGCCAGCATTAGTTTCCTCCATTCTACTATTACTACGATTTATATGCTCATATGCCCAATTCTGCCCATTCTTTCCTATCTTACCCCCATTCCACAGCCTTGTCAGCAAGTTACTCCTTTGTATTTCAAAATGCCCACCTCTGCCATCCCTTCACCTCACCAAACCCCTTTGCTGCCATTGCCATCCTTCCACCCATGTCTCCCATCACTGTCCACCAAGACCCCACCGTCTGATAAGTCTCCAGTGTTACCACCCAGCCAGTGTCCCCACTCCTTAGCCCACAGCCAGGACACTGTTCACTAGAGAAATACACATTGTTTCTGTTTATTCTACTCTCTCTCTCTCGCTCTCGCTCTCTGCTGATTGACAGGTGCAAAGGGCAGGGCTTATAACCGTGATTGTCATGGAGCTAATATGGATGAACTCCATTCCTTGAGAGAGGTAAACACACCAGTCCGGATTTCCACATTTAATTTTATTCCTCAGATCTCACACCTGTATATCGTTCAGGAATAAGTAAACATATGGGGTTATTTAATAAAGTTAGAATCTAAAGTGAATTCTAGGAGAATTTAAAATTTAAGGCCCAAAAATTGGGGAAAAAGTCAGCTATGTTTCAGGCTCAATTACTGTGGCTTAAAATGGGACATTCACTTTAAATTCTCACTTTAGTAAATAACCTACTGTTTATCCTGGGAGGGGATGGTTCCCCTTTAAGACATATAACAACTGTTGCAAGTTTCGAAGCATCATGAGAGTCTTGTAGGTAGGTATATCGGATACAAAATGAGGTATTCCTCAAGTAGGGCAAGTTGAAGTGAAATTGATCCAGTTTCTGTGCGGTTTTTGACTTGATACAAGATAAATAACTTTTAACCCATATATTTGCTAGCAGTTTCGATTGCACTGTGTGTAGATGAACTTTTATCTAAAAGGCTCCCATTCCACTTTAGCAATATCCATTCAGTCCTTGTTTGAACATCATTCATTTGCCAAACGTGTTCAAATAATATCCATTCAGTCCTTATTTAAACATCATTCATTTGCCTACACTCTCAGCCATTGAATTATGTGCAAATAGGGACTTTTAGTGACTTTGAGAACACCACAGTACTGCAGGCACCCAGAGTACCCAAGTAAGTAACAAATGTTTCAAACTGTGTCTAAGCATGGGCCCCCAGCCTGCTTTGACTCCCACCAATATGCAATTCTTCTCTAAGGAACATGCTGAAGTTGAGATGAATGCAGTAAGTATAGATGTGCTGCATAGTACAGTGATACAGTGTATGCATTAATACTGAGAATGGCATTGTTTAGAATTGGAAGAATGCACGTTTGTCTGAACCATATGGAAATGCACCAATTTCTGGTTTCACAGAGCCTTCCAGTAATCTTAGTGTGGCCCAATGTGATCATTTCCCTCCCCCAGGGCAGCTACTGCACTAATCGGATTAATCCGTTTCTGTGACCTTTCTATGAAAATGTTAATTCTGGGGAATATTCTGCTTTGAATTATGTGCACTTTCCAGGCCAGACTATAGCTAAACAGTGAAACCTCTGCTCAGCCACTTTAAAACGTGTTGATCTGCATGGAGCAAGGTGTTATAGGTACAACGCCATGGGCAGAGAGGAGGCACATGTTACCTCTCTGATAATATCTGTAAGGTTGACTAAAAGAAGGAGTGGGGGTGTTACATTTGCAAGTCGGGAGGTAGCACTGGAAGCTGGGTGAAGCGTTTCAGGAATTTGTAGAGTTCACAGATTTTTTTTTAATTTAATGTAATTGAACGGGGGTTGGGAAGAGAAAGAACATAATCTTTAAAGACTCCCTTACCCTCCTCTGGATCCCAATAAAGGAGGTGGGGATTATTAATGTCCTACTTGTATTGAATTGAAAAATGTTAATTTAGCCTAAAATAGCCCAGCTGTTAATCAGCACTTTTTCCCTAAATTTCTGAATTCTCATTTTGTATTTTAATACAATTCAAAGTTTAGTGAATAACCCACTTCTGAGGTTTTAAAAACTAGACCTACGTGAAACTGATTAGAATTGTGTTCCAGGTCTATATCCTTCTTTCGCTTAAACAATATAATGGATCACCTTGTCTAGGCCCCACGTTTGGCAGGACAGAGTTCATGACCGCCTTAAAGTATTGAGTAAAACATGGAAGCTCGATTTTCAAAGAGGAGACTTTGTAGAACAAGTGGAAGTGATCTGATTTAGAGGGAGGCAAATTCAAGTGTTAGGTGAAGGTGTATACCTTGAATAACCTTCTGGTGGGAATGTAAAGGCCAATGAGTTCACAAATGCCTGGGACTTGTGTAAAACAAGGTTTAACAAGAAATAAGTCAAACCACTCTGAGATTTTATGAGAGAGAGAGAGTAAATGGGTCTATTAGGTTTGTTTGTTTGTTTATTTATTTTTTTGTTTATTTTTTATCAGAATGCACAATCTATTTTGCGATGATATCTGTAAATACAAATTCCTGCAATCATCACTGAGCTTGTTGCAACCTACTGACATGACGACAGGACCCACGTTTGTCATGTTCACTTACCTGCAAAACGATTTACTCCTTAAATAAATAGACCTCCTATATATCCTTTGAGTGCTACATGGGTGTGAAGGAAATTGACGTATTCTTAGAATTCTGTGATTATTCTTTTATTGTCCAACATCTCTCTACTTATGATTTAAATCCCCACACTATGTGTCTCTTTGACCCAAATACTTCGTAACAATATCAAGGTACGATAGAATGCAGGATGGCTACGAGGTGAATAAATATACTTGATCTAGCGGTATACAATGTACATTTATTTCACCGTTTCTGTCCTCTTAATGTGATGTAATGAAAAGCCCACCAGTATGTATTCACCCTTGATTCAAATTCTTCAGTTCTTTTCATAGGCTTGAAAAAAGGAGATAACATTTCCATAGTGTAAAATGTAACTAGCACAGATCAGGGCACATAAAATCATACACTTACAAAGACATTATTGCACCTTCCACGGCCACCCACACTGGGTTGGATCCGATAGCAGCCAAACACTCTGATCGGGACTTCTGCGTGGTATGCGGCATAACATAGCCCTCCGTTCTCTGCCTTTATATAGCCCCCAAATTGCCCTCCACATGACAAAATCGAATGAGCTGTGCACCCCAGCAAAACATGGCCAAATTCAAAATGAACAAGTAATTTTAAAGCACGATTTATTAAACGCTCATAGCAGAGATGTCAATATCGTCTCCATTGAACTGAATATTTTACTTTTATAATTATGCTGACCATTGAGAAGCCCAGAATTGCTCTGGTACCCTTGGTGCCATTGTACTTTATTACTCATCAAAAAGGACCGAACAAACATCATTGCTGAGCTTTTTTCTTAACAAAACTTTTTGTCTTTTGAAAGTCTGAGTGCAAAAGCCGCAGTTTGGGAGTGAGTTTCTGCTAATCTCCTGTTTTTGCAGATCATGTTTGTCAGACATGCAGACAATGACTTTTTATGTATGGAGTCTTCCAAGGGACCTCCTCTATAGCCATTGTTGGAATGACCTGTATTACTTTTGTCCCCGTTATGTGTTCTGGTGCTGAGAGTCATGATGAGTCATGTGTAGCTTTAATGTCCTAAAAGCTTTAGGCTTGAAATGACATGTTAGGTTTTCCTAAATCGGGTATTTGTAGACATTAGCTGGGACTAGAATCAGGGAAGTGACATTGTACTCACCCAGTGGGGAGGCTCAAGGAATTCATTCTAGTAAATCCCAGAGCTGATATGTCATAAAATTTTAATATCTTGGGTCTGCTCCGCACAATGTGGATTTTATTGAATAAACCGCACAGTTATAGGATTCCCTAGGCGTATGAAGAGCTCTGAACAAAATAACCGAAATGCAAAAAAATTGCATAGCCTTATATGGTACAAAAAAAAAAAAGACTGAATGGGGAAACTTTACAGGTTTTTTTTTTTTTTTTTTAATCCGTTACAAACCTTAATAAATCCACTCTGTATTGGTACACCCACAGGGTTGGGTGGCTGAGACAGCTGTATAGGTGACTCTTGTTAAATATTAAACATGTATATAGCTGCAAAACATGCCTGAAATTGTCCTACTGCATGGAAATATTCAGATATTTCTACCTGTAACGCACCCCAGGATATAGTATGACAGCCAGCGATCTATAAATCTCTCTGTTTAAACATTCCAGGGATGGAGTCTGTGCAAGATCATCAAACTTCTCTTTAGGATATATATATATTTATTTCACTTAAATGTAATTGTAAGTTTGTTTAAATACTTCCTTTCCCCAGTCTAATCTGTGCTTATAATTACCGCTACACCCCTGCTTGTGTGTAATGTATAATCAAACCAGAAGCTATTTAAGGATACCTGGGTCTGTTAACTCCTTAAGGACCAGTAACATCCAGAATATGGACAAAAGTGTTTGAACACCTGACCATTACACAAACAGGGACTTTTATGACATCGCATTCTAAATACAAAGACCTTAACACAGGGCTTGGCAAATGCCAGCTCGCCATGGTCACTAGAAATGTCATCCTGGTTCCTGTCGACCCTTCAATGGAGGTGGCCGCCCGGGGTAGCATTTGTTGTGGCTGGCTGAGACAGCAAGAAGGTGGCGAGGGAGCAGTAATCTTCATGCAGTTCTTGTTTTGCTCCCTTGTGTGCCGTTTAGTGATGCCGGTAGCCAGAACAAGACGTTACTATGGCCCAAGCACCACTAAACTGTGCGAGGGAGCAGGGCTATTAGAGCAGTTAAATTAGAGAGCAGTCACACTAGAAAGCTCTCCCAAAGGTAGAGAGGCTGAGTGGCTGCAACTAGAGGTTTTACTGAGCAGTAATGTGAATACTGCCTTTTCCCTGAAGATACCGGAACCCTGCATTAAACCACAGTGGTTCTGGGGACAATAGTGCCCATTTAAGACTTGTATTTTTGTCATTTAAAATTAAACTTTGTAAGTTTAAAAAACAAACAAAAAAAACTGTCTCCCAGCTTTTTTAGCTGACTCCTAGATTCCAAACAGATTTGTCAGGCCCCGCATTATTATGTAGTTGTCCCCCCTCCACCCTTGTAGCTGTAACTGCTTTCACTATATTGAGAGGGCTTTCAAAAAGAGTTTGGGGTGTTTCTGTGGACATATTTACTCATTCTTTCAGTAGAGCATTTGTGAGGTGAGGCACTGATGTTTGACACAAAAGCCTGGTTTACAATCTCCATTCCTGTTCATCCCAAATTTGTTTGATGAGGACTATGTGCCCTGAGATTGTACACCAAAGTCATCCAACCATGTCTTTATGGACCTTGCTTTGTGCACTGGGGCACAGTCATGCCGGAATAGAAAAAGGACTCCTCAAAACTGTTCCAACAAATTTGGAAGCATAGCAAAATGTCTTGGTATGCTGAAGATTTAAGATTTCTCTTCACTGGAAGAGGCCTAGCCCAACCTCCCAAAAATATCACCACACCATTATCCCTCCTCCACCAAACTTTACAGCTGGCACAACGCAGTCAGGCAGGTAACGTTCTCCTGGCATGACTTATTGCTATTATAATACCATGCTTAAATTCAGGCTTGGACTGAAGAAATATTAGGCCTGGGCATTTTGAATCAAAGCAACTAATATGGGGTCAGGGGACAGAGGGGGGGTGTTATGTCATCACCATTGACTAGCATAGGTGATGTAGGGGCTGTAGAGCATGTGTATTTAGCGAATGTAGTGTCTGTGTTTGCGTACAAGAGATGTACTGTGTGCACAGGGGGTCCAGATTATGTTTGTCAGGCGTGTGTTTAAGGGATATCCCTAAAATGTAGTATGTTGTTTTTTTGTTTTGTTTTTTTTCTTTCTGGCATGCAGTGCGTGTGACTGGAATGCAGTGTCTATAAGGGGGTAGTGTGTGTGAGAGGTGCAATATGTATGGCTGTGTGTATGAGCACTATTGGGGGTGTGGGGCAGATGGGAGTAAGTAGCTGCAAGTTAGAGCTCCTAGGTCATGCCCTCTCCTCTCCATGGATTTACTGTCTGTGGGCTGGTGAGGGATATCTTTGATCTCCCCACCGGCCCTCATGGCACACAGCAGGGCCGGTGCTTGGATAATGACGGCTCTGCATGGGTTAGCAGGTGAGATCCTCTGATATTCCCATGGCCATCTCGTCACACTGTGCATTTCTCCGGTTTGCCCAATGGCCAATGCTGGCCTGCCTGAGATCACTGAACTCTTCCGAACGACCCATATTTTCACAAATGTTGGTAAATGCAGACTGCATGGCTAAGAGGTGCTTGATTTTATACACCTGTGGCAATGGGTCTGCTTGAAACGCCTGAATTAAATAATTAAGCGTTGGGTCCCAATATTTTGTCTATTTATATAGTGTGTGTGTGTCTCACGCAGGGGTATTGTGCTCATTTACTGCCATGAGATATCTTGAGCTTAGCTTTTTCCTGTTTTTGTGTTTTGTTCCTGATTTGTATTGTTGGAAAAATACGGCCATCACTTTCTGGTCCTTAAAGACCTCTATAGTTCTGTAAATTCGTATTTATAAGGCATTAACAGTTCTATACAGTCATTGGGCAAGTGAGACATTCCATTTAGGAACAGGATTCTTAACTGCCGCCTTGTTATGGCCGCATATACCATGCTCCAAGCACCATAACTACATAATCCAAATCCAATGTCCCTCTATTTTATGAGCTCTGTATTGTTGGTGTGTCTGAGTGTATAACGGAGCTCCACAGCAATAATACTCCCAGTAATGTGTCTGGGTGTATAACATAGCTCCACAGCAATAATACTCCCAGTAATGTGTCTGAGTGTATAACATAGCTCCACAGCAATAATACTCCCAGTAATGTGTCTGAGTGTATAACATAGCTCCACAGCAATAATACTCCCAGTAATGTGTCTGAGTGTATAACATAGCTCCACAGCAATAATACTCCCAGTAATGTGTATGAGTGTATAACAGAGCTCCACAGCAATAATACTCCCAGTAATGTGTCTTAGTGTATAACAGAGCTCCACAGCAATAATACTCCCAGTAATGTGTCTGAGTGTATAACAGAGCTCCACAGCAATAATACTCCCAGTAATGTGTCTGAGTGTATAACAGAGCTCCAGAGCAATAATACTCCCAGTAATGTGTCTGTGTGTATAACAGAGCTCCACAGCAATAATACTCCCAGTAATGTGTCTTAAAACTACAATAAATTAGTTTAGAAATCAGTCTGTGTAAGATACATTGTTCTTCTAAATTCAATTTAAGTTGTATAAATTATAAGTAAGTCACCTCAAATATCTCAAAACAACCCTGTGACTGACCACACCCCTACTCACACCTGTAATATTAAAGGGCCTTCTTTGTCCATTTGAACTGTTGGGAGATATGATATGATAGTGTTATGATATGATATGATATGATATGATCTAGCATGGGATGTGGTACAAGGTACATCCTGTACATCTCTCTATTCAGTCTGTTCCTTATCTACACATATGTACAAACACAGGGTGCGCAGAAGCTGGCATACAGGTCCCAACTAGCTTAATCTCTCCCATCGCTGTCTGTAAGCAAATCGTCTGTGAGGATGCGAATATCTGAACTTATGGTAAAACATGAATGAACTCATTCAATAAGTTTAATAAGTAGCTGGCCTGCTGTAGCTTCTATGACAGAATCTTAACATAACAGAATACATACGTTATTCACAGAACTCCTACTGAGAACAAAAGGGATGGCTGAGACATTTTACAGAAATGAATTAACAGATCACACAATCTGATCTATGACGTACATATTGGTATAAATTTTAACTTTCAATTTCACCACCCTACCAACAACGGACGGCTGTTATTGCCTGGCTTTTTTCTTTCTCCCCCTCTGCGTTGTATATTACAGTAAACACAACATGCCCTCCGAGTGTGAGGTGTGCAGGCTTGGTGGGTTATCCTTAACATATGCGCTGGTTCCGTAACAGTCTGCAGTGCTATCTCAAATTCACTGGTTGACAGGCAACTGTAAACAAAGTAGCAAGTACCTTGCAAATAACCAATATAGCATGCTTTTTATTTTATTTTAATCTGTTGTATTACAAAATTATATTAATGTAAAAGAATAAATGTTTCAGGGCCGTTGTGCTTTTTCAAAATGGAGTATACTGCGTAATCTCTAAAAACCCCCGGTTTCCTTAAATATTGCATTTCTGTAAATTAGGCACCTTCATTTTTAAAGGCATTAAAAAATAACAGGCTCTGCTAACATTAAACCTTTAGGCTTGTAGCATTATTTAAAGTCATGCCAACCAATAATTCCCTGTTATGGTAGAGTCTACAGATTAAGAATTCTCATTTGTTCCCTTATGCTATCTAACGTCTAATAGAAAAGCAACATGGCTGTTCCCATAAGCCTGATTCTTCTGAAGATCTGTTATCAAGGCGATTGCCCAGAGATCACATTTTTAAAGCCTTTTTTTTTTTTTTTTAAAGTCAATGCCATGACTCCTTTATATGAAACTGTTGACACTGTTTGAAATACGCATGGGCGATACATGTTGGGGTACAATTAGGGATAATATGCGATTGTTGCATCCCAAGATTAACTTTCCAGTGAAGTGTGTGGATATATAATCACCAGGGGCAGTTAACTTGCTATTGGTAGCTTGCAAAAGCGATAACATCAGAATGTGATTAGCTAGGATTGGAGTCTTCCCTTTAATTCTAGACAGTGATGTTATTATCTGCTATAATTCTAGATCTTCCAATTACTGACTTTAATCTGCTTATCACTCATAATCTTACTCAAGGTCCAGAATTCAAATGGTCTGCCATGACTATCTTGTCTGTCATTTTACCAGCCCAATTATAGTCAGCTTATTGGACTTTTAAAATGTTATCTTTGTTTGTGGAGGGTGAAGGTTGACTGGGTCCATTTTGTTTAAATTAAAGTGCTTTCACATTGAGATGTCGTCCGTTGCCGGCAGGCCAAGTCTCAGAAGTCCTAATGTTAAAAGGAGAGGTAAGTGATCTTGGCTGCCTTTCCATTCAGATATATTGCTCAGATCTTGAGAACTGTGGACTAGAAAACCCACAATATAATTTAAATTCTTTTTTTTTTAAATTTTTTAATTTTTTTATTTTTGCAGTGCATAGGAACATAACAATAAGCGTGAGGTACCCCAACGGCAGCCCTTACACTGCGTTTCAACGGCTGTAACAGCGGTATATACAAGATTACTTGCACAGTTTTTAAGAGGTAGGATAGCAGTGCGTTCAGTTACGTATATGGTGAATATTAAAGTACCAGCTACGTCTCGAGAAAAAGCATTAAGTCGCTTAGCGGGAACATATATGAAACAGTGCTCTAAATTACATATACGGTGAACAATGAGATATTAGCTATGTCTAGAGATACATCAGGTTCGCTTATAGTAGACAAACATTAAACATGCTTAAGTGTACATTTGTTAACTGTTTTGGGAATACTTATATATAGTGCGCTGGCTATGGGCTGCTCAAGGTGGGTGAGTGAAAGTGAGCATATACTGTTAGATATAGTACTAGCTGATGTAGCATGTCGAAAGCGGTAAGTCGCATTTGCATACAAGCATTGGGTAAGCATTGCGTAGCAAAAGACATATAGAGAGTTCCAACTTTGTGTGTCTAGGCACTGACCATGAGCGGCATAACGGGTCAGTCTCTGGAGGGTCAGCCGACACCTAGTCTGGGAGTAGCGGGTACATGCCTGTGGGTTCCGTTGGCGAGTCTCCCCAGCTGTTCCTAATTGTCCTGCGCGTTTGTATGCCTCCCAGTGCAGTCCAGATGAGGTACTCCCCTTGCCCTGGGACCTTGTTGGAGCCATGTCCACTTTCTCACTGACTCGCCACCATCTTGGGGCCGGGTCCTTCCCCTGTGCGGGGCTGCGTAAGGCTGTGTTTAGTCGCTTGTGTAATCGTCTTATTCTTCGCAGGTGTGAGTGATGTTTAGGGCTGCACCCCTTGTAGCTCGCTTCCCAGGTGGGCTAGCAGAGTTGTCGGAGGCAGGTACCATGGTAGCTATGCCCGGTTGTGGCCTCTTTGGCTGTATCGCAGTGTTTCTCCATTTTGGGACTGGAGCTTTAGCTGGTTGTCTGGCTGTTAGTGGTTTGACCCGGGAGTTAACCAGTGACCGTGCCGATGGCTGCCGCCTGTTCTCCAGACGTTCCCAGAATTGCTGGCAGAGGTCGTCGAATTTCCTCTGGAAGGCTTCCGCCCAGGCTCTGGAGGATAGTCGCTCATCACGTTTCGTGAGGCTGTCGGCCATCTTGGGCGGGCCTCGTGTCTCCCAGCTTTCGGGTACATGCTCTGTGTTCCGTCGATGGTGAGTGCTCTCCCCAGTGTGATAGACCGGGATGACCCCCACCAGTCCATGGGGGTGGGGGGAACGAGGGCCCTGGCGCAGGCGCTCGGGTTGTCGCAGCAGCGGGATCGGGAGAGCGGCCGTCTCTCCCGTGTATGCCAGGCTTGTAGGCCCCATATGTTCGTCGGGTGAGCATCGCTTGGATTGGTGCATGAGTGGTATCATCTCATGCAGAGCGATGTCCCCTCTCGTATGGTCACCTTCTTTCTTCGATTTAGTGCCGTTTGGGCATAGAAAATCACTTAATCTCTGGGTATTGTAGGAACTGTGAAGGATTGCTTCATCCCAGCTTTGCGGTCAGGCCCCACCCCCTTCAATTCTGATCCATTAAAGGGACATTATTGTGTTCGGAATACAAACCTGTTCTCCTAACGATATAGAAACATAGAATGTGACGGCAGATAAGAACCATTCGGTCCATCTAGTCTGCCCAATTTTCTAAATACTTTCATTAGTCCCTGGCCTTATCTTATAGTTAGGATAGCCTTATGCCTATCCCACGTATGCTTAAACTCCCTCACTGTGTTAACCTCTACCACTTCAGCTGGAAGGCTATGCCACGCATCCACTACCCTCTCAGTAAAGTAATACTTCCTGATGTTAGTTGTAAACCTCTGTCCCTCTAATTTAAGACACTGTCCTCTTGTTGTGGTAGTTTTTCTTCTTTTAAATATAGTCTCCTCCTTTACTGTGTTGATTCCCTTTATATATTTAAATGTTTCTATCATATCCCCCCTGTCTCGTCTTTCCTCCAAGCTATACATGTTAAGATACTTTAACCTTTCCTGGTAAGTTTTATCCCGCAATCCATGAACCAGTTTAGTAGCCCTTCTCTGAACCCTCTCTAAGGTATCAATATCCTTCTGAAGATACGGTCTCCAGTACTGTGTACGATACTCCAAGTGAGGACTCACCAGTGCTGTGTACAATGGCATGAGCACTTCCCTCTTTCTACTGCTAATACCTCTCCCTATACAACCAAGCATTCTGCTAGCATTTCCTGCTGCTCTATTACATTGTCTGCCTACCTTTAAGTCATCAGAAATAATCACCCCTAAATCCCTTTCCTCATATGTTGAGGTTAGGACTCTATCAAATATTCTGTACTCTGCCCTTGGGTTTTTACGTCCAAGATGCATTATCTTGCACTTATCCACATTAAATGTCAGTTGCCACAATTCTGACCATTTTTCTAGTTTACCTAAATCATTTGTCATTTGGCTTATCCCTCCTGGAACATCAACCCTCTTACATATCTTAGTATCATCAGCAAAAAGACATACCTTACCATCAAGACCTTCTGCAATATTACTAATAAAAATATTAAAGAGAATGGGTCCAAGTACAGATCCCTGAGGTACCCCACTGGTGCACTTATCCCTTGTTCTATATAGGTCCCACCCCCGTGTTTTTAATAAAACTAATAAAAATTTTCCCTACTTTTTACCAGCACAAAGTCTCCCTTGGCACAGCTTAACTCTCCACCTCCTGTGACATCATCCTGATGGTCCAATTCAATGCTTCCCATAGAGGAGCATTGGGGACCTGATGCACATGCGCAGTGACCGTTGCATGCGTCCAACCTTTCCCTAAGGAAAGCACTGTGTTCCTTCCACATCACTTGACAGATTTTTAGGTACATTTACCTCGATGTAATTCAGCCCTAGAGGTACATTTTATGCATTTATGTAAAACATTGCAGTTTTTTGTTTTTCTTCAATGATTTACAGTGCAGGGACATTGTATTATTGAATCTTCTCAATGATGTGATCTGGGTGACTTTAGTGATCTCTCAGGGTTATTCCTTGCTTTGGAAAATTAACAGGGAATATCATATGATTATTCCAAAACAATCACGGCTTGGATGTTTTTAGCTTAAATTTTCTAGTTTGATTCTAAATTTGTTACATTTCAGTGTTTAGTAAATACAGAAAACTCAAATTCTAAAACTGTACAAGTGTTGGTTAAATTTAGCCTTTAAAAAAAAAAAAACTCCAACAGATTATGCAGCGCTGTACAATTAGTGGAGGATGTACAATATACACAGACTAATACAAAAGGGCCCTGCCCGTAAGCTGAGATCTAGCCATTGAAGCTTAGCTAGATACCTCATGAGCTTACAATCTAAAGGTAAAATAGGGAAATGAGACAAGAGGTTACAGAGGAAATTGAAATTGATGGCAGAGAGAATTTATAGAATTAAATTACTACTTGAAGAATATTTTATTGTCTTGTTTTCTACAAGTTGTGATCTGTCTTGAGTTCTATTTTAAATCCCTGTCTGCTTTATACGAAGCTCCCAGCCCCTGCCAATAAATCGGCAATACCTTTTACCTAATGCTGCGTGTAAAATATGTAACGAGATAACTCGTAACCCTTAATGCAATGACAGATGCTGATTTCTTTAGAACATTTCAGACATAAAATTAAAACAGTTTTGCTGTAAAACAAAGCTTTGAAGTTTGCGTCGTTTATGAGGGGCGAGGCAGAATATAATCTCTTTCTTTTTCCAATGTCTTGTCCATCCTTTTTGTGATTTAAAGGGTTTGACATGTACCAGAAAATAGCTTGAGCTGAATTGTGCCTGGTGCATGTCTCCGTGATGCTGAGTAGACCTGGTTTAGTTTGATGTGGTTTCATTGACGAGCTCGGAACTCTATGTGCAATGATTTTAGATCTTGTGGCTACAATGTAAATACTTCAGAGGGGGTTTCATAGCTCAACGTTCTTTCTCTGTTTGTTTCAGATTATAGGATGTTGCCGGCAGTAATTCTGGATTTTCCCACATGACAGACCTTGAAAAAACAACTCCACAGGATTCTGCATTCACATCATGCACCTCTCCTTCCGCAGCAAGGCTAAATTACTGGCCGTCTCCTTGATGCTTTTGTCTACTGTGACTTGGCTGTACTTAGGTGTTGGTGACGCAGAGTGTAAGTGTATAATGCTATTGAAATGATTCCTGTAACTTTGTATAAACGTGCAGAACTGCACCCCCTCCACCCCCTTGTCTGGTACCCCACGTTCCATAGTATGCCAGCTTATCCATATCTGGGGATTTCCTGTGTTCATTAACGGAGTTTAAAAACTTCAATTAAAACTATCTGATATGGATCTATTGTTACATAGGGCATTTTCTACACCTATGTGTCGCTGCTATTTCTTAGTGTTTTTTTTTTTTTTGGTTCTGTGATTCTAAACATATTATTTAATGTCAATAAAAAAATAAAATAAACCAATCCATTGAAACAGTCTAAATGTCTGTTAATGCAAGAGGCCGTGCTTTGTAGCAGACAAGTGATGTGTGCCAAACTTGGATTCCTGACAATGCAGACAATGCGTAATCTGTAAACCAGGAAGGAAATTTAATCCATTTAGGGGAGAAAAGGGAAAAATTGTGCAATCACTGTGTTTAAGACTAAGCATTATTTTCTGTGCTGAGTTATTTGTACAGTGCCCCATTCTATCCTTAACACCGAGATGTTCGTAGCTCGTTATATTAGTGTGCACCACAAAAGTATTACATTTCTAGTGATGTTACTAAAAATTGCATAAAAAAAACAGCCTTTCATTATTAAACCAAGTGACAAAGCCAGTCTTGGCCATTTTCATCCATGCACATTGTATAAGAAAGATGGAAAATAGTTGACGTTTCACGTCTTCATGGTGGGCTCTGTCCTGACATTTGTTTGTCTTCTCCTCAGACGGACAACCTTCAAAGCTCAAAGCTCCACGTGATTCTCCCAAATCCTATTCTCAGCAGGAGCTGGAGGCGCGTCTTCAGGTAGCTGAGGAGGACAACAGGAAGCTGCGACTCCAATTAGCAGATTTACGGAGCGAGGACTTGGAAGATGGAAAAGGATCGTCAAGAGACAACAGCAGCCATTGTGAGCAGAGGAGTTTGGCACAGAAGTGTGAGGTGAGGTATAGATTGTTCTCCACCTGCCCGTATGTTTATTTTTTTTGTCAAGGGAATTGAATAACTCCAGGGAATCGTAATAGCTTTGTTTTGCTAGAATATTTAAACTTTGTAACTGCGTAAAGGCTAATCGGTGCCTATAAGAGCTTCAAACCTTTAGCTCTATTTAACAAGGACTATGAAAAAAACAAAAATGATGTCTGTCTGGGGGGTTTGTACGGTGCCACCGAGGGGGACTACCTACCATTTCGGTTTTTGTGCAGCCCTCACTGATTGGATCATCTTACTTTCCTGTACAGATATTTTTGATGCATCATTAAACCTCCCTGTTATGACATCCTACAGCATAAAGAGTGGCCTTGGGTGCTGAGGGATCCTTCCGCTTTTGTTAAACTGCTTCAAAACAGTTTGATGAAAACCAGTGGCATTTCAACCAGATCCTCTTAGCTGCCGTGTTAACACGTGCAAAAACCTGTAGTGTCTGGTTTTTTTTGTCTGTTGTTGGCACAAGTCCAATAAATGTAGTTTTTGTCCAATGCCTTTTTATATTTATCCAGTAGAATAGCATTAACTTACTATGTCTTTCTCTCTCTCAGCTGATCCACGTCGCAATAGTCTGTGCTGGCCATAACAGCAGCAGAGATGTGATAACTTTGGTGAAATCCATACTCTTTCACAGGTAAAGATTCACTAAGAAACGTTTAACAAGAATGAATGATTGTTAGTGCTTTAATGCTTCCAGGGACCCATGGTGAGATATGTCGGCATGAAAGATCTATAGCTTTGCTCCTCAGATCTCGGCTGCAGTTTGTACACATGGACACTATGTTTCCGTTTTTTCTTTTTTTTCTTCTACCTATCTGTAGAATGTGCCATTAACAAGGCCTGGGGTGCTCCATGTTTTATGTGAAAATATGTCTGAACGGCTCAAGCCTGCAGACACATTCATTGGTTCCACGTATACATTAACGCTGGACAGTTTAGTATGCTTAAAAAATGAACTTGATCATATGGTTTCTCTGATTTCTGTCTGATTTAATTATGTTTACTTATATTTCCCCCCCTAGAGTTCAACAGAACACCAAGTTCTCTTACAAAGTATATTTACCCCCCCCCCCCCTTTTTTCTTTTTTTCCAGTTTTTTAATAGTTGCATGAAATACCAAATTAATAATTTTATTGGATTTTTTGGGGTACTTTGTACGGAATTTTCTTATCCCCATGTCTTTACAGGAGAAACCCAATACATCTTCATCTGATCACGGACTCTGTGGCTCTCAACATTCTGGGAAACCTGTTCAAAACGTGGAAGGTTCCATCGCTGCAGATTAGCTTCTATAACGCCAGTGAACTTAAAGTAAATATTCCGTGAATGATCAGATTTCACGCAGGAAAAGGGTGATGATATAAATCCTCAAGGGCTTGGTTTCCAGAAAACCGACAGTTTTCAGGGGGGTCTTTGCATATTTTTGGAGTGCAAGTAATTGTTTGTTTGTTTTTTTTGTTTTTTTTTAACCCATGTGGCTGCACAAGAGGCATTTGAGTTTTAACTTGGGTCTACTATATAATCGACCATATCTTAAATATATATATATATATATATGTATAAAAAAAAACAAAAAAAACCATTGCTTGAGAATTTGTAAAAAATGGCTACTTTTGCCTAAAAGTTGCAGTTTCTTTGAATATATTCCTGGTTTTATAAAATAATCCTGTATGTGACACCCTTTTAATTCAAATATGTATATACATATAAATGTATGTTCAATCTCGTTGTCTCACAGTTCTCCCCTCTGCACTTTTTTTTTTTTTTTTTGGAAATAGCCGGAGGTCTCATGGATCCCCAACAAACACTATTCAGGGATTTTTGGGTTAATGAAGTTGACCTTGACTAAAGCGTTGCCATCCGACCTCTCAAAGGTCATCGTGCTGGACACTGACATCACCTTTGCTACTGACATTGCAGAGTTATGGGCCATCTTCAGAAAATTCACAGGTACAGTCATCCCATTGGAACTCGGGTCAGTTTTTTACTCTATTTTACTCCTTTCAGAGCTCTCATTATTCATTGTACTTTTGGTTCCATGATTTTCCTATTGATCCGTGGCATATTAAACAAACATCTTACTTTTAGGAAAGTCCCCTTTGATATCCATTTCTGCCCCATGTCTCAGGCTCTTATCATTTTAGGTCAGCAAGTTTTGGGTCTGGTGGAAAATCAGAGTGACTGGTACTTGGGCAACCTCTGGAAGAACCACAAGCCATGGCCAGCTCTTGGTCGCGGATTTAATACAGGTATAAAACCCATACTCTGTCTAAAGAATCAGTTACCGCAGCGGGGGATATTTATCATTGTGTTGTATGAAAACATATTGTGCAAAGCTGTAAAAAGTGAAATGGTCACCATCAATGGACTCTGCTGGAACATCCAAAGGCTTATTCCCTAAACTGAGAATTCAAAGTGAATTTTAAATGTAAGGCCAGAGAAGCATAGCTGACTTTTTTTTTTGAGCTCTGATATTTTAACCTAAAACTTAAAATTCACTTTGAAGCCTCACTCTAGTAAATAAGCATGTTAATGATTGTTCCACTTGTAGAACGTTGCGCAACTTTTTCACATTCCAAAAATTTTAAGAATTTGCTCAATCGTCTTCACAGTGCAACATTAAGCTGCTAGTATTCATTAATCACAGACCTAATGAATGCAATTAACTAGTACTGTCTGATTATCTGCTCCCCAGGGGTCATCCTCTTGCTTTTAGACAAGCTGCGTATGATTGGCTGGGAGGAGTTGTGGCGCGTAACTGCTGAGCGAGAACTAATGAACATGTTGAGCACTTCTCTGGCTGATCAGGTGATAATGGAAGGTGTTATGTTCTACGACTCCTGCCAGGTTTTCGGTTCTATCTAACGCTCTCCAATCTTTCTATTTTGTAGGACATCTTTAATGCGGTTATTAAGAGTTCCCCTACCCTTGTGTACCAGCTGCCTTGTTACTGGAATGTACAGCTGTCTGATCACACGCGTTCTGAGCAGTGTTACAGCGAATTGGCCGATCTCAAGGTGAGATTTCATAACTTATTCATTTAATGTGGTCCTGTCACACACGTTATACTGTGCGTTTTTCAGGCAAGCCGTGCACATGGTTGACGTAAGCCACTTTAAATCTGAAAATGGCTACTCTATACCACTAGTATGTCATCTCTTGTTCTAAACCGACATCACAATTTCCGTCTTACTCTCCACGTGCTATTCATTTATGGACCCTTCATGGACTCTTCCAAGACGAGTCACATCATACCTCCAGTGTAGATATCTATTGCAGTTACCCAACGAACCCTTAGTCTAGAAGATAGAAATTCTGTTGTTGGAATTATGTCATTACATTATATTGTTATTACGTAAAACTAGCTTCTTTATGTATTGTTTTTTAATGCATAGATAAAGGATACGACTGCTTTTCAATGCATCTCCTCTTTTACTTTGGTTTCTCAGATGTTTCTCTTGAAGTCCTTTTTGGTGGGAACCACCACTTATGTGACCGAAGGCCATGTACAGTTTGCATTTGAAACTGCGACATGTGCAACACCAGGATTTGTGTACACATTGTACCTTTAGATAAACTGTGTTTCTGACCAAATAGGATTCAAAGATGGTTGCTCAAACATAGCAAAGGAAACCCAGAGATGCACTGACAGAGGTATTCACAAATGTGTTCACCCTACAATTGTCAATGGGAAGGGTATTGTTTAGTCTATGGAGAGCTACAGCGTTAAGATAGATTTGACAAGGTTCTGAAGGAGAGTTAAAGGACCACTATAGTGCCAGGAAAACATACTCGTTTTCCTGGCACTATAGTGCCCTGAGGGTGCCCCCACCCTCAGGGACCCCCTCCCGCCCGGCTCTGGAAAGGGGAAAGGGTTAAAAACGTACCTTTTTCCAGCGCTGGGCGGGGAGCTCTCTGCCTCCGATCCTCCTCCTGGGCTGAATGCGCACGCGCGGCAAGAGCTGCGCGCGCATTCAGCTCGTCGCATAGGAAAGCATTTACAATGCTTTCCTATGGACGCTTGCGTGCTCTCACTGTGAAAATCACAGTGAGAAGCACGCAAGCGCCTCTAGTGGCTGTCAATGAGACAGCTACTAGAGGAATTGGGGGAAGGCTTAACCCATTCATAAACATAGCAGTTTCTCTGAAACTGCTATGTTTATAAAAAAAAATGGGTTAACCCTAGAAGGACCTGGCACCCAGACCACTTCATTAAGCTGAAGTGGTCTGGGTGCCTAGAGTGGTCCTTTAAGACGAATACACATTCACTCTCTACTCACGAGACGCTGAATTATTATTTTTTTATTTCCAACACTAAAAAATGAAGATGGTGTTCCTTAAAGAACACATTAAAGCAGGCACCCCAAACTCCAACCCTCCAAATGCTGCTGAACTATTCCTTATAATATTATCTTATCTATTTCATTCAAAGAATTCTGGGAGTTGTAGGCTATCCATATTGGAGTGGTGGGCTAGAGTTTGAGATCCTTTGAGTGGCTAAAGGTTTATTGCCACGGTTTACCCTTACTTCAGCTATAAAGGAATTGCTAAAATATAACTTCATACCTATTGGATGATTTCCACTAGTTTATACAGATCTGTTAGGAGTGCATCCTTATTAAAGGACCACTATAGTGCCAGGAAAACACTTGTTTTCCTGGCACTATAGTGCCCTGAGGGTGCCCCCACCCTCAGGGCTCCCCTCCCACCAGGCTCTAGGGGATGGAAGGGGTTAAATTTACCTCTTTTTCCAGCGCCGGGCAGGGGACTCTCCTCCTCTTCTCCTCTTCATCGGCTGAATGCGCATGTGCAGCATTCAGCCAGCCCATAGGAAAGCATTCATAATACTTTCCTATGGACGCTGGCGTCTTCTCACTGTGAAAATCACAGTGAGAAGCACGGAAGCGCCTCTAGCGGCTGTCAGTGAGACAGCCACTAGAGGCTGGATTAACCCTATCTGAAACTGCTATGTTTATAGAAGTAAGGGTTAATCTTAGCTGGACCTGGCACCCAGACCACTTCATTAAGCTGAAGTGGTCTGGGTGCCTATAGTGGTCCTTTAATGAAAAATATTGGATTTAATCAGGTTTCTGGAGCATTGTGTCTCTCACCACCTTTCTACTAGCTACCTCCCAATAAATGTAATGATCCTAAAACCAGAAATGACGTCATGGCCCTCCGCATTATTTTGTCTGCCAGTGACTTGCCTCTGTATAAACCACCAATGATTGTGAAATACGCTGGAATACATTGTCACAATATAAATGCTATTAAAAGCTTATCTCATCCGATGATTTTTATTGATTACAGTAACCAGAACTGCATTTTCATATATGGAAAAGTAGGGGGGAAAAAACCCTCTATTGACTTGTCAAGGGCACTTATTGAACAAGGATGGTGGAGACATCATCAGGCTGTGCTTTAACTGAAGTTCCCTGTTCATTTGCTGTGACTTGTTCTTGACCTATATCCGTTATCAGGAGGATGATTAGTATTGACTATTTATTACACAGGTAATTCACTGGAATTCTCCCCACAAGCTCCGGGTCAAAAATAAACACGTAGAACTGTTTCGGACCCTTTATCTCACCTTCTTAGAGTATGACGGTAGCCTCCTGCGGAGGGAGCTAATTGGCTGTCCGACTGACGGAGAACAAGAAGACAATCAGGAGGTAGGTGTCTTTTTATAATCAAATATACATGCTTATTGAAACTTGCATCTTTCTCTCTTGCAATGGAAATGCGATTACAATGCGGGTAGCGACTGTTTATAAAGGTTTACAAGGACACTGTAGGCACCCAGATTTTAACCCCTTCAGCCCCATGGGAGGGGTGAGACGAGGGAGGGATGGACCTATTAACCCTATAGTGCCAGGAAAATTGCTTTGTTTTCCTGGCGCTATAGGATCCATTTAGGAATACAATACCTCTTATTGGATTGCCATTAATTCTCCCTAGAGAACCTTATATGTTTCTGTCCTGCACTCTGTACGGTTAACTCTTCGCCTGCAAATCTTATCTCTACTTTATGTCTTGGGACAAGGGTTACCTGATCCCCACGCGGTCTGGATGTGTAACGCTTCAGAAAGCTGATTGGTTGCACATGTTCTTCTGGAATCCTTCCTTTAGTCAATGGATTCCTTTCCTACACCATATTCTACATATTGTGGCATGAAGAAGTGATATCAATGAAAGCATCATCGATCTGACATTTCTACTTTCAATTGTCTGTTCTAGAATGAAAAACTGTGAATGTTGGGCTAAAGATGTTAAAATAGTACATTTTAAATGACTCTCACATGCCAAAGATACTGGTGTTATCTTGGTATGCTCCAAACTTCATCCATACATAGCAGTGGCTACAATTCCTTACCATTAATATTACTTATTAGTCTGGCCGCTGGCACTGCAATGCTACAAATATGGGCAATGTGCGTGATTGCCATTTCTATTTTAAGATGAATGCAGGAGGGCTTTTGTAAGAAATTTTCATCCATACATTTGCTGGTGATTTTATTGGCGTAATGTACAGATTAATTGAAATACCTATTTAAAGATGACCTTGTTGCTCCCTTTTCTATAACGTACCCTAGAGCTCACTTGTATATTGAGGATTGCAATCATTCAGGATCTGCAGTCAGTTAGAACTCTCAAAATAACAATTTGCATTCTGGTTCTGAAGGGTTTAAAATGCTTGTCTTATGTTGTTGTACTGTGCTTACATGTCTGTTGCAGGCAGAGCTGGCATTACTAGATGAGGAGGATCCATGCTATGACTTCCGCCGGGAACGTTTAGCATCACACCGCGTTCACCTCTCCTTCCTCCCTCATTATACAGCGTCTACTGACCCGAATGACGTTACCTTGGTGGCACAGCTCTCCATGGACAGGTCAGTATGAGCATAGAACATGTTAAGAGGAGATGGGGGTAGGAATAACAGCAGATTACTTTAAAGGAGACTCTGGAGTAGTGTTTACCCCATCCTGTTTTAAAAAGAATTTGGGAAAATATATAAATAAGAAAAATTTGGACAGGAGTATTATTTTTCCTCCTTCAATTTCTTTGCTTATAATGACATTTTTTTGCCAAGAACTCATGGATGATATCTGGTCATCCTTTTGTATATGTGATAATGTGATATGTACTTCAAACCAGTAGATTCATTCCTAAAAATGTATTTTATTAACGTACACTCAGCACAAAAACATTAGCTTAATGAAGCAGTTTTGGTGTACAGATCACGCCCCTGCAGTCTCACTGCTCAATTCTCTGCCATTTAGGAGCTAAAGCACTTTGTTTCTGTTTACACAGCCCAAGCTACATCTCCCCTGGCCATAACCTACTTTTAAAGTAAACAAACTGTGCTGTTAGGTCTGATTGAAAATGAAACCAATTTTTTATGTAGGCTGTGTGAATCATAGCCAGAGGAGGTGTGGCTTGGTCTGCCGAAACAGAAACAAAAGTGATTTAAGTGCTAAATGGAGAGAATTAAGCCTGATCTATACTCAAAAACAGCATCATTAAGTTGTTTTGGTGCTTAGAGCATCCTTGTAAAATACTTGTCAAACCAATAGAATTTGCAGCCTACAACTGATGTACAGGCTACTGCACGGAGAACCGATATGTTATTTAGGACAGGAGATGCTCTCTGCAGTTTTAATGAACTAAATGAAAGGCGACAAGTGACTTCTTGAACAATAATCCAGGCACAGAGTTAAAGTAGTTATGGTGCTTGGTGTCGCTCTAAAAAACCCCTCCCACCAAAAAAACCCCCCCACCATAATATCAGATGTTGAGTAGTTATGAGAACATAAGCTAAAGAAATTTTAGTGTGTTCTGTTATTTATTTGTAACAAGAGAAATCTCAATGTATCCATCCTGGTAAAATATTTTATAAATAAATAAACTTGCCCTGTGTGGTATTTACTACTCTACCCATAGCCTAAATCTGTGGGTAGATTTTACAGATTAGAGAGTTATTGGTATTATATGTTACCTATATAATGAGGCAAAACGTGAAGGTTTGGTGTGTTTTTAGGGGTATAACTTTTTTTTTTTTCTTCAGATTGCAGATGTTGGAGTTAATTTGCCGGCACTGGGAAGGACCAATGAGTTTGGCCCTGTACCTTTCTGATGCAGAGGCACAACAGTTCTTGCGGTATGCTCAGTCCTCTGAGGTCCTTCAGTCTCGGACTAACATTGGATATCATGTAGTCTACAAAGAGGGGCAACTGTATCCCGTCAACCTTCTCAGGAATGTAGCCCTGCGCAACGCACAGACACCATATGTCTTTTTGTCTGACATCGATTTTCTGCCCATGTATGGACTGTATGAGAACATAAGGTAGTGTAGATAGTAACTGTTATGGGGTTTTTGTGCTTTAAGTGGCAGTCTAACAAACACAGCTCAGTGTAATATTAATATTGCCTACAGTGCCCTGGCTCCGTCCCCTGGCTTAATATCAAATCGATTAGGAACGGTTTGATAGAACCTGGGCTCTTCCCGGCCGCATTGATAATGTAGAATTCACCTTCTGGATTATCAATTTCGCCCAATGTGGATAGCACTGGCCTAACTAATTGAACAGCTGCGGAATTTGTTGGCGCTTTATAAATGCCAGTAATAAATAACCAGCTACTCATTGATGTCCAGGTGTTCACAACTGACTGATAATGTTTAATTCCACATTATCTGCCATTATGGACTGTGGGGTGGTACCTCCCAACCCCAACCACAACCCCCCAATCACCCCCCACCACACGGAAAAGTTTCAAAAAATTTTTTTTTTTTTAATTAAACCGTTTGACTCCAAATGCGGGGGACAGTATCATGGCACTCTAGGCAGCATAATAATGTTTTTCCAACATTAAACATTCTGCGTTACTTATGTCAGTATTGAGATGTTTAATCTCCAGTTGTATTTCCAATTCTCCTTCCTCCAGCACATATCAGTTTCTTTTCTTACAGGAAGTCTGTAGTCGAGCAGGACATGGCAAACTCACCAAAAGCACTTATAATTCCTGCGTTTGAAACTCTACGTTATCGTCTGGCCTTTCCAAAATCCAAAGCAGAGCTGTTGTCCATGCTGGATATGGGGGCCCTCTACACATTCAGGTGAGATGTCAACCAATGGAAATTTCATTATTCTTGTGCCTCCTTAACCCCTTAAGGACCAAACTTCTGGAATAAAAGGGAATCATGACACGTCACACATGTCATGTGTCCTTAAGGGGTTAAACACCGCTACATACCTAAAGGAACACTATAGGTACCATAACCACTATGGCCTGCTGTAGTGTCTATAGGGCCGGGAGAGCCCTAGCACCCTCTTAAATTAATTTGACAACTTATCTGGACCCTGCCAGTCACCTCGTCTCATGGAGCTGTAAGTTCTATTCAGCTAAGGTCTGACCTGCATGGAGTTTCCGTGAGTTCTACTGAGCAAAGGTCTGACGTGCATGGAGCTTATGTGAGTTCTACTGAGCTAAGTCCTGACATGCATGGAGCTTTTTCTGGCGTGCAGAGCTGATTAATTGACTGACAACCCCTGCAATGAGTGCAGCTACACATGGCACGGCATAGCTCAGTCCAGGAGTTATTAAACTCCACAATAATTGGTCAAACCATTCTTAAATCATTTAACCACTTATCTTAAATGGAAACTCCTATCAACAGAAAGCTATAGTTATCATAGTGCTCAGTGTTTCTTTAAAAGGATACTAAAGTCACCCTTTCTGAGAAACTGCTTTAATTACCTCTGAGGGTTACTCCTCCTCTAGTGGCTATCTACCAGACAGCCACTAGAGGGACTTCCTGACTTGAAACGGATGTTTGGTTCATAATCGGACGCTGGACGACTTTACACTCTGCATGAGGAACTCAAGCGTCAGATGTTTCCTCACAGGAAAGCATTGAATAATTGCCATGGCTGCGCATGCGCATTAGGTCTCCCCTGCCGGCTGACTTTGGCGGGGGAGGAGCGTGAGGAAGCATGACCCAGCAGTGAGGCTGGATTCAGGTAAGTAACTAAAGGGGTTTTTAACTCCTTTAGCCCTGGGGGGGGATACTGTGGGCTTCTATAGTGCCAGTAAAACAGCATTGTTTCCTTGCACTATAGAATCCCTTTAAATCTACCTCGAGTGGCACTTCTGGTGCACGGACAGAGTAAAACTGTTACGTGCCAGGAGGTTCATAGGAAAGCACGCAATACAGTGATTTCCCATGCGGAAGCTTACGTATGCACATAACACTTGCTGAGCATGCACAAGTATTCAGGTTTGTATTCCTAATGCTAGTGTTCCTTTGCTTTTAAGAAAGTACTTGAGTACTCACCACCTGTCCGTAGATATAAATAAAACTCCAACAATTATTGGTATTTTCTAATTGCTGCAAGAGTGTTATTTGAATTTTCCTGTTCAAAATGTATGTATTATAACAATATATTTGAGAATTGTCAGTTGTGTAGGCATTATGGTACTATTCTGTTCTTTCCTAGATACCATGTGTGGGAGGTAGGCCATGCCCCAACCAACTTTGCCAAGTGGAGAACAGCAACTACCCCATACCACGTAGACTGGGCACCAAACTTTGAACCATATATAGTTGTCAGACGGGACTGTCCAGAATATGACCAGCGATTTCTAGGCTTTGGCTGGAACAAAGTATCTCATATTATGGAACTAGATGCAAAGGTACTGTAAGTCCAAGTTATCGCCTCTCAACAATATTTTGTTTAGGATTAGCGTTCTGATGTGATGTGTTCTCTTCCTAGGAGTATGAAATGGTGGTCTTGCCCAATGCCTTCATCATCCATATGCCCCACGCCCCCAGCTTTGATATTTCTAAGTTTCGATCAAGTGAAAACTACCGTCTTTGTGTCCAGACCTTGAAAGAAGAGTTTCACCAGGACCTGTCCAGACGTTATGGGTCTAGAGCCCTCAAATATCTTGCAGCACAACAAAACCAATGACCTGGAGTAAGAAGTGTGTCCTTGCAAACTAACACAGGTGGAGGATAAATGGGTTTCTGCCTTATTGTCAAATCGGATCCATGAAACCCTACCACTGAGGGTAGAAGATGCATAGAAAAACTGTCAAGTTTTCAAATGAGTATGGTTGCAACGTGATAAAACATGGACGAGATATTCTTTTTAAATGAGTAAAAAGAACTTAATGGTGAGGACAAATATTTCAGGCAGAACTTTCAGTCTTCTGAGAAGACCATTTGACAATCAATGTAATTTTACAAACTTTGAAGGCTATGAACCTTCAACCTGAACACTAGTCAAAAGTCACTGTATTAAACTTTTTTTTTTTTTTTTTAATGACTTGTTTATCCTCGTTCTATATTTAAATTATTTAAATCCAATGTCAAGTCATATAGTACTGGAGCTAGGACAGGATTCCTGCTTGATTCTAAATATATTTTTTAAAAATGCATTTCTTACAATAAAATGCCACTCTTTTATAATCCGTCTCGTATCTTATTTCCAAAAATCAAAATTGGAGAACACATCTAAGTAAAGTCATGCTATTTACACATTAACTATGAGCACAATAATCACTGACCAGATGCCTTCCCGCTCTGCAAAAAAAAAAAAAAATATTGTAAATTCATGAATTTTGCTGGGCATGACATTTTATTTTCAGTAAGGTTTACTCCATAGTGAAAAATGGATGTCATGGTGTCTAGCCCCTTAGTGACCAAACCTTTTCAATTTTCTTATCATTAAGGACCAGGGCTGTTTTTAAATTTTTCAGTAGGTGTTTAGCTGTACCCACACATTATATACCGTTTTTCTCGCCATTAAATGGTCTTTCTAAAGATACCATTTTTTTCATCATATAATTTACTATAAAAGAAAAAAAATGAATATGATGGGAAAAAAAACCCCCCACTGACTTTGACCCCCGAAATCTGTTATGTATCTATATCCGCCAAAAACACCCATGCTAAATAGTTTTAAAATTTTGTGCAGAGTTTAGAAATGCCCAATGTCAACATGTTCTTAGCACTTTGCCATTTCCAAACCATTTTTTTTTTTTTCCAAAATGAACAAGTTACATTGTAACATTGATATCTGGCAGGAATCCCCGAATAACCCTTCACACATTTTTTAAAAGAAGACAACCTAAGGTATTAAACTTGTGGTATTGACTCTTTTCATGTAGCCATTTTACCACCAATCTATGCCAAATTTAAAAATAAAATAACTGGTGATTTTTTTGACACACAGCAATTTAAGAATACATGCACTGAGAACTTTAAGGGTTACTGCCAAAAAAAACACCCCAATGTGTGTTCAGCATCATCTCCTGAGTACAGTGATACCACCCATGTATAGTGTAGGGTTCGGGGAGGAGGAGGACGGAGTGTGTGTGTAAAATACCTTATTTGGAGGGTGCCCATTCCAATTTTCCAACTTGGAATTTTCACAGTTGGTCATCATGGACCCATGTCCTATTTGGGAACTTTTGAAGTCGGCCAATGTAACTTACCCCATCAAACCATATATTTTTGAAAAGTATACACCCCATATTGAGTACCCTGGGTTATGTCCAGTCTTTTTTAGTAGCTACTTAGTCACAAACACTGGCCAAAGTTAGCATTTATATTTGTATATTAAAAATGCAAAAAACAATTATGAATGCTAACTATGGCCAGTGTTTGTGACCAAGTGGCTACTAAAAAAGACTGAACATATACCCCATTTGCAATACCTTGGGTTGTCTTCTTTTGTAAATGGTATGCCATCATGGGGGTAATTCTCATTCCTGGGCTACCATACGCTCTCAAAGGCAACATAACCAGTCCAGCAAATTTCAATGTGAAAAAACTGCCTTATATTTTACCCTGAACACTATAAAACCTGTACATGGGGGGTACTGGTATACGCTGGAGACTTCACTGAACACAAAGATTAGTGTTTCACTGATTATATAATTGTTTTAATACGTTTCACTGTTTTGAAAGTGCTGTTTGTGTGAAAAATGCAAAAAACATAACTTTCACTGACTATCATCGCTGTGATATGTTTTACTGTTTTAAAACACTAATATGTGTTCAGCAAAGTCTCCCGAGTAAAACAGTACCCCCCCATGTACAGGTTTTAGGGCGTCTTGGAAAGTTACAGCGTTAAATATAGTGCTAGCAAATTAAATTCCCTGGACTTTCGGACTGGGTTGTCAGGCAGGTCCATCAAACTGCAATCGATAAAATTATGTAAAAATTACATAAATATGCACATAGAATTTAAATATTTTATTTTAAGTCTACATGTATTTATGAAATTATTTATGTAATTATGTAACTATATACATATTTTGTATTTTTATTTATATAAATATTTCATTTTTGGTGTATTTTGATATATATTCATATCAAAATACACTTAGAATGAAATTACATATTTAATATTTTTACTTTTAGTGTATGTATGTATGTATGTATGTATGTATGTATAACTTCCAAAAGAAAGCCAGCACTCAAGGACTTGTATAAGAACTATAAAGGCTTTTAATCCAAACGGTCAACGTTTCAGTTCACTACAATTAACTTTCCTCAGGACATTAAACACATTATGTCTTCCAGCGCTCTAATTTGCCGCGGGCTGACTTTTTTTTGTCGGACATACCTGATACATCTGCGGTCGGGAAGGGTATAGTAATTGCACCACACATAATCTCCAATATCTTTTTGAGTGATGTCTCAGATCCTGCCTCGTCTATCTGTGAGCGAGCGTGTCTGAGTTTTTGTGTATGCATTTGCAATAAATCAGGAAGCCATGTTTTTTGGGAACTACTTCCTCCTGGGACTCTGCAGGTCAAGGCTAAATAGGATCCTGGAATGAGGTACCTATGACAGGGTAGGGTGCAAAACCAAGGACTTGGCCTACAATCCCAACTATGTTACATAGCTGAAAAGAGAGTTGATCCAAAAGAAGGCAAAAAACCCAGTCTGAAGCGCTTCCAATTTTGCAACAAATTAGGGAAAAAATTCCTTCTTGACCCCAAAGAGGTCAGATGTCTCCTTGGACCAATCAGCTATTACCCCACTAATTAGAAATTATATCCCTGTATGTTATTTTTTTTGCAAGTATTTATCCAATTGCAGTTTTAAACATCTGTATGGACTCTGATAAAACCACCTCTTCAGGCAGAGAATTCTATATCCTTATTGGTCTTACTGTAAAAAAAAAAAAATACCTTTTCTTTGCCTTAGCTGAAATCTCCTTTCTTCCAGCGTAAATGCGTGACCTTGTGTCCTATGTATAGCCCTGTTTATGAATAGATTTCCAGATAAAGGTTTGTACTGGCCCCGTTGTACCAAACTAAAGAGATTTACATTTTTTAACCTTTCTTCGTAACTAAAATGCTCCATTCCTTATCAATTTTGTAGTTCGTCTCTGCACTTTTTCTAGTGCCATGATATCCTTCTTTAGAACAGGGGCCCAAAATTGCAAAGCATATTCAAGGTGTGGTCTTACCAGCGATTTATAAAGAGGTAAAATTATATTTTCATCCCGAGAATTTATACATGACAAAACCTTACTGGCCTTAGCAACTGCAGATTAACATGGCATATTGCTGCCTAAAACAATTCCCAAATCCTTCTTGTGTGTGGTTATCCTTAATCCACTACCATTTAAGATGTAAGTTGCTTGTGCATTCTTGACACCAACGTGCATAACTTTGCATTTCTATACATATATATATTTATATATATATATTTTAGTGCCCAGTCCCCCAATCTATCCAAATCCATCTGCAGCAAAGTAATATTTTGCTCACATTATATTACTTTACAACTTTTGTGTCATCTTCAAACTCTGATCTTGAAATAGGCAATGAAAACCATGTTTCATTTATAATAAATATGTTAAATATAAGCGATCCCAAAACAACCCTGAGGGACTCCACTTTTGTCCAGCCTGAAATTTTACCATTAATGACAACTCGTTGTACTCTATCCTTAAGCCAATGTTCTACCCAAGAACATTCATCTAGACCAAATATAAATGAAACCAAAAAGACTGCACTCACCTGAACATGCATTCATTATAGGGTGCTGCAGAGTCCCAGGAGGAAGTAGTTCCCAAGTGAGTGGATTGATCTCATAAGTGCAGGCATTAGGCTGCTATATTTAATAAATGGAAAAAAAAAAAAAAAGAGGAGGGATGGGCTGCGCCACACAGGTGTATAAATGAATAGTACGCAAGTCTAAAAGTGGAAAACAAATAGCTCCAATTAAGGGGGTAGAGGATCTCACATGCAGGAGTACCCCTCAAGTGTGGTGTAGAGTGATTATATTCGCACGGTCAGAGGATATATGTTTTGGCTCCAATTTTCTCAAATGTTCATAACATATGGAGAGATAAAGGGTAGAAAAATCCAATAGTGTAATTTGTACGAATAATAAACAGGGCAAGATGGTGATATTAAACTCACATTTGTATCTTGCGTACAGTGGTACAATCCCCACTTGATATGACGTGAGTGTCTTCGATGTAGTATGGAACCAGAACTCAAGGAGAAGAAAATAAAAAGGCGACAATAGAGCTCTCAATAAGATACACAAGATTAATAAAATGTAATAAGAATATACTCACAAAGAGAGCAGGCTCACTGCTCTATGATAACTGCATTGGTGGTATAATTCCCACTTGGTATTCTTTGGAGTAGGAGAGAAGATTTATAAATGCCTGGCAAGGAGGAGATTCATTTTAAAAGATCAAAAAGCACCATAGTCTCAAATTAGAGGGGCAAAAGTTTAAAAATAACGTCCGGAAGTATTAATTTCCTGAGAGGGTTGTTGATGCATGGAATAGGCTTCCAGCTGAAGTGGTAGGGGTTAACACAGTGAAGGTGTAAGCAGGTGTGGGATAGGCAGAAGGCTATCCTAGATTTAAGATAAGGCTAGGGACTAATTAGAGAATTTAGAAAATTGGGCAGACTAGATGGTCTGAATGGTTCTTCTGCCGTCACATTCAATGTTTCTATGTAAAGCGCGGTTGAATAAGTAGGCAATATATAAATGCCAATAAAAATTCCTAGATTTTACTAGTATCATGACGTAAAGTCATGATTTTATTAAAGACACGGAGGCGAGTATTATGCATACTCTTTCTTTATTTCCTCAGCAGCAAAGATAGAGGAATATAAATATTATCAAATTGAAAGCAAAAAAACTGTATAAGTACACAGGCAACCAATAGCATAACATAGGAAGTGGCTATATAAGGCCTGTGTCTCCCACAATCCCCCTCTTTCTTGCGAAAACCGAAGACCAGCAAAGACGAAACGATATCCCACATGGTCAGAAACAGGAACGGAAGCGTTTCAACAACTTCAAGCTAAAAGAGAGAGAGAAATATGGTAATAACTAAACCCAAAACTGCTTACCAGTCAGAACTGTTGGTCATTCATGAAACTAGAACGAAATCTGAAATTACAACATATGATTGACATCAAGC